ATCCTGTTATATAGTACTGAAATGTTGTTGTTTTTTGTATGTGCTATAGTGCTGCTTTGCTATGTTATTATGAAATTGCTTTTGGCACCGTTTAGTTTGGGCATCCATTCTGAAGGAAAACAGCCCTGAGTGCTCACTGGAAGGACAGATCCTGAAGCTGAGGCTCCAAGACTTTGGCCACCTCATGAGAAGAGAAGACTCCCTGGAAAAGACCCTGATGTTGGGAAAGACGGAGGGCACAAGGAGAAGGGGATGACAGAGGACGAGATGGTGGGACAGTGTTCTCAAAGCTACCAGCATGGGTTTGACCAAACTGCGCGAGGCAGTGGAAGACAGGAGTGCCTGGCGTGCTCCGGTCCAGGGGGTCACGAAGAGTCGGACATGACTAAACGACTAAACAACAAGTTTGGGCATGGCATGCCTTCCTTTTTCCTTTGTTGTAAGCTAGGGTTACCAGACATCCCCGGATTTTCAAATCTGTCCCCGGACAAATTCTGTTCCCAGATTTGCAAATCTGTCCCTGGACAAATTGTTGTTGTTTGTTGTTTAGTCATTTAGTCGTGTCCAACTTTTTGTGACCCCATGGACCAGAGCACTCAGCTTCAAAAAGAAAAAGTGTCCCCAGATTCACTGGAAAAAAATCTGGTAATCATATTGTAAGCTACTTTGAACATGGTTTTTGCATGTGGAGAAGCAGCGTAGAAATAAAATGAATGAATGGCTCCTCACTGTGGAAGGTTGAGAACCAGGTCAGAAGCTAGCAGAGCACCCAACCCTGAAAGTTTAGCAGCGACTTATCCTTCTGACTTGTTCTGGCATGTTTGGGGGCTGCACACAATCTCATACCCTCCAACATTGCCCAGAGGAATCTCACTCCGCCCCAACTGACCTTCCTCAAGCCCCCCCACCCTTGTTTTTCCCTCCTCCCCTTGAATGAGTACTGATTTTAAACTCTGGAATAAAGATTTTAGCTGAAGTTGTGCCATTTTTAATGCAAATAAGTACATAGGGAATTTTCAATTCCGTCTACTGCATCTGCCCCCCAGTGCTGACGTTGTTGCTGTTGTTCATTCTGCTATCTGGTCTTTCGACTGCAATAAAGATTGATTGATTTATTGATTGATGCTACATAGCATTTCCACCACCGTTACACCAACGGGGCACATGCCCTGCAGCGTCCTGAGAAAAAACCCCTGAATCCTGGTTTTGTTTCATTCTTTGGTAGATTTGCAAAAAGGAAAGCCCACAGCAGGAAATAAATTTTAAGAAAGGGGCGAGATTAGACGCGGGCACACAAAGCAATTTTTTAAAAAATGTAGACTCCTTGTGCTCTGCTCTGCTCCCCCTTTCTTCCTGCGCCCTCTGCCTGCCCCCCAGAACTGGCATCTCACATGGGGTCGGTCTGGTGTGTCAGCTCCTCATATACGTATCAGAATGGATCAGAAACTAGCTGAGCTATCTGGCCCCCCTCCCCAAATCTAGTATGTATCTCACCTTACTTTTCGGCCGGACCACATTTGTAAAGGGAGCACAAGTGCCCAGGTCAGTGGGGTTGAAAGGAAGCGAGAAATCAGAACCGAATTCAGATCTGAGTAAAAGAGCTAAAATTGGAGTAGGAGAAGAATTTGGGGCATCTGATCGGCCCCTGATGCTGGACTAGCTGGGGCCACTGGCCTGATCCAGCAGGCTTTTCTTATGAGAAACTAGATTGGGATTCTGCAATTCAAGAACTCCAGGGCTGGGTGTCATTATAAGAAAGCCAGACAGGCTGAATCTTAAGGCTCAATTGCCCTTTCACAATCCGCTGCTTGTCAACAAAAGCAGCCCACATAAACATCGAAACCCCAAATTGGGCTTAAATGCTTGACCCCTGTTGCATCACGTAAACAGGCCTTAAGAGTGCTTTGAACACAACCAAGGCTACTGCACCTCACCCAGTATTATCTCCTAGAAGTTTGGTTGGCGGCGGCAGTTGTTTTTGCCCATTTGGAAGTGCCGAAGAGGTTTACCAATAATATGCCATGACGAGTGGCTTTTTGATGGATACCTAGACCGGCAGGAGGCCTCCCGCCCCCCACTTGAGAAGGCGGTTTGTGCAAAACACCTGCCAAGTCTGCACCTGGCATTTAACTGGCAGACTGGCATCATTAGGCAGGCCTTTTCTCCCTCTGGCTGCAGGGCAGGGGTTGTTTTGCCTGATCGATAGGAGGGCAGGGACTCCGGAGACCTTGAAGCACCCTAGAGATGTACCGGTACCTTACAGGAAAAGTGGTATGGGCAGCAGTCAACTTAAGAGCTGCAAAAGCAGAACCTCTGCTTGCTCAATGCTCCCCCCCACCCCAAATGTCTGGTATGGGAGGTTGGTGGAAAACCCAGAACAGATTTAGGGGGTGTACAGCAGAGGTAGATGGGGGGAAAGTCCTGTTGTGCAAATAGTTCTGCTGTGCAAACAGTTCTGCTCTCAGTTATTTATAAAAGGTAAAGGGACCCCTGACTATTAGGTCCAGTCACAGACAACTCTGGGGTTGCGGCGCTCATCTCGCTTTATTGGCAGAGGGAGTCGGCGTACAGCTTCCGGGTCATGTGGCCAGCAGGACTAAGCTGCTTCTGGCGAACCAGAGCAGCTCACGGAAATGCCATTTACCTGCCCGCTGGAGTGGTACCTATTTATCTACTTGCACTTTGATGTGCTTTTCAACTGCTAGGTTGGCAGGAGCAGGGACTGAGCAATGGGAGCTCACCCCATCGCGGGGATTCGAACCGCCGACCTTCTGATTGGCAAGTCCTAGGCTCTGTGGTTTAACCCACAGCACCACCTGCGTCCCCAGTTATTTATAGCTATGTATTAAATAAGAGGAGGGACGCGGGTGGCACTGTGGTCTAAACCACTGAGCCTTGGGCTTGCCGATCGGCGGTTCGAATCCCTGCGATGGGGTGAGCTCCCGTTGCTCTGTCGCAGCTCCTGCCAACCTAGCAGTTCAAAAGCACGTCAAAGTGCAAGTAGATAAATAGGTACCACTCCGGCGGGAAGGTAAACACCGTTTCCGTGCGCTCTGGTTTTTGTCATGGTGTCCCGTTGCGCCAGAAGCAGTTTAGTCATGCTGGCCACATGACCTGGAAGCTGTACGCCGGCTCCCTTGGCCAATAAAGAGATGAGCGCCGCAACCCCAGAGTCGGCCACGACTGGACCTAATGGTCAGGGGTCCCTTTACCTTTACCTATTAAATAAGAGAGCAATTGCAGCCCGACTGGGTATTCCAGGACCCCACGGTGGCCTCAGTGACTGCTGGGGACCCAGTTTTCCTTCCTCCAGTGGATTTGCGTATGTAGGTTAGCTTTGATTTCAGTCTGTGCATATTCTCCTTTAAACATCAGGTTGCCAACCAGCTCTTGCCCCGCTGCCATCGCCACATAACTGTGGCCCAGCCCAGCCCATCCTCACCTGAACACACTTTCCTAGAATCCCCTTCATCATGGATCAGGAAATGTGCACAGACTAGAAATGGTTGGCTTCGAGAACACTCAGCGCCCTCTGTCCGATTTACTGGGCCCTCGGTCCCAGCTACTGGCAACCTAGCAGTTCGAAAGCACGTCAAAGTGCAAGTAGATAAATAGGTACCACTCTGGCGGGAAGGTAAACGGTGTTTCCGTGCGCTGCTCCGGTTCGCCAGAAGCGGCTTAGTCATGCTGGCCACATGACCCAGAAGCTGTACGCCGGCTCTCTCAGTCAGTAAAGCGAGATGAGCGCCGCAACCCCAGAGTCAGCCACGACTGGACCTAATGGTCAGGGGTCCTTTTACATCCTGATATATTCACACAAAGTGGAGGTCAGATTATATGCTGAGCATTTGCTCTGGTTTGTTTACGGGGAGGTTATGCGACGACGGGCATTCGTTCCACACTCGTCCCCATCTGTTTGCAGAGTGTTTAGACATCTTCCTGTTCATCGTTTGATTCCTCGTCACTTTCCAAAGCTCAAAGAGTTTGTTGGTTTTAAAGAGAGGTACAAATGAGGAAGACTTTGTAAATGGGAAACTTCGAAAAGCTGCCATCTCCGGATCAAGTTGTTCCATTTTGCTGAATTAAATAGTTTAAATTGGATTTTGAATAAATGTGGAATGAACGTACTGTTCTGAGTTTCATTGTTATTCTCTTCCTAGGTGGGTCGTGCAAACTGCTATTTTGAAAGATGCTTTTTCTATGGTAGGGTAGGGGGCACTGGGGTGAGGTTTTGGAATCAAGGGGGAAATGGTTTTGTTTTTTTTAAAGGGAACTGGGTTAGAGGGGTGAGACTGGAGGCACCTTGTACCTGAAGTTCTCCCCCCCCCCATTCACATTCTTATCCTGTGTGGACAGAACCCTGCACTTCCAGACACATTGCAAAAGAACTACATTAGCTCCCAGAACGTTTCCGAGCACAATTCAAAGTGCTGGTGCTGATCTTTAAAGCCCTCACTGGCCTTGACTCAGTATACCTGAAGGAGCATCTCCACCCCCATTGTTCAGCCCAGACACTGAGGTCCAGCTCTGAGGGCCTTCTGGAGGTTCCCTCACTGTGAGATGTGGGGTTACAGGGAACCAGGCAGAGGGCCTTCTCGGTGGTGGCGCCCGCCCTGTGGAACAGCCTCCCACCAGATGCGAAGGAAAGAAACTACCACCTGACTTTTAGAAGACATCTGAAGGCAGCCCTGTTTAGGGAAGCTTTTAATGTTTGATGTTTCATCGTGTTTTTAATATTCTGCTGGGAGCCGCCCAGAGTGGCTGGGGAAACCCGGCCAGATGGGCGAGGTATAAATAATAATTAAAATTATGCCAGCATGCATCCTCAATCAGTGTCTGGACCACCAGGGGGTTCACAGAAAGGTGCAACACTTGTGAAAACGAAAGAAGGTAAAACAAAACAGAGAACTCTTTTGCCACCTCTGTCCATTAGGGAAGCTCACTGCCCCGTCCCCCAATCCGGCCGAAGCCTGCAAAAGAAGAGTCCACACGCCAAGGCTGGGTTCTGACACCAGTGACCTTTAATGACTAGGAACCCACAGTGACGAAAAAGGAAAAAATAAAATAAAACCCCAGGACTAATAATTGTTAACATCTCACTGGAATTGGTAACGTTTTGGGCAAGGAATTTTGTTCTGTTTCTTTGCTCTTCCCTGTTTTGTCCTCGTCTTTCAATTCAACGCTTAAGAGTTGTCATCATAACTTAAAAGACTGTGTGTCGCCACCCTCGCTTGTGCCGGTGAAAACTTAAACAAGTATATAAAAATATGCCATTAAATCCGTATCGACAATCAAGACTCGAGGGCGTTATGTACAGAGGAGGCGATATATACCAATATTTACAGTAAGTCTTCGGGAGCCAAGGAGGTCAGCAAGAGAGTTAAACTTTGAGATGGGGAGGAGCGGTTGTCACTGGAAAGAGAGACTTGCTAGCGCCAGCCTTTTCCGCTCCAAAGTCATTCTGTTTAAGGTGTTTTCCATGCAACCACAACAACAACAACCACAAGCGCAACACTGCAAAGGCAGACCGTGGAGGTTTTCAGAAATGCTTCCCCCATTACATCAGCCGCTATATTTGGTGATGATGTGGGAGCCACATTCCACGAATATCCAAATGTTCACTTTTCGGTACCCAGCCTGGGCTTCATTTCGTGTCAAGCCTCAGCCCAGGAAATCTATATGATGTCACAACCAAGTCCTGGGATATGTGAATCGTTTTGGAGGGGGAAATGCCACTGAACATGTGCAGAGCGCACGCCACTGAGCAACCACAGCATGTTCTCAACACACAGGATTAAGGAGCAGGGAGGGCTTTTCATGGCAGATTGTGTGCTTCCCAGGAAGAGTGAAACCTCTTTGGAAATCGGGCTCCTATACCCAAGACCTGCACAAAAGATATGTTCCTTTGTGGCGAAGCTAGCCATTGGGAAAGCAAAAAAACCTTTGCACATAAGTTCTTTGCAGCAAGGTTGCGTACACACAGCAGGCCACACACATCACTGAGAACTAGAATCAGAATTCAAAACAGCTGCTTCCCATAGCAGGAACCAATTAATCAATATATGCCTTTTAGGCACAAGGAATGAAAGGAGTTAGGAAGAGGAAGCACTGTTCATGGCAATGTACTTTCAGCTTGGTCAAACAGGCCTGGCAGGTTTCTGCTGCGGTGCTCCAGAAACCTGCACAACCTATTTGACCAGAGGCGAGAGTGGGATAAACGGAATATGAATGTATTAACGCCGTAAGCAAAGCTTCTCTATTGTGTATCCTTAGCCCCAAAATGCATTTCCAGTGCCATTTTGGATACACATAACAGGTTACGTCTGACGCAGGTTTCGTGGTGTTCGTCAACAAAACAGTGCATCAGGAACACCCCTCAAAACTTAACAATACCAGAGGTCCAGGAATGCACATTCCTTTTGGAGAAGATAGGGAATGTCTTCCCTTCCAAGCCACAGAGAAGCCTTCCCCACCACGCTGCCCTCTTGATGTCTTGCAAATGTCAGCTGCTGACAGTTATGACCCGGGAGAGGAGCCATGTTGAAGAAGCCTACCAGAGGGCTATAAACAATTCCACCCCTTCGAGTGTTCGAATCTCAAAACAAGACCAAGGGAGATCAGTGAGCATCACGGCTCTTTTGAGAATGCAGGAAGTAAACTTGGTTTGTGTCAGGGTGGGCGAGTGTCATATCTCATTCTTGCATAGAAGTGCTGCCAAACTAACTTTGGGTATTTGGGGCATAGCTGTCAACTTTTCCCTTTTCTTGCGAGGAATCCTATTCGAAATAAGGGAATTCCCCTTAAAAAAAGAGAGACGCTGACAGCTATGATTTGGGGGGGACGGGACTTGCTTATCGTCAGTTTGTTTCTGATGCTGAATCATCCATCCCATAATGACCAGGGGTCTATAGCAGGGTTTCCCAGATGTCAGAGAGCCGACTTACCTAGCCCCGTTGAATGTGGTGAGGCAGCTTTGGTGTAAACATGCACACACGATCAGGCAGCAAATTAAAAGCCGAAGAAGAGGGGGCTGGATCAGACCACAGGGACCAACGTGATGCCTGTGGGAAACATGCAATCAGGATTCGAAAACAAGAGCAACTCTCCCCTCCTGTGGTTTCCAGCAACAGAAGCATTGATGCCTCCCACTGTGGCAGCAGAGCATGGCCACTGTGGCCAGAAGCCATTGAAAGCCCTCTGCTCCATGAATTTGTCCGATCCTTTTAAAGTTAGGTCCCACCCATCAGTTATGAGGTTCTTCCTTCCAGTCCTTTGTGACGGGTTTACATGGCAGTCACTAGTCAAACACAAAAGTCCTTAGTTTTGCAACAGCCAAGAGGTTGCATGCCTACGGTAACCGAGAACATCCACAGGAGCTAATAACAGATGTCTACTTTTGTCTGTGGTAAAGAAGGCTGATCGCCGAAGAATGGATGCTTTTGAATTATGGTGCTGGAGGAGACTCTTGAGAGTCCCATGGATTGCAAGAAGATCAAACCGATCCATTCTGAAGGAAATCAGCCCTGAGTGCTCACTGGAAGGACAGATCCTGAAGCTGAGGCTCCAAGACTTTGGCCACCTCATGAGAGAGAAGACTCCCTGGAAAAGACCCTGATGCTGGGAAAGATGGAGGGCACAAGGAGAAGGGGACGACAGAGGACGTGATGGTGGGACAGTGTTCTCGAAGCTACCAGCATGAGTTTGACCAAACTGCGGGAGGCAGTGGAAGACAGGAGTGCCTGGCATGCTCTGGTCCAGGGGGTCACGAAGAGTCGGACACAACTAAACAACAACAAATCTGTGATCCTGCACCACAGCTAGCCCAGAGGAGGTTGCCAGACTACAATTCCTGCCATCCCTCAACTTTGGCCTTGCTGCTTGGAGTTGTAGTCCAACAACATCTGCAGAGCATCACTTTGCCTACGCCTGCGCTGCCTTCCACACATGGGAGATTCTCAGCCTGGCCTCAGTAAGACAGGTTAGGGGGGGACTCCTAAAACCCACACACTCGTGCACCTGCTGGGGTGAACGCGTGTTGGCTTGTGAACAAGCACAAACCCAAGTGACTCGTGTGGACACACAGGGAACATTCATAACGCTAACCGGGTCCATGGGGGACTTTGCATTTTGCACAGTCGATTTGGCTCAGCGGAAGATGGAGAACGTGAACGAACGGATCAGAGATGTTTTGTACATCGCCTGGGGGATCTGCAAAGCTTCCGTGTTCATTTTGCATACCGCCTGGGCAATCTGCAGAGTCTCCAAGCGCAAAATGCTTAACATTCTAACGCGAAGACTGAGCAACAGGCAAAATCTCCCCTTCCTCCATTGCACTCACACAGTATGACTTGACCCTAGCCCATGGAGTATTTCAAGCGTTCCACATACCCCATCTTCTGTAATCATTACAACAACCCTGTAAGGCTGGTCAGTTTGTTGACCCCAAAGCTGAAGACGGAATGGCAGTCTGAGGCAAACTAGCGAGCTCATGCAAGTGGCAAGACTGAATCGGGACTGCTTAATTTCCACAGACACATACCTATTTAAGGAAGGATTTTATATCTGTGTTCCATTTTGTCGATGGCAAGGTCATGATGAACACACTCAGTCTGTGACCTCCTAAATTCTATTTCTGGAATGCAAACAATTGTTCAGGGTCAGGCTGCTCAGTGACCTGTATATCCTGAGCAGAATTCCTGTTCCAAAAACACGGTTCCCGTCCCTCCTGGTTTCAAAGAAAGGGATGGAAATGGGGATTGCAAAATTAAAGCACTGAGAATAGATGCAGATTAAAAGAGCTAATATGGGTGCGTTTTCCGCATTTCATGGAAACAGCTTCTGAATAAGAAGACATCAGATTATGTGCATTGTGCATTGCATTCTGCCCGGGTATGCAGATTAAAGCTTGCTCCTCATGACTCATTTCTGAAAGAGACCTCAGCGCTTATCACGTGATCCAATGGAGACAAACAGCACAAACACACACCCCGCAAAAAGAAATACACATCAAATCCAGGCTGAGTGACTTTTGAATCAAAAACTCAATTTTCTAAGTGCGCCAGTCCAGTCTATGGATTCCAAAACCTTCTAGGGGGAATTCAGCCATCAGAAGTGAACCAGGCAGAGGGCCTTCTCAGTAGAGACACCTGCCCTGTGGAACGCCCTCCCATCAGATGTCAAGGAAATAAGCAACTATCTGACTTTTAGAAGACACTTGGAGGCAGCCCTGAATAGGGAAGTTTTAAATGTTTGATGTATGACTTACTGTTTTTATATTTTGTTGAAAGCTGCCCAGAGTGGCTGGGGCAACCTGGTCAGATGGGCAGGGCACAAATTATACAAATTATAGCATTATTACTATTATTGCAAAATGGGACGTGGGTGGCGCTGTGGGTTAAACCACAGAACCTAGGACTTGCTGATCAGAAGGTCAGCGGTTCGAATCCCCGTGAAGGGGTGAGCTCCCGTTGTTCAGTCCCTGCTCCTGCTAACCTAGCAGTTCGAAAGCACGTCAAAGTGCAAGTAGATAAATAGGTACCGCTCTGGCGGGAAGGTAAACGGTGTTTCCGTGCGCAGCTCTGGTTTGCCAGAATTGGCTTAGTCATGCTGGCCACATGACCCGGAAGCTGTACGCCGACTCCCTCGGCCAATAAAGCAAGATGAGCGCCGCAACCCCGGAGTCGGCCACGACTGGACCTAATGGTCAGGGGTCCCTTTACCTTTTTATTATTGCAAAGCTGAGTGTCAAACCTTTACCATTTGGCTTCAAAATCTGAGTTCTGGTCTGAAATGCAGATTATGAAACTCAGTTTTATGATGTAAGTTGCCTTTGGTCTTTTTATAAAGTGGATGGGTAGGGTGGAGGGATTTTAAATTTTGTACCTAACTCATATGAAGTCTGGGTGAAATTTTCTATCTCTAGGACCTAATCTAAACAAACTCTTCAATCTAAACAAGTATTTTCTTCTTCTTTGGCAATCGCTCGCACCCGAGTAAGATTGTCTTCCATGAATGCGATCTTAACAGTGAGTCCGCAAGTGACTGTGGAGGCCAATTCTGGATCCACACGTCCTTCCACAATGGGGACTTGGGTTTCCGGGCAGGAGTTGATCACGGTGTGGATTTCCCAAGCCTGCCTTCCTCTTAGCACATTTCTCCCTTGTGTCCTGAGTTCGAGCGTATTCAAAGTCCAAGACACCTTTGGGAAAGGCTGTTCTCCAACTGGAGCGCTCGCAGGCCAGTGTTTCCCAATTGTTGGTGTATATACAGTGGTGCCCCGCAAGACGAATGCCTCGCAAGACGGAAAACTCGCTAGACGAAAGAGTTTTCCGTTTTGGAGGTGCCTCGCAAAACGAATCTGCTATGGGCTTACTTCGCAAGACGAAAATGTCTTGCGAGTTCCTGGTTGTTTTTTTCCTTTTCCCCCTCTTTTTCTAAGTCGCTAAGCCGCTTATCTGCTTATCCGATAAGCTGATAAGCTGCTAAAAGCCGCTAAAAGCCGCTAATAGCGCTAATAGCGCTAATCCGCTAATCTGTCAATGGGCTTGCTTCGCAAGACGAAAAAACCGCTAGACGAAGAGACTCCCAGAACGGATTCTTTTCGTCTTGCGAGGCACCACTGTACTACATTTTTAAAGATTTGCCTTGAGACAGTCTTTCAACCTCTTTTGTTGACCACCAGCATTACGCTTTCCATTTTTAAGTTTGGAATAGAGTAGTTGCTTTGGAAGACGATCATCAGGCATCCGCACAACATGACCAGTCCAACGAAGCTGATGTCGAAGAATCATTGCTTCAACACTGGGGATCTTTTACTTCTTCCAGTACAGTGACATTAGTTCACCTGTCTTCCCAAGTGATGTGTAACATTTTTTGGAGACACAGTTGATGGAATCTTTCGAGGTGTTGGAGCTGGAGTTTATAAGTGGTCCATGTTTCACAGGCATACAGTAAGTTTGGTAGTACAATAGCTTTTGGTAGTATAATAGGTAGTACAAAAGAAGCATTTTGGTTTCCCTGCGAATGTCCCAGTCCTCAAACACTCTGCACTTCAATCGGGAGAAAGCTGCACTCAGAGAGCTCAGGCGGTGCTGGATTCCAGCCCAGGTAGGAGAAGATAACTGCCCAGGTAGGAGAAGTGATCAACATTTCCCAAAGTTACACCACTGAGTTGGATTTGTGGCGCAGCAGGGGTATTGTTTTGTGCTTGTTGGTGCAGCACTTTGGTTTTTTGGATGTTGAGCAATAGACCAAGCTTTTCACAAGCTTCTGCGAAGATATTTAGGATGGTTTGGAGGTCATCCTCTGAATGTGCATACACTACGTTGTCATCAGCATACTGAAGCACTATGACAGAAATTACAGTAACCTTACTTTTTGCTTTCAGCCTACTCAGATTAAAGAGCTTTCCATCTGTACAATATATGATTTCTACTCCGGTGGAGAGTATTCCTTTGACAAAGTGTAGGATCATGGCAATGAAAATAATAAACTGAGTTGGGGCAATAACAGAACCCTGTTTAACACCCGATCCCACTGTGAATGGTTCATTTTGAGAGCCATTGTTATCTGCGATTGTTGCTGTCATATCATCACGAAGGAGCAGAATGATGTTTACAAATTTATCTGGGCAGCTAATTTTCAGAAGGACAGTCCGCAGCGCATTACAATTTACAGTGTTGAAGGCCTTAGTCAGGTCAATAAACGCCATATACAGGGGTTGGTTTTGCTCTCTGCATTTTTCTTGATGCTGCCAAACACTGAAAATCATTTCTACTGTCCCCCTGGAAGGTCTAAAACTATTTTGGGATTCAGGAAGGGTAGGAGTGATAATTCTGACATCCCTAAAGTCTGTTGGGAGCTCCTCTCTCTCCCAGATTTTTTCGATGAGCTTGTGAAGTTGTTGTGGAAGTTCAATTCCACCCACTTTGAAGACTTCAGCAGGTATCCCATCAGGTCTGCTGGCTTTGTTGTTTTTCATTTGGTTAATAGCCGTACACCACTCTCCCATTTTGGAGATACTGCAAGGTCATCTCTTAATTTGTTTTTGCGGAATTTGTGAGGGGACCTCAGCAGCTACAGGGGAGTTGCAGTTAAGGAGATGCTGGTAATATTCTTTCCAGTGCAGTGCAATAGCGTCTTTATTTTTTTGAAGTGTGGTACTGTCTGTTCGCTGCTCTGGTTCGCCATAAGCGGCTTAGTCATGCTGGCCACGACCCGGAAGCTGTACACCGGCTCCCTCGACCAATAAAGCGATGAGCGCTGCAACCCCAGAGTCGATCACGACTGGACCTAATGGTCAGGGGTCCCTTTACCTTACCATCTGTTGAGCACAGGGGGCATATGCCATTATTTATTGGCCCATAGATGGTCTTTATGGCTTTAAAGAAACTGTGCATCATGAGCATCAGCTAAGTGCTGGATCTCTTGAGCTTTTTTAATCCACCAGGTGTTCTTTAGTTCTCTGGTTCTTTGAACCTCAGCCTTTGCATTGGCATAGGTTTTTTCCTCAGTGGCGCAGTTTCTATCTCTTTGCCAGATCTGAAAGGCCTTCCTTTTCTTGTCAAGAATGTGTTCAATCTCACTGTCTTTGTCATCAAACCAGTCCTGGTGTTTCTTAGTTTGGTATTTAATAGTTTGTTCACAGGCTGCAATAATGGATGTTTTTTAGTGCTCCTCAATGTTATCAGGGAACTCTGAAAGCAGACGGTCCTTTGGAAGCAATCCCGCTTAATAGGATCTTGAAGGGCTTGAGTGTTCATTTTGCACCTTAGTTTCCCTTCCTGAAGTCTGCATTGAGGTACAATCTTGATAGCCATCGTGGAGCGTATTAATCGGTGATGTGTCCAGAAGTCATAGACACTCATTATAGCTCTGTTCACACATCTTGGCGATCTTCAGCTCAGACAACCACACAGTCTAAGAGGTGCCAGTGGTTCGACCAAGGGCGCCTCCATAATGTTTTAAATTTGTCGAAAGTTTGTGTTGGCAATAACAAGGTTGTGTGCTGCACAGATAGTCAAAAGTTATATTCCGTTGTGGTTGCTGTTGCCAATTCCTTCTTTCCCAATAGTTTCAGGCCACAGATTGACATCTCACCCAACTCTTGCATTAAAACGGGCATAGGCAAACTCGACCCTCCAGATGTTTGGGACCACAACTCCCATGATTCCTAGCTAACAGGACCAGTGGTCAGGGATGATGGGAATTGTAGTCCCAAAACATCTGGAGAGCTGAGTTTGCTTATGCCTGCATTAAAATCACCCAGGAGGATAATTTTATCCTCCTTAGGAGTCTCTGATAGGATAGCATCTAGCTGAAAACAATTCTTTTCTTTAATGTCTTCATTGGCATCCAGTCTCGGTGCATAAGAAACACTACGCATGTGTTTATAAGGAGACCTTATTCTTGGCTCGAGGTATCAGCTGTATTCCTGTCTTAGGGGAAATTGGGGGTACTGAGTGGAGACATGAGATGCTTCACCTTCATTCAGAGGGGGAGACACTGGTTTGACATCTTGCCACCCCCAAACCCTTTTCCCACCTTTGGCAATGCTCACTGGGAGGTGGTCTGGCTTCCATAACGCATGGCCTATTCATCTGGTTATTGGAATGCCAGCGTCCTCCCAATTCATTTCAACGCAACTGTGCACGCAACATGTGCCTCTGGTCAACCCGACAACCCCCGGATGTTTCAGACTTCCAACTCGCACCAGACCAATCAGGCAAAGTTTGGCAAAGGCGGGTTTAATGGGATCCCGAGTCAGAACTCTCGCCTCAGAGCACGAAGGCTGCAATCTCACACACACTTACCTGGGAGTAAGCACCACTGAAAGTCAGCGGGACGTAACTCTGAGTAAATACGTAGAGGACTGGGCAGCCGAGAGGTTCCTTGCAGGATCAAGCAACGGTTCACCTCCTTCAGGAATCTTTGCAGGAAACCCGGCGACTGATGTGTCCCCAGAATACGTCCCATGGTCAGCTAGAGAAATGCAGCCCGCTTTCTCCCCAGCCCTCAACCATGTTCACAACGATGCTAGTGGGGATCTACCGTATTTTTTGCACCATAACACTCACTTTTTTCCTCCTAGAAAGTAAGGGGAAATGTCTGTGCGTGTTATGGAGGGAATGCCTACGGGTGGCATGCCTACGGATTTTCCTCCTCTAAAAACTACGTGCGTGTTATGGTCGGGTGCGTGTTATAGAGCGAAAAATATGGTAACTTTGTTCAAGGTTTTAAGGACGGCCTTCACTTTGCCTGTGGAGACCTTTCGGTCTCTGAGGCAAATTTACCCCTCTCACAACGGAAGATTACGAGCTCGATTAAATTAAGCGGCGCTAACAGTTCAACTCGCTGACTCCCTCTACAAACGGTAGCTAGGTTTTCTTTTTAAAAAAACAAAAACAAAAAAAAACAACCACAACAAATAAATCATAAATACTGTACAAGGTAGAAGACCAGGGTGATGCAAACTCCAGCCCACCCATCCCCTGACAACATGGAGTACGGTTGCCCTGGTAACGGATGAGGCCTCTGTGGTGCGGCCTCCTGGTCTGTGCGGGGTTGGTGGGGAATGCTGCTCAATATTGCACAATTATCCTGTCAAGATTCTTATCTTATGTGTCTGGTGCCCCTCACCCCCCCATCAAGAACGGGCCTTCTCCATGCCCAACCTCTCTTCCCTTCCTTCTCAGGAGACAAACTCCAGCCGCCATCTTGGGTAGCGACCATCATCAACACTGCAACCCGACACAGCCTTACGTCTTCAAACACTGATGTGCTGATAACCCTGCGGTTATCACAACTGAGCCCAGACTCAGGGGTGTCTCTGACCGTGACGAGGGACCAAAACTGCTCTCCACCCCCACCCCTCACAATCTCTTTGGAAATTCCTCAGAAACAGCGCCAGTCCGCCTCCCTGTTCCCCTCCTTTCTGAAGCAGCTCCTCCTCCTAGCCGACAATAAATAAAGGTAATTTATCCATGAACAGACACCCCCCACCCCCCAAGTTATCTGGACGCTGGCGGCGGTGTGCCTCGCAGAAGTTGGCGAGACGATGGTGCGCAGTGTCTGGTTCTGGTGAGCGGTTCTTGCATGAATGAAAGGGTGGCATTGAGTGGAGAAGCTCTGCGTCCGTATCCGATGGAGGAAGGCGAGGAGAAACCAAAAAGAGGGCGGAAAATGATCGTGTTCGGTGAGAATGGGGGAAAGTTGCCCCGGCCATCTGGACTCGGGGGCCTCAGCGGACGAAAACGGGAGACACGATGAGATTCAACAACTCCTCGGCTGAGCTGGGCGTTTCTAACCAAGCAGCACACACAGAGCAGACAATCCTTTCCTAAGCAGGGCTGAATTCCTAAATGGTTTCTCTCTCTCTCTCTTAGTCCCATTTTAATGGGGTTTGGCGCATCAGGGCGGCTGCACCTAATCTCTCACTGAGCGCACCCCCTCCCGCACACTCAAGACACAGCAGCAAGCGCGAGTCGTGCAACATGGATTTGCGTTCTGGAGGTTCCGCACGCGGCCCGTCCTGAGGCGCGCCGCTAACTCCGCGCGGCGGATCCAGAAAGGCGACCCTGCGCACGAGACATTCAGGGTGGGAGATGAGACACGGGGACGCGTCCGTGTGGGGACGGCGAGGACGGGACGCAATCTCTCTCTCTCTCCCGGCTTCTCCCCCTCCGGAGGGGTCTGTCCTGTTCCTCATCTTGCTCGTCAGACCCTCCAGAGGAGCAGGTGGTTTGTGCTATCATCCCTCCCCACTGTCTCGCTGCTGTTGGTGAGCCGGAAGTCCTCGTACCCGTCGCCGCCGCTAATGATGAGCATCTTGGACTTCGGTGGCCTGTGCCTCGTGGAGTCCCGTTTCTCCAAGTCGTTGGACTTTTCTGTACCTATAAGCGGGAAGGAGAGTGAGTCATATTACTTTCTGCACCTGCATAACCCAAATTCTGCAACCGGGACAAAATATGCACCCTATGTAGATTTGTAGGCATGTATGCATAGATGTACAGTGGTACCTCGGGTTAAGTACTTAATTCGTTCTGGAGGTCCATTCTTAACCTGAAACTGTTCTTAATCAATTTGATTAAGAAATTGGAATCAATTTGATTCCCTCCCCCTCTTTCTTTTTTCCTTTCTCCTTCTGTGTTGGAACTCCTATTTGGGGACTTCCCTGGCTTTTTTTCTGGCCCATGTAGGACCAGTCTAGATAGTTGGCCTTGGTGAAGACTTGACGTTTTTATCCCCCAAAATTTTTTTGATTGCGTTTCCACTGAAATGAGGCTGCTTTTTAATGTTAATATTGTTTTTTAAGCTGTATTTCAATCAATTAGTTTTATATTTGGTGTTAGCCGCCCTGAGCCCGCTCTTGGCTGGGGAGGACGGGGTATAAATAAATTATTATTATTATTATTATTATTATTATTATTATCATCCAGTGCAGCCCCCTGCAACGCAGCTGTCACAATGCAGCTGTCACCCCAGGCTGCCCCTTCTGCCTCATCTTACTTGAACCCACCTGGATCCCTGGGCAGGGGAAAGAGGATGTCGAAACCTTCCGGCAGCTCGATGGACGTGAGGAACCGGACGTGGCCTGTGTGTCCCTGGGAGAGGCCCACTGGCGATGGTGGGGTCTTTAAGGAGGCGGCGTTGGACATCATGGGCAGAGTCAGGACCACTCCAGCGCTGGTGCCGATCCACAGCAGGTCCTTGCAGGCCAGGATGGCGGTAATCCTCAAGCAAGCGGCCTTGTGCTGGCGGATGATGGCATCTGAGCCTGCGAACCAAGACGAGTGGTTCATGCGAGTCCTTAGATGGTTCTTTCCCCAACCTTGTTTGGACTACAACTGCCACCAGCCCACCCTGCCAGCACTGCCCACTGGGTAGCAACCATAGCTGTCAACTTACAGATTTGAAAATAAGGGACCAGCAGCCTCGAAAATAAGGGATCAGCAGCCAAAATAAGGGATTTTCCAAACACAGGTATGTTCAACTTCTGAGCCCCTCCGAGCCAAAGGCAGAAAGCCCAGCCAGCAGCCAAACAAAGCCTCAAGCGGTGGTTCCCATAGCGCAGCAACCCGGCAAAGGGGATGCAGCAAGGAAAACCACAGTCTCCTCTCCGCTGGGAAGCGCTGAGCAAAAGCGAGCCCCCAGGCACCGCGGCCGATTTGATCGGCACAAGGCATGCAAGCTCCACCCCCCAGCCATTCTTAGACTCCTTATTGGGTGAGCAACGCAGCCAAGCAACACAGTTGGAGCCTCCTTCCTCCCTGGCCGGCAGGGAGGGAGGGAGAGGAGCTGCTTCCTTTGAAACCCGGGAAATTTAAGGGGCATCATCAATAAGGGACAGCAGCGGGACACAGCGCTGGGATAAGGGACTTTCCCGCCAAATAAGGGACAGTTGACAGCTACAGGTTAGGAAAGGCCACCTTAGACGAACTCATGAGATACTTCTTGTTTCTGAGATTGAGGTCGTCCTTGGCTTCCTGTATTAGTAAAGCAGTTCTCCCCCATTCCAACCCACCTGACGTTACATTTTTCACCGTGTGTCAAGGTTGGTTCAGATACAGGCCAGCACTCAAGGTGCAAGGTCAAGCAGAAAAGTTAACTTTTTATTCAAGGAAACAGCCTACAAGGGCAGGAATATCTCCTATGCAGGACTGGCCCCTATGAAACAGTTGCTAGGACTGATGATTCCTGCCTCCTACTTCCCCATGTCTCCTTCTCCCCAGTCAAATGTTCTCCAAGCAGCCTTAAACTTCACTTCTGGTGGTGGGAAGCTGTATATATATATATATATATATATATATATATATATATATATGAGAATGACGCGCCGAAACCCGGAAGTACCGGAACGGGTTACTTCTGGGTTTTGGCGGTTGCGCATGCGCAGAAGCGCTAAATCATGCTTTGCGCATATACAAAGCGCTGAATCGCAACCCGGACGTGCGCAGACGTGGCGCTGCAGGTTGTGAATGCTGCAGGTTGTGAACATGCCTCCCGCACGAATCGTTCGCAACCCAAGAGTCCACTGTGTATATGTGTGTGTGTGTGTGTGTATATATATATATATATATACAGTTTTTCAAGTGTGTGTGTGTGTGTGTGTGTGTATATATATATATATATATATATATATATGGTTTTTAAAATAATTTTTTTTATAATCACAAACATACAACATATAACATAAAAACAAGATTCCAAAGAATCTCCTGGACTTCCCTCTTCTCCTTTGTGGGCCCTATATTAATCATTTCCTCCTGCATCTTTTATAATAATCCAAATCTTTTACACCTCCATTATACCCCAAATTCATCATTAAACTACGCTGCTGCTGCTGCTGCTGCTGGGAACCTGCGCTCTTTGTTCTGCTACACACACAGCTCTCTGTGGCCTCGGATACAAGAGGGGACAGGAACTTAACGCAGTAGGAATGGCAAGCTCCTGGGATGCCTCTGCAGCCTCTGAACTTCATCATCTGAGTCTGAACGTCTTTCTTCACTGGCTCTTCTTGCTCACCTAAGCCTGTTGCCATCCATTCCTCCTCTCCTTCCCACTCTGACTTGTCCTCTGTGTCCACCACCATTCCCTGGGCAATGAGCCTTCCTCCTTTGAGGCTTTCCCTGGGGGAGTTCCTTGTCCTCCAGCCAGTTTGTGACACCATGCAATGGTAAAAGGAGTTGGGGAAAAGGGCTGTAGAGCATAGGCAAGGAAGAAGAGCCTACTGGATCAGGCCAACAGTCCACGTAACCCAGCATCTTGTTTTCACAGCGGCCAGCCAGATGGCAGTGGGAAACCAGAAAGCAGGATTCGATCTCAAGGGCCCTCTCCCCTGTCTTTATCTTGGCTGTTAAGTCATCCAGGCAAACCTTTCGGCCTTCACGCACACCCCAACATACACACAACACCCCAACATACACACCTGCAATATGAGGTTGAATCCTGACAGGACAGAAGTAGTGTTTTTGGGAGACAGGAGGTGGGCGGGTGTGGAGGACTCCCTGGTCCTGAATGGGGTAACTGTGCCCCTGAAAGACCAGGTGGGCAGCCTGGGAGCCATTTTGGACTCACAGCTATCCATGGAGGCGCAGGTCAATTCTGGGTCCAGGGTGGCTGTCTCCCAGCTCCATCTGGTACGCAGGATGAGACCCTCCCTGCCCGCAGACTGTCTCGCCAGAGTGGTGCATGCTCTGGTTATCTCCCGCTTGGACTACTGCAATGCGCTCTACGTGGGGCTACCTTCGAAAGTGATCCGGAAACTACAACTAATCCAGAATGCAGCAGCTAGACTGGTGACTGGGAGTAACCGCTGGGACCACATAACACCGGTCCTGAGAGATCTGCATTGGCTCCCAGTATGTTTCTGAGCACAAGTCAAAGTGTTTGTGCTGACGTTAAAAGCCCTAAACGGCCTCGGCCCATATATAGCATCTCTACCCCCATCGTTCAGCCCGGACACTGAGGTCCAGCTCCAAGGGTTCCCTCTGGCGGTTCCCTCCATGTGAGAAGTGATGTTACAGGGAACAAGGCAGAGGGCCTTCTCGGTGGTGGCACCCGCCCTGTGGAACGCCCTCCCATCAGATGGCAAGGAAATAAACACCTGACTTTTAGAAGACATCTGAAGGCAACCCTGTTTGGGCAAGTTTTTAATGTTTGATGTTTTATTGTGTTTTTAATATTCTGTTGGGAGCCACCCAGAGTGGCTGGGGAAACCCACCCAGATGGGCAGGGTATAAAGAATAAAACTATTATTATTATTATTATTATTATTGACTCAAGGCGCCTACCCAAACCTCTGACCAACACGATCTTGAAGAAATATGTGGCAATGACTCACGAAGGAGGCTCAAAGGTTTGGGTCATTCCAAAACAACCCCCCTGTCAAAAAAACACCCCCACCCCCAATTCATCTGGCAGTTCTGATGCCCCAAGAGAAAGCAGGAGAGGGGCAACAGAATCTAATGGGGAGGGGGGAAGATTCCTTAGAATTCCCTGCTGGTTAGTGTAAGTGTTCTCATATTGCAGGTGTCTATGTTCGGGTGTTGTGTGTTATGTTGGGGTGTGCATGGAGGCTGAAAGGTTTGCCTGGATGACTTACCCGTATTTTTTGCTCTATAAGACGCATCAGACCACAAGACGCATCTAGTTTTTGGAGGAGGAAAACAAGAATATAATATTCTGAATCTCAGAAGCCAGAACAGCAAGAGGGATTGCTGCGCAGTGAAAGCAGCAATCCCTCTTGCTGTTCTGGCTTCTGGGATAGCTGCGCAGCCTGCATTCGCTCCATAAGACGCACACACATTTCCCCTTACTTTTTAGGAGGGGAAAAGTGAGTCTTATAGAGCAAAAAATACGGTACCTTGTACAGCCAAGATGAAGAGAGAAGCCAAAAGAACTATAGGAGGCAAAAATTCAAAATGATGCCAGGAGGACAGGAATGTTGTTTTACGAGGTTCCGTGCCCATCATGTTTCGGTGAGTCATCTTCTCCAGGCAAAGATGACACCGAGGACTAAATTAAGAATGTTAATGCAATAACCTTATGTAAGGTTTTTAATGCAGCGCTCTTAATATAGTTCCTGCGGTCATCTCACCTTTCCCTCCTGCACAATGCGACAAGGCAAAACATGTTGGCTGTGCCATGTTATAAAATCAAATTATCCTCTTTTTTTGTTTCGTTTGGGTGGTTTTCTTCTCATCCTTTATGCTGCCCCCCCGCCCGAAATCTCAACCAGAGATTGGCTGACTACCACTTTAGTATCCTCAGAGATACAAGGAGCTCAAAATGACTGCAGAAGGGGTTTCCCTCCTCACAATATCCCTGCGAGGTAGGCCAGGATGGGAGACAGTGACTGCCTTAAGGTCACACACTTCCATGGCTATGTGGGAATTTGAACCCAGGTCTGATTGCTCTAAGCCCAACGCTCTACTTAGCTCTCAGCTGCTACATTTAGTTGGCTACCCAGGAGATATTTTCACAAATGTACGGCATTCTGACTTCAACCCAGTTCAGTTTTTGGCTCCTATAACTCCCCCTCCCCGAGTTTATTCTAGACCAATGTTTCCCAAACCTGGGTCTCCAGGCGTTTTGGGACTACAATTCCCATCATCCCTGACTACTGGTCCTGGTAGCTAGGGATGATGGGAGTTGTAGTCCAAAAAAAGCAGCTGAAGACCCAAGTTTGGGGAACCCTATTTTAGACACTTACCGCACCTCAAGAGCCAAAAATCTGTAGCTGAAAGGTACATCTACCTTGAAGCTATCTTGAAACCCTGCCCAGCCACTGCCAGTCAAAACAGACCATGTTTCCCCAAGCTGGTGCCCTCCAGATGTTTTGGAAACTATAACTCCCACCAGGAGTTGTAGTCTGAAGCATCTGCGGGGAGTCCACTTTGGGAAAGGCTGAGCCAAAAGGACCAATGGTCTTATTCAATATAGGACAGTTTCTTATATTTCCACGCCTGGTGCTAGAGGGGGAAGGCAAAACCACGATTAGCCATGGGGGTGGGGACCTAGCAGGATTTCCCACCGACCATGAAAATGTCACCCTTAGTCGACCTCTGTCTGCGAGTTACATCCATCTCGCCAGAGTCTTACAAAACTGGGCGCCTCCAAGTCATTCTCAGGTGTCAAGAGATGTGGCCGAATCGAACGCCTGGGAAGAGGCTGACTCTGGAGATGAAGGAATGCTGTTCCATAGGGAGCCAGAGTCTGACTCTGGAGACGAGGAAATGCAGACAAAGCAGGAGTGGGTTAGTTTGACCCTCCTTCATCCAGAGTTCCCAGACTCAGATAGAGCAGAACTTGGAAGGCTTGCAGGCAGAGGGAGGGGAGGAGATAGATGACATTGAGGGTGTTGCTATGCAACCAGGAGGGTGGTAGCGTTTGGAGGGATCTTCATTTGATAACGGGGGGCGGGATGTCTACCCACCTTCTCCCCGAACCAGAAGACCTGAAAGGGTTAAAATGCAACAGAAGTACAAGGGAGGAAGGACTGGACTTTGGCGCCCTTCGCGCTGCGAAAGGGGCGGAAACTCAGAGCGACCAACTAGTAGCAGAGAGTGGCAGGCACGGATGTAAATTGTAAATAAACATGCCCTAAAACTGCCAGAGACTCATTAATTCTGATCGGAGCGTGCTTGCATGCCTGAGATTGTGACATCAGGACTTTGGCGCCCTTCGTGCTGCGAAAGGGGCGGAAACTCAGAGCGACCAACTAGTAGCAGAGAGTGGCAGGCACGGATGTAAATTGTAAATAAACATGCCCTAAAACTGCCAGAGACTCATTAATTCTGATTGGAGCGGGCTTGCATGCCTGAGATTGTGACATCAGGACTTGCCAAAGCGCTGGGTCTCTCACCTGCCAACATCTTGTGGACCGGAGGCGTGACGTCCACTTCGGCCAGCTGGTCATAGCTGGAAGGGTGGTAGAGCCTCACCTGGGCGCTGCCCTGAAGGGTGACCCAGACCCCCGCTGAGGAGCTCACCATGCAGGTGAGGCTGCGGTTGCTGTCTTGCCCGACGTGAAAGGAGTGCTGGAGAAGAGAAGAGGTCAGGCTGAAGCCGTGTGGAACAGAGGGAATCCCTGACGCTCTGAACGGGGGGACCACCTTTCCCAGGGTTTCCCCCCAGTGCAGAAACCTGACCTCAGATGGTGGCAGCTAGCGGGGAGTTGTGGTCCAGGGAATGGGGTCCCCCTTGAACCACTGCTTATCTCAAAGTGGTCCATGTTTGCTGTTTCACTGTGTTTTTTCTATTCTGTGGGAAGCCGCCCAAAGGGCAGATGGGGCAACCCAGTGTCAGGGATTGGACTCAACAGGACGAGACTGAGGAGGAGGACTGGTGGGAATCACACACACCCCTTTCTCCCGACGCTGCAGGAGAAGAGGGAGAAGACGCTGCAGGAGAAGAGGGAGACAGTTTGATTTACAATTTGATTTACAGTTTTGATTTACAATTTGATTTACAGTTTGATTTACAACCGCTTTGAGGCGGTTGCTGAACAACATGGTGGATTTCTGGCTGAAACATCGGCTCTGGATCCATTCCAGTCCAGCTTCCGTGCTGGTCATGGGACCGAGACGGCTCTGGTCACCCTAACAGATGATCTCCACAGGCAGCTGGATCGAGGCGGGTCAGGGCTGCTGATTCTTTTAGACCTGTCAGCAGCCTTCGACATGGTCGATCACGAACTTCTGGACCACCACCTCGCCAACGTGGGGATCCAGGGCACACCCCTTCAATGGCTGCGCTCGTTCCTTTCAGGTCGGGGACAGAGGGTGGCGCTTGGGGGGGGGAACTGTTGTTGCACCACTTGGTGTGTGGAGTGCCCCAGGGTGCGATACTCTCCCCGATGCTTTTCAGCATCTTTATGCGCCCCCTCGGCCAGCTTGTCCGGAGTTTTGGGCTGGGCTGCCATCAGTATGCTGATGACACCCAACTCTATCTGTTGATGGATGGCCATCCTGACTCGGCCCCAGACACACTGACCAGATGTTTGGAAGCTGTGGCTGGATGGTTACGTGGGAGCCGGCTGAAGTGAAATCCTTCAAAGACGATATGGGATTGGAGGGCCAACTCCCATCTCTTGCGGGGGCACAATTAGTGCCAGCACCGTCCATTAAGAGTTTGGGTGTAATCTTTGACACCTCCCTTTCTATGGAGGCACAGGTTGCAGCTATAACAGAGGCGGCATTTTTCCATCTCCGCCAAGCTAAGCAGTTGGCTCCTTACCTCTCTTGCCCTGACCTAGCCACTGTGATCCACGCGACGGTCACCTCGCGTTTTACTGTAACTCACTCTATGTGGGGCTGCCCTTGAGACTGACCCAGAAACTCCAGCAGGTGCAGAATGCTGCGGCGAGACTCCTTACGGGGTCTTCACTGCGAGATCACATTCACACGGTGCTATACCAGCTGCACTGGCTCCCAGTGGAGTACAGGATCAGGTTCAAGGTGCTGGTTTTAACCTTTAAAGCCCTATATGGCCTAGGACCCTCGTACCTACGGGACCGCCTCTCCTGGTATGTCCCACGGAGGACCTTACGGTCTTCAAATAAAAACATATTGGAGATCTTGAGCCATAGGGAGGTTAGGCTGGCCTCAACCAGAGCCAGGGCTTTTTCGGTCGTGGCCCCGATCTGGTGGAATGCTCTGTCACAAGGGACTAGGGCCCTGTGGGACTTGACATTTTCTGCAGGGCCTGCAAGACAGAGCTGTTCCACTAGGCCTTTGGCCAAGGCACAGTCTGACCCTCTCCTGTAAACCTCATAGAACTCTAACCCAATGGTTGTCATTAATTCGATTCTGAATTGATTTTAAAATGTATTTTACTTAATTGACTGTGTGATTTTATGTACACTGTGCTATTTTTACTTGTTGTTAGCCACTCTGAGCCCGGCTTTGGCCGGGGAGGGCGGGATACAAATAAAAAAATATTTTTATTATTTATTATTGAGGTTGCAGCACAGAGATAGACAAACAAAGGAGTTGGGACGTGTTAGAAGAAAGTGGGTGGGTGGGAATCGTGACAGGGCAGCCAGCTGACACGTTGTCACTGGAGAGTATTTCTGAACCCCCTTCTCCCAGAATTTGGTGTAAATTAAGGGGTGCAGGAACAATGGAAGCAGAGACTTTTGGCTACAAACAGCCACCGTAAGGGGGGGGGGCGTTGTTGTTAGGAATGTGGGAGGAGGAGCCCAGTTTGGAGCAACACCATGTTAAAACATGTTGCGTTCGTTTGTCGCTCCCTTATAGGATTGAAAAAAACTAATTAAAAACGACTCTCCTTGTTTCCTCCATACCTCCTGTTGCAACGAAGATGTGCTAAGGACGACGACACGGTTCTGGCATCCGCACCAAAGTTTGCCACCCACGGCCACCATTTTGGTCACAGGGCTGCCGGGAGAACCCAGAGAGAGGGATTTGGAGTTCTGAGAGTCCCAAAAGCGTCCTGGAAAAGAGAGAGAGAGAAGGAAGAAGGGGAAATAAGATGTCAGAGGTTTCTCTTCTCCTTCACAGAATTTAAACATGCCGGAAAATAAGGTGAGAATGGAGGGTACTGAGATTCTAAAGGAGCAGAAAAGACTTTTCATGTATGCAAGGGATGCTGTTAGCCCAGAGATGGAAAGAAGATAAAGTCCCTACCAGAGAGGAATGGCAAATTAAGCTGTTGGACTACGCCAAAATGGCAAAACTGACCGGAAGGCTCAGGGACCAAGACGACAAAAGTTCCAAGAAAGAATGGGAAATATTTATAATTCATTTAAGAAACCACTGTAGGCAAATGAAAACATTAGCAGGATTTTAACAAATACGTTGGATAATATGGATAGACTTAAAATATGGAGGATGGAATAATATGCAGCTGAAAATGACAACAATAGGACACATGAAGGGGATGGTGGGAAGTCTAGAGCTTCAGAGAAATCTCTTAATGTGGGTATTTACTTGGTATTGTTGTAACTCTACGCTTTTAAAAGCAAATAAAAATTATTATTTGTTAAAAAAAGAGAATGGAGTGTCATAAAACGCTGAGCAGGCAGAAAGGGCGGCACCACCTTGGACTCTGGCTGGTGGGTTCCAGCTCTGTGTTCGCATCCACGTGAAAAATCCCTGCAACAGAAAACTAGCGCGCCAGGGAGAAAGATGCCATTTCGCCTCTTCACCTGCTACGTTGGTTTTCCATCTGAAAGTTTGTGGCATAGAGGGGCGTTCCAAAATGTGATTATCCCACCCAGTCCGGTCTGCCGGCTCATTCTAAAGCAGGGTTTGGCAACCCAGTGCCCATGGGCGCCAGGGTGCCCTTGGAAGCTTCTACAGGAGCCCCAGACTCCAAGCTTTCATTTCATTTTATTTTTAAAAGTAAGTCTCTAGCAGCCCTCCTAGAAATAAAGCTACGGTTCAAAATATGTATGTACCTTCCAGGCGATTTCTGTGAAATGGGAGCGAGTGACCACCTTGTGTATTTTTCCTGGTGCTGAGGAACGCTCCCTGTTGCTATGAGACAGCAACAGTGTGTCTGGGGATGGGCTACTCCCACCAAGCACCGCTATGAGCTCCAGCGAGCATTCGCACAAAGGTTTTTAAACCTTTTGTCACTGCTTGCTCCCTAAGCCTGTGACTTTCAAGGCCCAGAGGGTCACAGCAACTGAGTGCTCCTCCTATGCAGCCATGTGGCCGGGTACCGTATTTTTCGCTCCATAAGACGACCTGACCATAAGAAGCACCTACCGTATTTTTTGCTCTATAAGACTAACTAATTTTTTGCTCTATAAGAGGAGGAAGATGAGGAGGAGGAGGAAGATGAAGACGAAGAGTGAAGTTATAAAGCTGCTGTAAAGATTTTGTGCTCAAAAGTCAATGATTTTGCTAAGAATGTGAAGTCGAGTGCAGCTCATTGTTAGCTTCAGTATAAAAACTGTACAGAATTGTGTATAGGTAATGTGATTGTAGGGAGACCTGTATTCTAATGTAAGTAGTAGCTGAATGCCACTACTGTTAGATTTTTAAAAGCTGATATTGTCAAATGTTCAGGCATATTTAATGGTTCTTTGGATTCAGTGACAGCTTGATTTTGAGCAGAGTTAAAAAAAATGGTAGTAAATTGGTAGTCAACTAACTTTTCCCCTCCTAAAAAGTAAGGGGAAATGTGTGTGCGTCTTATGGAGCGAATGCAGGCTGCGCAGCTATCCCAGAAGCCAGAACAGCAAGAGGGATTGCTGCTTTCACTGCGCAGCGATCCCTCTTGCTGTTCTGGCTTCTGAGATTCAGAATATTTTTTTTCTTGTTTTCCTCGGTGCGTCTTGTGGTCTGGTGCGTCTTATAGAGCGAAAAATATGGTAGTTTTTAGAGGGGGAATGCAAGAAAAAAATATTCTTTAAAGGGAGCGTTGAGCAGAACCTGTATACATCCCAGGCTCTGCTCAGCGCTCCCTTTCACGAGCCGTCATGGGCTGCCCTTCTCCCTCCTCGGGGAAAAGCCCCCAAGAGCCGCACACACGCTCCATGCGGCTCGTGTAAGGGAGCGCGGCTCTTGGGGGCTTTTCCATGAGGTGGGGGAAGGGACAGAAGGGCTAAGCCAGAAGCTAGAACAGCAAGAGGGAGGGCTGCGCAGCGATCCCTCTCGCTGTTCTGGCTTCTGGGATAGCCGCGCAGCCTACATTCGCTCCGTAAGACACACACACACATTTCCCCTTACTTTTTAGGAGGGAAAAAGTGCGTCTTATGGAGCGAAAAATACGGTAGGTGTTTTGCTACAGCCGCCCATGTTTCCAGCATTAGAGCCTTCCTGAAAGCATCTTCATGGTCAAATAACTCACCGGCTTCTCTCTGGTAGGCAACGAGTTCTCCGTTCGCCAGCGATACAAACACCTGGTTATCTAGATACCTGTGGGGGAAAAGCAATGGGCTTTACAACGTAAGCTGGAAATCAAATGAGTGGCATAATAATAATATTTTTTTATTTATATCCTGCCCTTCCCGGCTCAAAAACCGGCCTCAGGGCGGCTAACAACAAATTTAAAACACTTAATTGTAAAGGCAGCATAAAATACAGTATAAAAACATGAATAGCAATAAAATTCAAAGTTCAGAAATCAATTTGGGGGAAATCCATCTAATAGAGCATTAGATAGTCACCAGGGCTAGCTGGCTGAATTGGTCCTACTTGGGCCAGCGAGGAGGCCAGGGGAGAATTAGCTGTGGGTCTCAGAGCGGGTGATCTTCATAAAAAGGGGAGGGAAGGGAAATAAAAGATCAAGCTGAATTCAAATTAAAGGCCAGGCGGAATAGCTCTGTCTTACAGGCCCGACAGAAGGAGGTTAAATCCTGAAGGGCCCTAATCTCATGGGACAGAGCATTCCAGCAGGGCGGAGCCATCACTGAAAAGGCCCTGGCCCTGGTGGAGGATAGTCTGACTTCTTTAGGTCCCGGGACCTCTAAACTATGGTAATTCGTGGACCTTAAGGTCCTCTGTGGGCTAAGCAAGAATCAGGGTCGCCCATGTCCACACTGATACAGCAACTCCTAATTTAATCATGAATGGCAGTTAATATTGGTGGGACACCTTTTTGCTTAAAAGCATTAATTTCCCATGTGAACTAACTGATTCAGAGCTTAGTCATTCTGAGATCAGGGAGCAAATGCCATCGCAAATGTTTTCCACCCATCTCTGTTTGAGGCTAGAGGGAGGAGGGCGAGATTGCCTTGGAGTAGATGCTTCCTCATCTCCATCATTTTAGCAACTGCTTAGTTTTGCAGGAGTAAATACCGTATTGGCCCGGATATAAGCCGCACCCGAATATAAGCCTCACCTTTAAAATTCAAGGGGGGGGAAAGAAAAGAAAAAGACAATACCCGAATATAAGTCGCTCCCTTAAAATTCCACAGGCATTCACACCTGTTCCATATGTCTGTTTTAGCAGCAATATCGTAAAAGCCGATTTTTGTAAGGTCACAAATTTAAGCAGCGCTTTAACTTTTCACAGTCGGAATTTGGGGGGAAAGTGAGGCTTATATTCAGGCCAATACGGTACAATATGTACTTCTTGGTACGATTAACCAAGCAGCAAAGTCACGTGAATGATGGTGAACAGGAAGGCCATAGCAAGACCTGCGTCTGGGGTGTACCCCTTCATCTTGAAGGTGAGGGCTCACATGACTAAATATGAACATCCTCATTTCCTGCTTTTTAAAAATAATTTGTTCTGGTTTTTGCTAGTCGAGGGTGGGGCAAGGACCTTGAATTCCCCCATTGCCTCACTACTGAAAATTGTATTCAGCCACTTTTGGATTTTGCAATTTATGAAAACAGTTTCACACAGAGATTTTCCGCCCTGTGGTCTAAAAAGGTGATTTAAAAAGAAAGCTGGGTTTCTCAAGAAGCTGGATTCTGTGCTCACTTATCATACATTCTGCATTTCAGTACACCCTGCGTGAAGCTCCACTTACAGAATGCACGTCACGGAGGCCGAATGTTGCATCTTCATGCTATTCTTCCTGTTGCGGATGTTGTCTGAGGACTGGTAGACATGGATGCTGCAAATCAAGGAGAATGGAAGCAGGCATGAGACTCTGGCTGGTTTGTAGGGAGAAAAATCAGTGCTTTGCTGACTTAGCAAACTAATGCCGGTGTACTGGAAGAAGCAAAGATCACCAGTGTCAAAGCGATGATTCTTCAACATCAACTTCATTGGACTGGTTATGTTGTTCGGTTGCCCGATTATCATCTTCCGGCTGATTGCCGAAGAATTGATGCTTCTGAATTCTGGTGCTGGAGGAGACTCTTGAGAGTCCCATGGAGAGTCCCAAGAAGAGCAAACCGATCCATTCTGAAGGAAATCAGTCAGGGGGGTGCTCACTGGAAGGACAGACCCTGAAGCTGAGGCTCCAATACTTTGGCCACCTCATGAGAAGAGAAGACTCCCTGGAAAAGACCCTGATGTTGGGAAAGATGGAGGGCACAAAGAGAAGGGGACGACAGAGGACGAGATGGTTGGATAGTGTTCCCGAAGCTACCAACGTGAGTTTGACCAAACTGCGGGAGGCTGTGGAAGACAGGAGAGCCTGGCGTGCTCTGGTCCATGGGGTCACGAAGAGTCGGACACAACAAAACGACTAAACAACAACAACAACAAAGCAACTACTCTATTCCGAACTTAAAAATGGAAAGCGTAATGCTGGTGGTCAACAAAAGAGGTTTAAAGACTCTCTCAAGGCAAATCTAAAAAATGTAGTATAAACACCAACAACTGGGAAACACTGGCCAGCGAGCGCTCCAGTTGGAGAACAGCCTTTACCAAAGGTGTCATGGGCTTTGAAGACGCTCAAACTCAGGACAAAAGGGAGAAACGTGCTGAGAGGAAGACACGCTTGGCAAACCCTCACCGTGATCAAACTCCTGCCCGGAAACCTATGTCCCCACTGTGGAAGTACGTGTGGATCCAGAATTGGCCTTCACAGTCACTTATGGACTCACTCTTAAAATCGTGTTCATGGAAGACAATCTTACTTGGCTACAAGTGATAGCCAAAGAGGAAGAAAGATTCTGCTTTTGAAACATAATAATAATAATAATAATAATAATAATAATAATAATAATTTTTTTTATTTATACCCCGCCCTCCCCAGCCAAGATTGGGCTCAGGGCAGCTAACAACCGATATAAAAACAAATTGATTGAAATACAACTTAAAAAGCAAGATTAAAATACAACATTAAAATGCAATATAAATTCCTGGGATCTAGCCTCCCTTGGCTGCAGGCCTGTGGCCAAAGAGATCTTATGGATTTGCCAAAGACACAGCATTGACTTTCAATACTCGATGACAGATCCTTCCCACTCTGTGTCAGAACGCCTTTCGACATTCCATGACATCACAGCAGCCAAACCAGTAGCTAAGGGAGCTCACTGAGAGCAGACAAGTTTTAGCTTGTTATGTAGGGAGAAAGAAAGAAAAAAGTCTAAAAAGATTTCAAGGCGCTGTCTGCCTACCAGCCATCCTCTGTCCCCAGCCACATGGAACTCTGATAGGCCTCTGGGTCGATGCTCAGAAGGTCCTCCAGGCTGCCTCTGGTGAATGACCCTCGACTTGACCGCCTCAACGCCCGGCCGTCCATGGGGCTGTCGCTGTTCTGGGCAAAAGTGGTGGCAATGGGAAGGAAGCCAGCAGGGTCTTGCTCCTCTTCCGAGCTGGTTGTCTCGGCCGTTGCGTCTTTAGAGCTCGGGATCTCCTCATCTGGCAAACGAGAGGCGAAGGGAACTAGCAAGGAACCTTCAAAGTCAAGGAAGGCCCCTGGCTTGGTCATTGAAACCTAACAGTTCATTTTCAGTTCTAAACCCAATTTGTCAGCTTTGCTACCAAATGCACATCTAATCTAGACTGTTAGTACAGTGGTGCCTCGGGTTACATATGCTTCAGGTTACATATGCTTCAGGTTACACACTCCGCTAACCCAGATATAGTGCTTCAGGTTAAGAACTTTGCTTCAGGATGAGAACAGAAATCGGGCTCTGGCGGCGCAGCGGCAGCAGGAGGTCCCATTAGCTAAAGTGGTGCTTCAGGTTAAGAACAGACCTCCGGAACGAATTAAGTACTTAAACCGAGGTACCACTGTATTTAGTTAAGCTGGAACTATGTTGGAGGAATTTCTCTCTTTCTTTACCAATTATTTTTTATTGCTTTTCCACAATTCTTAACAAATTGTGTTCCAAATTAATACAAATTTAAAAACTGACTTCCCAAGCCCCAGGTGTTCCCTCTATTTTCTTCCCTCCTTTGCCGCTCCCAGTACAACAACATTTCTAATTTGCATTTCAAAATCTCATCGCTTTTCCCTATGCATCACCGGTCAATTACCAATTTCTGCTATGACTTTTATACCCTATTTTTCGCTCCATAGGGCGCACCGGACTATAGGGCGCAGCTAGTTTTTAGGGGGGGGAATTCAAGAAAAAAAATATTATTTAAAGGGAGCGCTGAGCAGAGCCCGTAGACATCCCAGACTCTGCTCAGCGCTCCCTTTCACAGTCCACATGGAATGTGTGTGCGGCTCTTGGGGGCTTTTCCCCGAGGAGCGAGAAGGGCAGCCCATCACTGACTGGCTGCCCTTCTCCCTCCTCGGGGAAAAGCCCCCAAGAGCGCCTCTGCAGGGCAGCGGGATGAAGGCTCGCTGCTGCCCTGCGGAGGCTTCGCGGGCTACCCCAGAGCTGCTCAGGAACTTATCGGGGCTGGTGGGGAAAGCCCGGGCTTCACCCACCACCCCCGACAAGCTCTGGGAGTATTTCCCACCTCCCGCAGAAGCCGTGCGCTTTTTAAAGGGGCTGCGCGGCTTCTACTGGCTTTTCTAGGAGATGGGGGAATTTCTCCCACCTCCCGCAGAAGCCCGCAGATAGTGTGTTTTAGGGGACGACCCTAAAACCCTCCATCTGCACTCCTGGAGGAGGTCGGAATTGGGTGGGGGTCTTCCTCCACTCAGCTCTGCTGCCATGGAAGACCCTGCTGAGCCCACTGAAGGCGAGGGCTGATTGGGGAGCCACCACCAACAGGTTCCTGTCAATAGAGGGCAGAACGAGGCTCTGGGAACAAGGCCTTTTGGGGTGGGGTGACAAGCAAGGGCCCGGATCCGGGGAGCCCAATCGTGGAGCTGGCAAACAGAGCTCCTGCTCTGACTGGCAGCAGCCAGCAAGGCTTCATAAGCTGGGGGAGGGCTGCTTTATTAAAGAGAGCTCGTACTGTTGTTGCTGCGCGGTGCCATTGTTTATTTTGCTGCAAGCTGCACCAAGGAGCCTATTGCACCGAATTGACGGCATATTCCGAAAGAAGAAAAGGAAAATAATAATAACAGCAACTAACATTTAGTGGGAGGCTCTCATTTCGCTTGGAAGATGTCGTATTATTTTCCACGTAAAAGAAACACTGATTGCCATTCCTGAACTTGCGAGCTGAACAAGCAATAGCAGCTACCGTGTAAAACAATGGCAGGGACATTTACAGCCTTCTGAAAACGTCTGTTTCTCAGAAACGAAGACGCCGACGGCAATCTATTCACGTGCTTAAATGTTTCTACTCTGCCAGCTTGCACAAGGAAGTCGAAGAGACGTTCCTAAAAAGGAATTGTTTCTTAGGACGACACTCTGCATAGATGCAGAGTTGGGTTTGGAAAGGAGAGGTGCTGGGGTTCAAAAATATGCTCAGCAACAGAAGGGCACCTGGGGAAGGGGGCATGGCTGGCTTGGGGCAAGTTACTGTCCCTCAACGTTGCCGTGCGAATGGTCCGACTCACTTCCGAAGCTGGAAGATATTGTGGAGTGGCTGGCTTGGCTCTGGAGCGTGCCGGAAGGACTCGGCGAGGACTCATCATCCGTGTCGTCGCTGTCAAAGGGGACCAGTTCTCGGTTGGTGCCGTCCACGGGGTCCGAGAGCTCCAGGGAAGACCCGGAAATGGAGATATGCAAGCACTGCTGGGGGCCAGACTCGTCCATCGACGTGTGAACCGGTTCTGAGGAAGGGCTGGCCAGAGATTCGGGGCGCTCCCTGGGTGCAGCGTGAGATGGGAAGATAATAATATAATAATAATTTATTATTTATACCCCGCCCATCTGGCTGAAATATACATTTACTAAGAAACCAGAGACCTTTCTTCTTGGTCTGGAATTGCCCAAGAAAGATGTTAGCTTGTTTTTGTATGCCACAACTACAGCTAGAATTTTGTTAACTAATAAGCGGAAGACACAAGAAGTCCCAACAGTGGAGGAATGGCAGATGAAGATGATGGAGTTTTCGGAGCTAGCCGACCTCACCCGAAGAGTCTGCGACCAGAAGGAGGAGGACTACCAGGAGGAATCGATGAAATTCAAAGACTATTTAGTTAAACATGCTAAGATAACTTAATTAGAAAAAACTTGCAAATTCCAGATAGGCTTAGGATTTAAATATGTGATGTTAGAGAATAGTATGTTTAAAGTTAAAATGAAAAGAAAGAATGATGTTAAGTGATTAAGTTAATTTTATGAGAAACTTCGTTTTGGAAAAACTGTTACAATGATATACACTGAAACTCAACCAGGGGGATTTGAGGAAGTCACCTAACAATGTTACTAAGATTGGATTAAGTACAGTTAAGATTTATGTTTGTTTGTTTGTTTAAAAATTCTGGAAAATCAATATTTTTTTTAAAAAAAATAAAAATAAAATACAGTGGTCTGTTAAACATTAACAGCTTCCCTAAACAGGGCTGCCTTCAGATGTCTTCTAAACGTCTGGTAGTTGTTGTTCTCTTTGACATCTGCTGGGAGGGCGTTCCACAGGGTGGGTGCCACCACTGAGAAGGCCCTCTGCCTGGTTCCCTGTAACTTCACTTCTCTCAGGGAGCGAACCGCCAGAAGGCCCTCAGAGCTGGACCTCAGTGTCCAGGCTGAATGATGGGGGTGGAGACGTGAAGAGAACAAAAAGGCATGGGAAAAAGATAAACAGAGAAGCTGCATCTCTGCACTGAGCAGCAAAACATGAGCTGCCAGGATGGAAGCCTAAGAGGGGACAAGAACTGCAGAGGTTGGGGATTTGCTGCTTTCAGGAACCAGGAAGCACAGAACTAAATGCCCTTTAATAGAATCATAGGACTGCAGAGTTGGAAGGGACCCTGAGGCTCATCTAGTCCAACCCCCTACAACGCAGGGATCATTTCCTGGGTCCTGGACATCTCTCCCCCCATCACATTTCCAAAGGTGCCAGAACTACTAAAACTCCTCTGCCTATTTTAACACCCAAGAGGGTCTGTAGGAAAGGACATGATCTTTCAGATATTCAAAGCACAGGTTCTGACCCCACTGTGTTGAACTAGGTCCTGGGAGAGCAGGGTTCGAATCCCTGCTCGGCCGTGGAGTTCATTGGGTGACCTTGGGCCAGTCACTGCTTCTCAACCTAATCTAGCTACTCCATAAGGTTGTTGTTATTGCTGTAAAGATAAAACAGGGAGGAGATGTACGCCAGCCGCCTTGATCTCCTTGCAGGAAAGGCAGAATAGAAATGCAATAAACAGACAATAAATAAATTCTAATTCAGCAGCTTCCTGCAAGACACATCTCCCTAGCTTCCAGCCACGTTGTGATGGCCTGGGATTCGGACTCAGAGGCTGAACCTGAGGAATCCCAGCCTGCACAGGATTCCCCGCCTCCAGGACCAGCTGAGCCAGGGCTGGGGCTTGAGCCTGAAGGGTTCTCACCTGTGCTGGATCCTCAGGTGCAGGCATCAGCTGAGTCTGCTCTGGCTCCTGAGGTGATGGAGGACCCATTGCCTGCAGGTACTCCACTCTCAGCCCCGTCAGTGAGGGAACCGCCAGAAGGCCCTTGGAGCTGGACCTCAGTGTCCAGGCTGAACGATGGGGGTGGAGGACCCATTGCCTGCAGGTGCTCCACTCTCAGCCCCGTCAGGGGAAGCTGAGGTTGCCTCTGGGTCCGGTCACCCTCCAGCCTCTCCTGAGCTGCAGAGGCTCAGGGCAGAGAGGCGGAGGGAACTAAGTTCCCGCAGGAGGAGTGCTCGCCTCCAGGCCAGGAGAGGCAAGTCACCTGTGGACCGGGGCCACCCTATGCCTTGGGCAGATAAAAGCCAGCCAGCCCAGTCCCAGGTTGCAGGAGCAACATTGTTGGTAGCCTGTTCCTGCCTGCACCCTGTCCTGTTCTTCTGCCAGAGTTCCTGACCTCACCTGACTCCCGGCCTTGGACCCTGCTTCAGCTTTGACGGACAGCCTCCATACCACACCCTTGACCTCGGACTGGACTCGGACCTCGCCGCACGGTTAGCCCTTGGGACCAGCACACACGTGTTTATCTGACAGAAGCGGGTTCTGGATCCCCCAAAAGCTTACAAGCCAGCCCTTCTCAACCAGAAGTTCTTGGACTACACCTCCCACTATCCCTGACCACTGGTCCTGTTAGCTAGGGATGATGGGAGTTGTAGTTTTAACAACACCTGTGGAACCAAGGTCGAGAAAGGCTGGCTTACGCCATGAACAAATGTGTTCGCTTTCCAGGGGCCACGAGACTGGCCCCTGGAGAAGAGGAGGTTAAGGGGTGATATGATAGCCATGTTCAAATATATAAAAGGATGTCACATAGAGGAGGGAGAAAGGTTGTTTTCTGCTGCTCCAGAGAAGCGGACACGGAGCAATGGATCCAAACTACAAGAAAGAAGATTCCACCTAAACATTAGGAAGAACTTCCTGACAGTAAGAGCTGTTCGACAGTGGAATTTGCTGCCGAGGAGTGTGGTGGAGTCTCCTTCTTTGGAGGTCTTTAAGCAGAGGCTTGACAACCATATGTCAGGAGTGCTCTGATGGTGTTTCCTGCTTGGCAGGGGGTTGGACTCGATGGCCCTTGTGGTCTCTTCCAACTCTATGATTCTATGAGACTCTTTGCTGCTGCAGAGGTTCTAAAAGTGAAACCACCCACAGGAAAGTCCTCTTCTGCCGACTTCCTTACCGGAAGCTTCGCTTGAGGCCCGGCACAGAGGCGATGCAGAGGATCCTGGCAGAACAGACGGCGATGCAGGCCTCAACGATGGGCTCCTTTTTGACGCTGAGGAGGCAGACCTGCCCGACGTAACCGTCGCTGTTGCACACCCAGACTTCGTAGGCGTTCTCCGGGTTGCTGTGGCTGGGTGAGGCGCAGGAGAACTGCCGGAGAAGGGACAAAAAACAGGTTGGTTTTAAAACAGGCCCTAAACCTTGTATAGAGGGGATTTCATTACTCTTCCATTTTGCTGCAATCAAAACTCTTGCTGCTGCCATCGCATATAAAAAGATAAAAAAGACTGGATCCAAAAGCTGACAGAATATGCCGAATTAGATGGTCTATCAGAAAAAATAAAGAATAAATCAAAACAGGAATTTGTTTCAAAATGGGAGGTTTTCAAAGAATATCTGAAAAATAAATATAGTAATTTAAATTCTGTTGCAGCATTCGAGGAACTTCAGTAATAGTTGCAAGGTAGACATAAGAAATTAGATTTATTAAGAATAAGTTTAATTATGATAAAAGTGTGTATTGGCAATAAGTAATATGAAATTGAAATATGGAATATGGAATAGACGGGAGGTTGTGTCTTTAGTGTTAAGACCAATATATGTTTTATTGTTTGCTAAGAAAATTATGTGTCTATGGTTATTCTTGTGTGTAATTTGGTATTTGTGTTTTTTTTCTTTTTTCTTGTTGTATCAATAAAAATTAAAATGAATAAATAAAAAATAAAATAAAAAATAAAACAGGCCCTAAAAAGCACTCACTGGCATGGGCCCAACCAAAAATACTTTCTCCAGAACCGATAATTGATTGGTGACAAGAGTCTTTAATGGAAGTGCGGTAGAATTAAATGAACAGCACTGGGGTGCACTGTGGGTTTCTTTCCTTAGCAGTAAGGAGGTGGAACTATTTTATTTATTTACTTTTTCAAAGGACCTTTTTGTTTATAAGAGGGAATGCTCGGTGGGTAATGACTCTTACCTTGGCTGGGACGAAGGAAGCTCCACTGTCTGTGAAAACTTCTCCAAATAATATCCTCCAAACATACAGGTTTGAACAGAGCTTTTGCTTACAAAGAGGACCATTAATGCCTGAAAGTGAAGTGCTGCTCAGAGCTCAAGCCTTTAACAACCAGCTCCAGCAAGCCAACTCTTAAGATTTTAGGTAGAGGTGCTTTTGACTCATCGGTGGCAAAGGAGCACTGGGGGTTTGTGTTGAACTATGGTTTCAGACAGTTAATATGGAAACGGTTGCAACAAACAACAGATGAACTGTGTGAATTTGGTTTGCAAGGCTTGGACCTACCTGCATTCCACTCCTCGTTTTCATGATGGGAATCGCCTTCAGGAATTCAGGGTCCAGGCAGCTTTTGTAGGAAGCTGGTTACGAAAAGGAAAACAAACAAACCTGTAGTGCGGTCCGATTTGCGGCATAATCCGCTGCAGCTCTGTGGAGTCACGATAATGAACAGCCATCTTGAATCTATCTACCCTGCTTCTAAAATCTGACCGTTCCCCGGTTCTCGCCTCTAAGACTCCACAGCCACTGGCTAAACTGCTGTGATGTCACAGCATGTTCGAAAACATTTCAGCTGCCCACGCTATTTGTCAGCAGCAGTTTGCAAAGAGTGGTGTTCCTGCGGTGGAAGCAAGCAGTCAATTTGACTGGGGATAAAAGCTTGCAGCTTGTTCATCAGTGCTGCAGGAGCACCTACAGAGAGGGGGAGTGTTAGGGGGAAAACCCCCCACACCTATTTATGTTCCAGATCAGCCCCTCCATATAGAGGAAGAGGCAAGACAGAGTATGTCTTGGGTTGAACTCTAGGTTGAGGGAGGAGCACGACAGCACATTTTTTGGCTAACCTCTCTCTTCAGAACTACTTCTAAAGGCCTAAAGAGGCAGATGAGGAAGATAACTTGTGCAGAGGCTCTACCTGCAGTTCAGACTGAGCTCAAGCCATAGCTGTCAACTTACAGATTTGAAAATAAGGGACCAGCAGTCTTGAAAATAAGGGATCAGCAGCCAAAATAAGGGATTTTAGTCAACCAGCTGAAGTACGAAGTTAAAAGGGACCAGATCATTTTGGAGAGCAGCGCCGGTTTTTAGCCCTTCGTTTCCAGAGGTTGCTGCTCAAGACACCAGCTGATGAAACACTGCAATTAAATAACTACAAGCAGTAACCACTTTTTGCGCAAAATGAAGTCCAAGCTACGAAGATGCTGCTGCAGTTCTGTATCTTTTCTCTCGTGCTCCATCTGCAGCTCTCAGTTCCATCAGGCGGGGCAGGAGGAAGGGGGGGGAATGGCGCCCAAAGTAAACCCGCAGATCAGACCATCTATGCTAATCTACCACTACAAATCTAGGGGAGAAGCGCTTGCGGTCCTTCCCTTGTAGCCCTTGGAACACCTGCCCGCACCTCCGCCTCCCCCTCCTCTCTCTGAACTGCTTTCTCTGTGGTTGCCCTTGCTCTCCTCTCAAGGCTCCTCAGCAATTCATAGACCATGCCAGGCTGGCCATCTCATCCGGGTCCTTTGGCGGCACAGCTGCACTAAGGCCTTGTGGGAGCGGGGGCGACGGGCAGAGGGGAGGCCCCAGGCAGAGACGCTCAGTTCGGCAGCCACAAGGAGGATGGCGGCAGAAGGGCCCAAGGCTCCTGCCAGTCCCAGCGGGGAGGGGCTCCCAGGGGCCGAGGCTGGTGAGAGGAGGCCGGAGGGGGGCAGGCGGGGCAGCCAAGCAACACAGTTGGAGCCTCCCTCCTCCCTGGCCGGCAGGGAGGGAGGGAGAGGAGCTGCTTCCTTTGAAACCCGGGAAATTTAAGGGACACCCATCAATAAGGGACAGCAGTGGGACATGGCACTGGGATAAGGGACTGTCCCTCCAAATAAGGGACGCTTGACAGCTATGACTCAAGTTACCCAATGTCCCCCCCTAAAAATATAAATCCACACACACAGAAAGCTAGCATGTCAGGGAGACAGACTTCAGCTTCATACTGGCACGCTAATTTTCTATGTGCAGGGATGGGCCATCAAGTAGTGCTCTTGTGCCAAACATTATGAGTTTTATTAACCGCATGACGTGTGCGGCTGCTCCGTAACAAGAGTCCTCTGGGCGCTTTACTACGTGCTCCCGACCCCAAAACATTGAAACAGTGTAAAGCAGTAAAAAAACCCCTACAATATCAAAAAACAAAACCCCAAAACACTCAAGACAAAGACCTAGTTTCTTTTTGGTGTCCTCGAAGGCTTGCTCAAAGCTATGTCGCGCGTCTGGGTTGGGGAACTCAAAGATGTAGGACTCCGTGCCGTCCGCCTTGGTCGCCGTGAGTTCCATTTTGTTGGGCGGGAAAGACTGGGTGAAGGAAAGAGACTGCTTCTCCGCCAACTCGCGATGGATGGCGGCCATCAGGTCCTTGATGACGTCGTCCAGGCTCTGAGGGTGAGTGAACACAAATGCTGGCATTAGCTGGGAGAACGCCATGGACTTTGTGGAATACAACTCTGCGGCAGCAAGTTTCCAGTCCATCTTATGCAGTCGCAACAGCCCACAAGCCTGTAAGGGCAACCTTTAGCCCTTATCAACTGGGTTGGGATCAGACCTTTGATTTCCAAGCTCCACATTTAGAGGTGACCCAACTGGAAGGCATCAAGGACAGGGCCTTTTCGGTGGAGGCACCACAGATGATGTGACTAAAATTTTCCTGATTTTAGACGGTTGCTAAGTTATTCTTTCTTTCTGGAACGCATTTGTGGAGGTTTAAATGCTGCTGCCTTTTTGGTTTGTGACTTTTAGAGTTGGTATATTTTAATCTTTAAATGGCATACATAAATAACCTTTATTTGTGTATGCCGCTACTGCGGCTCGTTTTCCATTAAACCCAAAATGGAAAATGAGCGAGGTCCCAACCAAAGAAGAATGGCAACTTAAGTTGACAGAATATGCGCAGCTTGCAGACTTAACATATAGAATAAGAGAAGAACATACGTTTAAAGAAGATTAGAGAAACGTTTACTGAATATATGGGGGGGGGGGGAGTCATGTACACCTGAAAATGTTGGCAGCGTTAATATAAATTCAACAGTGTAAATAAGTTTTGATGGATGTAATTATGGAATACTAGAAAACTGCGGGAGGCAGTGGAAGACAGGAGGGCCTGGCGTGCTCTGGTCCATGGGGTCATGAAGAGTCGGACACGACTAAACAACAAAAGCAATGGAATACTGAATGGTATAGTTTATGTAAAATATGCAGGGATTTGTGATATGAAAAATGAACCATGGAAAGAGAAGAAGTCATTGATATTTTAAGGTTGTTTAAATGAATATTTTCAATTATGAAACAGAAAATTTAATAAAAATAACACACACACACTATATATATATTTGTGTGTGTGTGTGTGTGTGTGTATAGAGAGAGAGAGAAATGGAAGCCATTCTGATGGTCTTGTTAGAGATAATTGGAACTAAAAATGGCCTAGCACCCTCTCCTGGTATGCCCCACGGAGGACCTTACCGTCTTCAAATAAAAACATCTTGGAGATCCCGGGCCACAGGGAGGTTAGGCTGGCCTCAACCAGAGCCAGGGCTTTTTCGGCTGTGGCCCCGATCTGGTGGAACGCTCTGTCACAAGAGACCAGGGCCCTATGGGACTTGACATCTTTCCGCAGGGCCTGCAAGACAGAGCTGTTCCACCAGGCCTTTGGCCAGGGCACAGTCTGACCCCCTCCTTCTGTAATCCTCATAGAACTCTAGCTCAATGGTTGCTATTAATTTGATTCTGAACTGATTTTAGAATGTATTTCAATTAATTGATTGTGATTTTATGTAAACTGTGTTACTTTTATTGTTGTTAGCCGCTCTGAGTCTGGCTTTGGCTGGGGAGGGCGGGATATAAATAAATTTTATTATTATTATTATTATTAATTTTACAAAACGCCTGTACTTGCCCCGACAACCTTGATGGTTCTCACCTGATGTGGGAAGCTGAGGGTCTCTGAAAGCTTGCTGACTTGGCCAAGGGTGCTGAGGTCTTCATCCAGGCGGGAGATGGCTTTCTGGATGCTCTCACGATTGGGCGATTGAGAAGCCCCTGGAGATGGACAGAAATCACACATCACACCGCGTTTGTCTCAGGCAAGGAGGCTGGAGATCTAAGCCAGCTGCATTTCTCAGTATCTATGGCTTGTTCTGACATAACACGAAACACTGACTTTATATAGCACCATTTGGAGGTTTAAAAATGCGGCAAGCGGTTACGCCACGTGGAAGATCAGCGGCGATAATCCTTGAATTACTGTATTCCTTGCACCAGTTATGCTAGTGATACCCTTCACTTTAAATTGACGAACCCTAATTTAAAGTGGGCATGAGGTGGTGGCAAGCAAACTGTGTGTTTCTAAAGGTTCTGGTTGCTGTTCTCGACTGACGATCATGAGCCACACGGCACGGCAACAACTTGATATAGAAGTTGCAGCTCGTGCAAAACTCTGCTGCGTCCCTCAGTTTTCAAATGTAATCTGTTCCGGAAGACCGTTTGAGTTCCGAGATGTTCAGAAACCGAAAACTCAATACGAAAGCCTCAATACGGAAAACTGTGTACAGTGGTATCTCAGGTTAAGTACTTAATTCGTTCCGGAGGTCCGTACTTAGCCTGAAACTGTTCTTAACCTGAAGCACCACTTTAGCTAATGGGGCCTCCTGCTGCTGCTGCGCCGCCGGAGCACGATTTCTGTTCTCATTCTGAAGCAAAGTTCTTAACCTGAAGCACTATTTCTGGGTTAGCGGAGTCTGTAACCTGAAGCATCTGTAACCTGAAGCATATGTACCACTGCATTGAAATGCATGGCATGTCCTACTTCTGAATAGTGTTCAAAAACCGAAGCATTAACTTCCAGGTTTATGGCGTTCAAAAACCAAAACATTCGTCAACAGAGACGTTCGAAAACCGAGGTACTGCTGTTCAAAATGTTCCATCAGCTGCCAATGCCGCTGAGCTACATTCAAGGTTTCCTCTTAAGCCTCCCTGCAAAACATATTCATTTTATTTCTGCAGCTTTAAATCCCTGTAGGTTCGTACGTTTCAATACTGTTTTATTGTCTGCATTGTGTTTTATAGACTTCTGTTTCTGAACAACGCTTGGGTATCCTCTGGACGCAGAGATGTTTATGAATTCTGAAAGGGAACAACACCGACGGCAACAGACCTTTCACAATGTCCAGGTCTTCCAGCGGAAATTTCCAGAGCAATTTGTACTTGCTGGCTGTGTCGATCACACTGGCTGCTGTGTAACTGCAAAGAAAAATCACGTAACACTAAGAACGGGAGCAGTACTGACTGCAACCACTAAGTGGCCTTGTTGGCCTATTTTAGAGACGAACACCTTCCATTTAGATTTTAAGTCTTCTTTCTTCCCTTGATCAAGATGCTAAGCTTGTGGGCAGGGCCTAGTCAATTTTCTAACTTATGTGCAAAACCTAGATTTCTGAGATGCCTCCAATATAAGGCACACTTGACTGCCAATTGTGCATTCTTGGCTGAGATCATAGCTGTCAACCGTCCCTTATTTGGCGGGAAACTCCCTTATCCCAACGCTGTTTCCCACTGCTGTCCTGGATTGATGATGTCCCTTAAATTTCCCGGGTTTCATGCTCGCCCGGCTCGGGAGGGAAGCGGCGGCTCGGGGTCCTCCGCCACGAGAGAGTGCGCGCACAAGCTGCCGCGTCTCCGTCTCTCCCTTTTTCCCCTCAGGGGCGCGTCGTGAGGAGAAGGGTGGCGGCGGGCGGGCAGGCAGCGCCTCTCTTGTGAGACTTCCGCCGCGCTGCCAGAGGAAGCCGGAGGCGGCTGAGGAGGCAGTATGAGGGAGGAGGAAGAGGAGGGGATGGGGAGGGACGCAGAAGGGCGGCGCATCAGCGGCCACCGCGGCAACGCAACCGCCTCATGCCGGGCTCGCAGGCGAGAGTCTCTCTTCCTCCCTCCCTCTCTCTCGAGCGGGAAAGGGCCGATGGAACTCCTCGCGCCAGGACGACGGCAACCCCGACGAGAATAAGCTAAGCAAAATCCCTTATTTTGGCTGCTGATCCCTTATTTTCAAGGCTGCTGGTCCCTTATTTTCAAGGCTGCTGGTCCCTTATTTTCAAATCTGTAAGTTGACAGCTATGGCTGAGATGGACCCTATTTTTTTTATTATTTTTATTTTTGCTGCATTTCAGGTGTGCGCAATTCAATACTAGAGGTGGGGCCTTTCCCAGGCGTTGAGCTGGATCCTGCAGTTCCCGATGGGGAACTGCAAAGAACAGCCAACCCCTGCTGAAAGCAGGACTCGAACTCAGCACTGACCGTGTGACAGAATTCCCAATGGAGAACTCCATGCTAATTTATTAATTTATCCCAGCTGCCGTGGGGCTACCACGCACCCCCGGTTATGCCACAGTGGTTATTCACTGGCAGCCACATCTCTGGCTAACCCACCCCTGACATCAGGTGTGGGGCAGGCGGGCGTGGTTTGGGCCCATGCCTTATGGATAGAAATGGTCCCCGTGGGAGCCGAGAAACAGTCTGGCTCCTAATAAGATGCCTGTCCTTTGTAACTACGGTATATCCTCTCCTGCCTCCCTGAACATTCCCACAGACACCCGTGACTCTTCATCAGCAGACTCCTCTTGGCTTCCTCCTCTCCTGCTTCTGCCTCTAATTCTGGCCGCCTCTCTGCCATAGAATCTCCCCGCTCACTAAGCCCTGTTCCCTCTCCATCTTCCAACGCTTCCTCTTCCTGGTCTTCTCCCTCTGACCACTCATCATTGTCCCACCACCAATCCCCGGGATCTGACCCTTCTTCCCTTGGGGGTTCCCCAGCTGGTTCCCCCCCCAGTCCATCGCAGACATGTCCCTCGAGCCGTCAATCGCACAGCAACTTCCGGTGGGCTTTGGGGGTCAGTCACTTACAGGCTCATGGAGCTTCGCCGCAAGGACCCGGACTTGCGTTTCAGGGTGGTGCAGACGAGCAGATCTGTGAAGAGGAAAAGCGAGCGGTCCTTCTTCCCGCCCACGGCCTTCTGCAACAAGACACAGGAGAGGTCAGGCTGGGACAGCTCAGTCGGTCGAGCAAGAGACTCTTATAATCTCAGGGTTGTGGGTTCGAGTCCCACATTGGGCCAAAGAGCCCTGCATTTATTAAGTGGTTTTTACAGGACTACCTCTCCTGGTATGCCCCACAGAGGACTTTAAGGTCCATGAAAACCATAGTTTAGAGGTCCCGGGCCCAGAGCACACAGAAACACCATTTACCTTCCCGCTGCAGTGGTACCTATTTATCTACTTGCACTGGTGTGCTTTCGAACTGCTAGGTTGGCAGGAGCTGGGGCAGAGCAACGTCGTGGGGATTTGAACCACCAACCTTCCGATCAGCAAGCCCAAGAGGCTCAGTGGTTTCGTCCACAGCGCCACCCGCATCCCTAAATTTCATTATAAACCGCTTTGAGGAGGTTTTTTTCTTTCTTTAGCAATCAAGCGGTGTGTAAACTTTATGAAAATTAAACAAAAAACAGGGTACCGCCTCTCCTTCCCTTATGCTCCCATGTTAGTTTCTCCCATGGCAAAGCCGCCATTTTACTTGCGTAGCAGGAAAAGGTGCTCTTTGTGAATATTCCATATTTGAGCCTTCCCCTTTGCTTTGCTCCTGGATATTCTATGGGATCATGGCAATTGTCCTTTGTGGGAAGGGGGTGATTGGTTGTGTTTTGCTTTCGCTCTTGTTTTTATTGTGTATTTTGTGCTTACATCTTGCATTTTTTACGCTGCAAACCGCCCTGAGATCTTTGGCTGAAAAGCAGTGTGCTGCTATTATTACAGAGGGAAACAAAATTTTTGTTGCATTGACACCTGCAGTTGTTCTAACCTAATTTCGACGTGCTGATTTCATATCTGAAGTTGGTTTTGTTCTGTAAGCTCTAGGTTTTTTTGCAATTCATGTTTTTCACTTTTCACCATAATCTTTGTTTTTCACAATGCAAGAATTCAATATTTTATTAAACACATAGCCACTGTAGTACAATATGAGTATAAATGTAAGTGACTTATATAGCATTGAACATGACATGCATAGCATTGAAAATGACATGTATATCTATTTACAGTTGGAGGTATGGAAAAAAATGCATTCCCTTGGGATACACAGTATACATGTTCTTTCAATGCTGATTTCAAATCTGAAATCAATTTTCGTGTATGTGCTATAGTTATCTTTCAATTTCCGACTTTTGTCGATATGTCATATTTACACTGGGGATAAGTGTACACTGACACGTTGATCTACCCTAACCACATGGTAATTACTGTTTTGCAAACTTAATTTTTCTTTATTTTTATAGCTTTTTAACCTCAATATTTGTATTTTTCAGATCGGACTATGGCTTCTTCAAGTAGACAAAAATGTCATGCAACAGAAAATGAAAAAAAAATTGTTCCCCGGTGTTGCTGTTAGCAGCTCAGCGTGGAGAGAAGTGGCAGCAAAACAATGGCCCCTAGCAACTTTTACCAGGAAAGCAGCTATGTGGTGAGGGGGTCAGGGGAGATAAGACATGCCTCCCCCTCTGCTCCAAACTAACTGTCACCCCCCAAACCCAGAGGGGAAACCCCACACGGCCTCCTTGCACAATATTTAATTTTATTCCCGGCCATCAGAGAGGCAGCGGTGGTCGTTACTCGGTTGCATAATAAACCTAACCCCAACCACCGCAGGGAACAGAGAAATAAAACTACGCGCACTTTTAATTCCACCCAAAATCTGCGTGGGCATCGCTAACGTATCACGCATTAAAACACCGCAGCTCTCCCCATCGTTTTCAATTTAATTCATCCCTAATTAATAGAGATTTTACTACCCTCTCCCCAAACTGCAGCTTCGTGAAATAAAAAGGCTTGCCGAGGGAACGCAATCCTTCCTTTTTGCATTTTTTTGATTGGATGTGTTTCGTACGCCGCCTTCGCTCTGCAGACAATGGCTGAAAATTTAGTTATAAGGTGACAGGAGGCTGGGGCGGCGGCAGACACGACTGGCTGTTCGTGGCCACGCTGCCATCCAACATGATCTGCAAGGCCTTTTGTGCGGAAGGGGGCCTGTTTATTTGGATTTCCAGCTCCCGGGGTTGACATGGCAACGCAGGGTGCCACACGCTTGGCTGGGGGAATTTTGATTGTTATCTCCCCCTCACAGCACCGGGAGCCGGGGAAAATGTTCTGCGGTGTGGTGGGGGGAAAAGAAAGGAGGGAGGTTGCTTCTGTCTAAAAAGCAAACCCCAAAAGTCTTGGGGAGTCCCAAGGCAGCTGAAATATAGGTTCTGCGTTTACAGCCTAAATTCTGCAAAAGCACAAGGGTGGGGGGAACAAGCCAGGGACTTGAGATACGAGATAACAAATTCGGTTTCCTGATAACCTCTGTTTTTATATTTAGATATAGGCACGCAGGTGGCGCTGCGGTCTAAACCACAGAGCCTAGGGCTTGCCGATCAGAAGGTCGGCGGTTCGAATCCCCGCGACGGGGTGAGCTCCCGTTGCTCAGTCCCTGCTCCTGCCAACCTAGTAGTTCAAAAGCACGTCAAAGTGCAAGTAGATAAATAGGTACCGCTCCGGCAGGAAGGTAAACGGCGTTTCCGTGCGCTGCTCTGGTTCGCCAGAAGCGGCTTAGTCATGCTGGCCACATGATCCGGAAGCTGTACGCCGGCTCCCTCGGCCAGTAAAGCGAGATGAGCACCACAACCCCAGAGTCGGCCATGACTGGACCTAATGGTCAGCGTTCCCTTTACCTTTATATTTAGATACAGGGACGCGGGTGGCGCTGTGGTCTAAACCACTGAGCCTCTTGGGAATCCCAGCGACGGGGTGAGCTCCTGTTGCCCTGTCCCTGCTCCTGCCAACCTAGCAGTTCGAAAGCACGTCATGTGCAAGTAGATAAATAGGTATCACTCCGGCGGGAAGGTAAATGGCGTTTCCGTGCACTGCTCTGGTTCGCCACAACCTAAGTCATGCTGGCCGCGTGACCCGGAAGCTGTCTGCGGACAAACGCCGGCTCCCTCGGCCAGTAAAGCAAGATGAGCGCCGCAACCCCAGAGTCGTCCGCGACTAGACCTAACAGTCAGGGGTACTTTCACCTTTTTATATTTAGATATATCTTATTAAATTTCCAGAAATTTCACATAAGCCTTCCAATACATAATAGATTTTTCTTCTGTCTTGTCGACTTCCCATCCCATTTTCCAATTTTTTTTATTCCTCCCCCTTGCTGCACCCTATCTTCCCTCTATTATATCACAATATTAATACAATAATCTCTAATTCCTTCTGCTGCTCCTAGTTCAAATCCTGATCACGAATTTATCCTACCCTAGTATTTCTTTAAATAGTTCGAAAAAAGGCTTCCGTTCTTCCATAAAGCAATCATCATCAAGTTCTCTTATTTTAACTGATTTAACTCATTCAGCATTTTTGTGCATAACAGATCCTCGCTGCTGTACTTACATACATGAACAACTTAACCATCTTTTTGGAACTTCTGTACATATAATCCCTAGAAGAAAAGTTTCAGTTTTTCTTTTTCGGAAAATCAATTTAAACATCTTTTTTATCTCGTCATATATCATTTCCCAAAATTCCCTTGCTTTCTTGCAAGTCCACCACATATGAAAGAACCATCTATCAGGAGTGTCCAAACTTTTTTCAAAGAGGGCCAGATTTGATAAAGTGAACATGCGTGAGCGCCGACCAAAGTTGTTTACACTTCCAGTAGTCATTAGGATCGGTTTTTTATTTTTTAAAAAATTGCTTTTGGTGAGGGAATGAGCAAGCTGGGGTTCTGATCCTGCGTTGCACCCGGGGCTGTTCAGCTCACAGAAACCGTTTGCGTAGACCCTCCCAAACAAAACGAGGAAAAATATGCAACATTCATTTAAAAAGCTGACTACGACTTGCAAAATAAGACAGATCACGGAGGGTTCTCTTACCACTTCCACTAACATTTCCTGGCGTAAGAATCTCCGCAGTGGGGCCTGAAGCTGGGGAGACACAAGGAATCAGAGCGATTTAGGGATGTCACCAAAGGCCCAAGGGGGATCTTATCACTGACTTATCAGTTGTGACAGTGTGGCGAAGCAAGATAATATAATAATTATGCCCCACCCATCTGGCTGGGTTTCCCCAGCCACTCTGGGCGGCTCCCAACAGAATATTAAAAACACGATAAAACATCAAACGTTAAAAACTTCCCTAAACAGGACTGCCTTCAGATGTCTTCTAAAAGTCAGATAGTTGCTTATTTCCTTGACATCTGATGGGAGGGCGTTCCACAGGGCGGGTGCCACCACCGAGAAGGCCCTCTGCCTAATTCCCTGTAATTTCTCTTCTCGCAGTGAGGGAACCGCCAGAAGGCCCTTGGAGCTGGACCTCAGTGTCCAGGCTGAACGATGGGGGTGGAGACGCTCCTTCAGATATACTGGGCCGAGGCCGTTTAGGGCTTTCAAGGTCAGCACCAACACTTTGACTTGTGCTCGGAAAAGTACTGGGAGCCAATGCAGGTCTTTCAAGACTGGTGTTATGTGGTCTTGGCGGCCGCTCCCAGTCACCAGTCTAGCTGCCGCATTCTGGATTAGTTGTAGTTTCCGGGTCACCTTCAAAGGTAGCCCCACGTAGAGCGCATTGCAGTAGTCCAAGCGGGAGATAACCAGAGCGTGCACCACTCTGGCCAGACAGTCCACGGACAGGTAGGGTCTCATCCTGCGTACCAGATAGAGCTGGTAGACAGCTGACCTGGACACAAAATAGATAGCCCCCCCGAACAAGCCCCACCCCTGTGACTTGCTGGTCCCCGGCATGCATGTAGTCGGAGCAGTCGACAGTGGTTATTCCAGCCAAATGTCCCCATAAAATTATTCCCGAGGGAGATTATGAATGGCATTAACCAAAATCAGTTTTTCCATCAGGCTTAGGGATTATGGCGACCTGACTTTAGGACGGGGAAAGGTGCCTTCTAGATGCCACCCCTCCCCAAACCGCCCCACCTCCAGTGATAATTCCAACTGGCCATTATGGGAATGTATAAAAGCTCTTATTTTTTTATCCCCTTTCCATTTCATATTACGTCCTGTAGATTGCAGGTCAAAACGTAAACCACCTCTAGTGCTTTGGTTAGAAAGGCAGGAAATAAAGCTAGGAAACAAACAATTTAGCATCTCCTTCCATCTCTTGGTCACTTTCCAGCGTGACACAGACTTTTGTCCTCTAGAGGGGGAACACCGAGAGAGGGAGGGGGCAAGGTGGTGAGGACCGGGAAACCAAAATTAAATTTCCACTCTCCATCTCTCTTTGCACATGGCTCTGACTCTGGCTGAAAGGAGCCCAAATGTCTTGACACAATGATGGAAACCTAGGGTAGTCAAAAATAAGCATCTGAAAGAACAGAGAACATGTACATTTCCAGATTCATTTACACCAGGGATAGGTAAGCCAGATGCGGCTGAAATTCATCCAGCCCTCAGGGTCCCTTCCCTGTGACCAGGTGGGTGGGAAAAGGGATTTGGCACCAAGTGTACAATTTCTGCTCCTTCCTCTGCAAGAAGGAAGGCCAAGGGGGAAATTTGGCAGCAGACTCGTGCTCCTTGCAAATATGCAACGAACTTTGCAACTGCATACGTGGAATTTTTTTTTGGGGGGGGGGGAGCAATTGCATTTTGAAGTTTGAGGCTTTTTACAGCTTTTAAAGCCTTTAAAGTAAGGCTGTGATGGCCTGGGATTCGGACTCAGAGGCTGAACCTGAGGAATCCCAGCCTGCACAGGAGTCCCCGCCTCCAGAACCAGCTGAGGGAATGAGCCTAAAGGGTCCTCACCTGTGCTGGATCCTCAGGTGCAGGCACCAGGTGAGTCTGCTCTGGCTCCTGAGGTGATGGAGGACCCATTGCCTGCAGGTGCTCCACTCTCAGCCCCGTCAGGGGAAGCTGAGGTTGCCTCTGGGTCCGGTCACCCTCCATCCTCTCCTGAGCTGCAGAGGCTCAGCGCAGAGAGGCAGAGGGAACTAAGTTCCCGCAGGAGGAGTGCTCGCCTCCAGGCCAGGAGAGGTGAGTCACCTGTGGACCGGGGCCACCCTATGCCTCGGGGCAGATAAAAGCCAGCCAGCCCAGTCCCAGGTTGCGGGAGCAACATTGTTGGTAGCCTGTTCCTGCCTGAGCCCTGTCCTGCTCTTCTGCCAGAGTTCCTGGCCTCACCCGACTCCCTGCCTTGGACCCAGCTTTAGCTTTGACGGACAGCCTCCATACCGCACCCTCGAGCTCGAACTGGACTCGGACCTTGCCGCACGGTTAACCCTCGGGACCAGCACAAAGGCTTTCTGTTCAGCCTTACTGGCATTCTTAGGCTGGGTTTGCCCAGTGCTTTCCGTACAACTGCATTCCCTTCAACATCTCGAGTCCCCAAAACAGGGTGTGCATCTTCCTGCCCGCGCTCCTGCATGAGTCATGCGATCCGTGCATAGTTGTCAACGCTTCCCCTTTTTAAAGGGAAATTCCCTTATTCCGAATAGGATTCCTCGCAAGACACGGGAAAAGTTGACAGCTATGGATCCGTGCGAGATCACAGTACCCAAATGACGCGCATTTTCCAGGGACACGCTTGCATGCGTGTTTTGGGGTACTGCACAATATTGCAGACCCCTCGGCACCCTTTTTTTGGGTAGGGAAAACGCTTTTTCAAGGCAAGATCTTGGCACGAAATCATGCAAGATCACAGCACCCCAAAACAACCTCCCTGTTCTCTTGCGAGTGTCCCCTTTTCCCCCGGACATTTGCGGGGGGCGCGATTAGGATAGGTGAAGTGTGTTGGGAAAGCCTTGCTTACAAACCTCAACGATAAAAAAGGGAGAAAAAAGGTGAAATCTGAGGGAGTTACTTAGAATTAAACACACAGACCTCTGTTTCCACATGCGTGTTTGATTTTGTGCAATAAGACTGGCCCGCTACTGGAACCCGACCCATGACGTCTGGGTGATGTGGTCCTCAGCAGAGAAGCCCCCCTGCCCTATGTGTTCATAGACGTATCCCTACCCCCACCCCAAAGCAGCACACATTCAAGAAAGCAGCTTGGCAAATCTTACATCCTCCATTCCTTCTATATGCGACTCAATCTCTTGCACAATTCGGGCGTTCCGTTCCACCTCTTCGGCGCTCCTCATCCCTTTGTTGATCCTCTCAGCCACCTGTTTGATGCTCCTTTGAGCTTCCATCAGGAACGGGTGGTCGGGGTGGGCTTCGGGCGTGTGCTTGAGAAGGTCCTGGTGGGAGAAAGCGCAGCGGGAATTATATAATAACAATATAATAATATTTTATTATTTATACCCTGCCCATCTGGCTGGGTTTCCCCAGCCACTCTGGGCGGCTTCCAACAAAACACTAAAATACAGTAACCTATTAAACATTAAAAGCTTCCCTGAACAGGGCTGCCTTCAGATGTCTTCTAAAAGTTTGGTAGTTATTTTTCTCTTTGATATCTGGCGGGAGGGTGTTTCACAGGGCAGGTGCAACCACCAAGAAGGCACTCTGCCTGGTTCCCTGTAAGCTCACTTCTCGCAGGGAGGGAACAGCCAGAAGGCCCTCAGCGCTGGACCTCAGTGTCCGGGCAGAACAATGGAGGTGGAGACGCTCCTTCAGATATACTGGGCCTTTGAGGCCGTTTAGGGCTTTCAAGGTCAGCACCAACACTTTGAATTGTGCTTGGAAACATACTGGGAGACAGTGTAGCTCTTTAGAGCGGGAAATATGTGTGTGTGTGTGTGTGTGTGTGTGTGTGTGTGTGTGTGTGTGTATATCTCTCTCTCTCTCTCTCTCTCTCTCTCTCTCTCTCTCAGAACCTCCCTGGGCCAAAATGTCAAATTTGCTCCACATTATCTCATTAGTTTGTGATTCCTTCCCTCCCCCAAGTCCTTACGACTTCCATAGATGGTAATAAATTAATTAAAAGAAATAGGTCCTTGTGAACTCATCAGCGTTTTACCGCCAATTTCTCCAAACTTACTCACATTTTTCTATGCAGTTTAGCCTCATTTTTACACGTTTTTGCAAAGCGATTTCCCCAAATGTAACGAATTTGGGAAGGCTAGTTTCATGGATACATATGCATTTACAAGCTCATTTGACCCTGGACTAAGCGCCTTTTAGGCACATGCTTTTTGGCCAGAAAACCGCATTGCAGAATTGAAAGGAGAGCAACTTGCGAAAGGATCCCGGGTTTCGATTTGCCCATCGGAGCTGGAAAGCGTGACGCAGGTAGATCTGCAAATGCATGTTGTTGTTGTTTAGTCGTTTAGTCGTGTCCGACTCTTCGTGACCCCATGGACCAGAGCACGCCAGGCACTCCTGTCTTCCACTGCCTCCCGCAGTTTGGTCAGACTCATGTTTGTAGCTTTGAGAACACTGTCCCACCATCTCGTCCTCTGTTGTTCCCTTCTCCTTGTGCCCTCCATCTTTCCCAACATCAGGGTCTTTTCCAGGGAGTCTTCTCTTCTCATGAGGTGGCCAAAGTCTTTCTTCTTGCAGTCCATGGGACTCTCAAGAGTCTCCTCCAGCACCATAATTCAAAAGCATCCATTCTTCGGCGATCAGCCTTCTTTAGGGTCCAGCTCTCACTTCCATACATCACTACTGGGAAAACCAGAGCTTTAACTATGCGGACCTTTGTTGGCCAGGTGATTTTTTTAAAGATGCTGTCTAGGTTTGTCATTGCTTTTCTCCCAAGAAGCAGGCGTCTTTTAATTTCGTGACTGCTGTCACCATCTGCAGTGATCATGGAGCCCAAGAAAGTATATTGAATCCCAAATCCGTTCCCCCGTTCCCTAGGCGTATTCTCAGTCACCGAGCCATGCTTGAGGTCATTAGAATTTCTGTGGGCACATCCATCTCTGAAACCTTAGCTGCTTTCCTTCCAACCGATTCCAAAAAACCCACACGCCATTCCTGGAGGGCAACGGTGCCGGCTGGGGGGAAATGGCGTCCGATCTGCTCCCTGGAAGCAAAGAACGAAGGCAAGGCCAGGAAAAGACGCTGCCTGCCTCTCTCCTCCGGGGCTATCCATCACGGGAAGAGTAAATAAAACTGGGTGGTTAATGGTCCGGAGGTAAGTGCAGAGCAGTGGAGCTCACGAGTAATTGGTGGTTTTTCAGTGCCAACGGGGTAGATGGGGATATCAATCAGGGAGGGCCGAAGGCCCATCGGACAGAACCTGGGCAGGCAGAATGTTATTTGTGATGTTGGCAACATGGCCCAACAGGCAGACTTCTGGGGGCAACTTCCTCTCTCGCCCTGACCTAACCACTGTGATCCACGTGACGATCACCTCCAGACTGGATTATTGTAACTCGCTCTATGTGGGGCTGCCCTTGAGACTGACCCAGAAACTCCAGCGGGTGCAGAATGCTGCGGCGAGACTCCTTACGGGGTCTTCGCTGCGACATCACATTCACCCGGTGCTATACCAGCTGCACTGGCTCCCGGTGGAGTACAGGATCAGGTTTAAGGTGCTGGTTTTAACCTTTAAGGCCCTATACGGCCTAGGACCCTCGTAGCTACGGGACCGCCTCTCCTGGTATGCCCCACAGAGGAACTTACGGTTTTCAAATAAAAACATCTTGAAGGTCCCAGGCCACAGAGAGGTTAGGCTGGCCTCAACCAGAGCCAGGGCTTTTTCAGCTGTGGCTCCGATCTGGTGGAATGCTCTGTCCCAAGAGACTAGGGCCCTGCAGGACTTGACATCTTTCTGCAGGGCCTGCAAGACGGAGCTGTTCCACCAGGCCTTTGGTCAGGGCACAGCCTGACTCCCTCCTTTGGCAATCCTCACAGAACTCTAGCCCAATGGTTGCCATTAATCTGACTGGAATTAATTTCATAATGAAATGATTTTAGAATGTTTTATCATTTTACTGTTGTTAGCTGCTCTGAGCCTGGCTTCGGCTGGGGATGGCAGGATATAAATAAAATTTATTATTATTATTCCAAGCATGCCCCAGCCTCTCCAGATACACCCTCCCCTCGCCGGCATATTAGGAAGTCCCCTGACGTATGGTTCATGAGAACCCGCCAAAAAGATCTCTGCCTTTCCTCAGTTCTCTCTCTGATGCAGCCTGACTATACGCCGATCCGTCTCTTGCTAAACAAACATTCCCGGCCGGAAATGTGATTCATCCCATCCTCCTTCCCAACTGAACTCCCCCCCCCCCCAGGGGAACGCGGCTTCCTAGAAACCTGTTTGGGGAATTGGTCTCTCTCGCTGCTTCAAATGCCAGGAATTCCACGGGTTCTGACATTTGCTGGCAGTTTGTAAAATCGGAGGAGGCTCGGAGGGAAATGTCAGGACGGCGTGGCATTTGCTGGCAAGTCACGGGTGGGAAACCTGCGGTCCATCTAGTCTGACCCCATGCAAGGCAGGAAGCCTTTGCCCAACACGGGATTCAAACCCACAGCCCTGAGATTCGAGAGTCTTGTGCTCTACCAACGGAGCTATCCCAGCCTTAATACGTACCGTAATAACAAACGAAAACAATAGCCCACCCACAGTTTAGAAGGCCATAGACTGCTTACCCAAATCCTAGAATCCTAGAGCTGGAAGGGACTTCTAGAGTCATCCAGTCCAACCCCCTGCAATGCAGGAATCTCAGCTAAAGCATCCAGGACAGATGTCCATCCAACCTCTGCTTAACAACCTCCAAGGAAGGAGAATTCACCACCTCCCGAGGGAGACCGTTCCACTGCCAAACAGCTCTTACTGTCAGAAAGTTGTTCCTGATGTTTGGTCTGAATCTCCTTTCTTGTAACTTGAAGCTGTGGGTCAGGGGTCCCTTTACCTTTACCCTATCTCCTCTCAGTCTCCTCTTCTCCAGGCTAAACATCCCCAGCTCCTTCGACCGTTCCTCATCAGGCTTGGTTTCCAGACCCTGGATCATCTTGATCGCCCTCCTCTGCTCACCTTCCAGCTTGTCAATGCCTTTCTCAAATTGTGGTCCCCAGGCCTGGGAGAAGAGGGATGTTTTTGGCTCCTAGTGGGATGTAACGAAGGTTCCAGGTGAGGCTCATCATCATCATCCTTGAGTTCTGGCCAGAGGTTGCTCATTCTTGCTGCCAGCCAACTGAGCGCTTTTGCTAAGTAAGAACAGGGGGCACGGAAGCTACGCCACGTCAGACCTAGCCCTGTACCCAGTTTCCAACATGGGCAAGCCAGCTGGCTTCTGGGAAACCCACAAGCAGGGCACAAAAAACACGTCACTCCCTTGCTGCTTGTTCCCAGCATCACATATTCGCGGCTCTACTGCTCCTGAATATGGATGCTCTATTTTGCTATCGTAACTAACAGAAGAGATTTCCACTGGCTACCATCACAACAAATGTCACAAGCGAATGGAGCGTTGCATACAGAATTCCCCCCTATATGTCACAACTGCAGTTTTTGCCAATAAAAGCGTAGGGGGCAGGTGTCAAAAGGGAAACTTCGCCAGCCGAGAACTCCACATGTTTCCCACCAAGCCTCTTAAAAAGTGCAGGCAAATGTTTGTTTTTATAGTAAGGTAAAGGTAAAGGGAGCCCTGACCATTAGGTCCAGTCGTGGCTGACTCTGGGGTTGCGGCGCTCATCTCGCTTTGTTGGCCGAGGGAGCCGGCGTACAGCTTCTGGGTCATGTGGCCAGCATGACTAAGCCGCTTCTGGTGAAGCAGAGCAGCGCACGGAAACGCCATTTACCTTCCCGCTGGAGTGGTACCTATTTATCTACTTGCACTTTGACGTGCTTTCAAACTGCTAGGTGGGCAGGAGCAGGGACTGAGCAACGGGAGCTCAACCCGTCGCGGGGATTTGAACCACCGACCTTCTGATCAGCAAGTCCTAGGCTCTGTGGTTTAACCCACAGCGCCACCCACGTCCCTAATTATCTTTTTATACACTGATATAAATATATAGCATGTACACATATGTTTATAGAGTAGGAATCCGCCTAGTGTTTCCTAAGACCCACATTTCAAGCAGCCCTGCCAAAGCCCTGGACAGTGTTATGTCTGGGACGAGCCATATATTTAGGATGAGTATACCCTGCAAAAATGATCTATAACTGAGGGAAGCACTAACCTGGTCCAGATTCGAAACCTGAGATTATCCAGGCCTGGGGGGGGGGGGGGGAGGGAGGCAGAGGTTGATCAGCCCTCCAAAATCAGAAAGCTGGGCTCGGAAACCCATCAAGCTATCTAATTATCTAATTGATTTTTATTGTTATTCATGTTTTTGTACTGTGTCTTGTGCTGCTTTTATAATTAAGTGTTTTAAAGTGTCTTAAATTTGTTGTTAGCCGCCCTGAGCCCGTCTTTTGAACAGGGAAGGGCGGGGTATATTATTATTATTTATTATTACCGAGCTGCTCTTTTTCACTGGTCCTGTTCTAACGTCTTTTGCAAGTGAAGCTCCTCCCATCACTTGCCGCCACGCCAGGAAAAAGGAGCAAAATGGCAGTAGCTTCAGTTGTAGTATGTCAAATTTGGGCCTAAATTGTTCTGGGTTCAATCTCCAATGGCAGGGGCTGGAAATGTCTTTTATTTAATTTATTTATGCCCCATCTTTTTCCTCCAAAGGAGCTCAAGGTGGTGTATGTAGCTCTCCCCTCCATCTCATTTAATAACCGCCCCCCCACAACAACCCTGCGAGGTATGTTGCGCCAAGAGGGCGAGCTGCTGGCAAAAGGCTCCTGGCAAAGGCTGGTTCACACCTTCTGTATTTTTACACTTGTCTAGATGTTGGTTGAAGAATGGATGCTTTTGAATTCTGGTGCTGGAGGAGACTCTTGAGAGTCCCATGGACTGCAAGGAGATCAAACCAATCCATTCTGAAGGAAATCAGCCCTGAGTGCTCACTGGAAGGACAGATCCTGAAGCTGAGGCTCCAATACTGTGGCCACCTCATGAGAAGAGAAGACTCCCTGGAAAAGACCCTGATGTTGGGAAAGATGGAGGGCACAAGGAGAAGGGGACGACAGAGGACAAGATGGTTGGACAGTGTTCTCGAAGCTACCAGCATGAGTTTGACCAAACTGCAGGAGGCAGTGGAAGACAGAAGTGCCTGGCGTGCTCTGGTCCAGGGGGTCACGAAGAGTCGGACACAACTAAACAACAACAACAACAACAGATGCTGATTAATGGCACAGGAGCCGAGCCAGAAAGGGGGTGGGGGTGGGAGATGGCAACCCTAATGGAGACGGTTTCATAAACGCCTAAAAGTTGTGTGTGTTTGTGTGTGCGTGTGTGTGTGAAAAGAATTGGCAGTTTCCTCATTCTATCCAGACGCAGAGAAGCTTCCTGCCGGCTTAAAGGCTTGGCGTTTTCCGAAAAGACGTCAATCCTACCAAAGCGATCTCCCACACGCTCTCTCCAAATGGCACAGAAGAACAGGTTGCTTTCTTTCAAAACAAAGAAATAAATAAAACCCACTGGCGTTGCGGAAAAGGCTCTCATCTGTCTTGGCCTGGCTGTCTACTTCTTATTCTTTGGCGATCATTCGTAGCTGAGTAAGATTGTCTTCCATAAACACGGTTTTAACAATGAGTCCGTAAGTGACTGTGGAGGCCAATTCTGGATCCACATGTCCTTCTACATATCAAGGATGAATCCTGGCTTGTTAACAACAACAACAACAACAACAACAACAACAACAACAATTTATTATTTCTACCCCATCTGGCTGGGTTTCCCCAGCCACTCTGGGCAGCTTCCAACAAAAGATTAAAAATACATTAAAACAGCAGACATTAAAAACTTCTCTAAGCAGGGCTGCCTTCAGATGTCTTCTAAGCGTCAGATAGTTGTTTATTTCCTTGACATCTGATTTGGGGGGGGGCGTTTCCACAGGGCGGGCACCACCACCAAGAAGGCCCTCTGCCTGGTTCCCTATAACCTGGCTCCTCGCAGGGAGGGAACCGCCAGAAGGCCCTGAGAGCTGGACCTCAGTGTCCGGACTGAATGATGGGGGTGGAGACGCTCCTTCAGGTCTACTGGGCCAAGACCGTTTAGGGCTTTCAAGGTCAGCACCAACACTTTGAATTGTGCTCGGAAACTTACTGGGAGCCAACGTAGCTCTTTCAGGACCGGTGTTGCATGGTCTCGGCGGCCGAGACCGTCACTTTGTCATTTGGGTTTTTGTTAAAAATAACCTAGCAAGTTTATAGTCCTTAAGGTTGCAGTTCTAAGCATGCCATGCTAGGAGCAACAAGTTCCACGGACTTTGCAGGGACTCGCAGGGTGAAATCTACACTGTAAGCCCTTCAAGATTTCTGCAAGTCTTCCTTGGTCAAGAAAGTTGGCTGAGCAGCAGAATAACAATATCGGAACGGTAGGGAAGGGGCTGAAGCTCAGTGGCTAGAGCGTCTGCTTTGCACATGGAAGACCCCAGCTTCGATGCCCAATAGCATTGCCACATAGGGCTGGGAAGAGACTCACGTGCCTCAGATCTCAGACAGCTGCTGCCACTCAGTGCAGACAATACTAGCTGGACCAAGGGTCTGACAGTGCGAGGCCACTTCCCGTGTTGCTCTTCCTTTCCCAATGGGCTTCGGAAATATTGCGGCCGGGCTTTAGAAAGCCAGGCTGCTGATCAGGCATGACTAGAGAGAAACCCAGTGTGGAGTTAGTTGTCAGAGTGTCAGACTAGGCCCCGGGAGACCAGGGTTCGAATCCTGACTTTGCGCTGCCGGAACGACGTAAGCGCAGAGATGGGGAGAAGATGCAGTCCCTACCGAGGAGGAATGGCAGGCGAAATTAACGGACCATGAAGAAATGGCGAAACTTACTGAAAGAATAAGGAAGCAAGAGGAAAGAATTCTTAAAAGAAGAATGGGGAAAATATGGGGAGTATTTGAATTATTATTATTATTTTTTGGTAAACAATTAACTGCATTAGCAGGACTAGTTTAACCCAAGCAGTTATGACTATTAAGCTATTGGGAATGTAGAGAAAAATAATTATAAGGAACGACAAGGGGAGATTCAGTAGCGAAAGTGATTTCTGAGGAAACCATGAAGGGAGCGGGGAGGGAATTCAAACTATGTATGTATTTTGGATGGGTTTGTTTGTTTTTTAAAAAATTGTTTGTTGTAAAAGCAAAAATTTAAAAATAATTTTTTTTAAAATATATATATCAAATTCTCACTTCAGGTAAGGGACTCACTTGGGTGACCATGGACCAGTCACAATATTTTTTTGCACAATATGGGATAAAATGGGAAGGAAGTGACCCGTATGTGCCACCTTGACCTCCAAATAGGGTGATAAACACCGCGAACAAACAAATAAAATGGTTTGCTGCAGTACTTTGGTTTGTGAGGACACGGACCACGAAGGATCTCATTTCTCTTCTCTCTGGTGGGCTCAGATCTCCTGAATGAGTAACTGTCTCTTTTCCTGGAATCAGTTCCAAGCCTGCGGCTCTGACTCATAGGCATGCGAAGTATTCAAGGAATGCAGCTTGCGGAAAAGCAAGCTGTCATCTCAGCCCACCATCCGGGATCCAGGCAGCAGAACAGCTGGGCTAAATTGGACAACTTCTCAGGGCAAATAGAAGTTCGCAGCTAGGTGCCAAGTTCCACTGAAATCTGGTGTCCCTGCAAGAACACATCAGAGCTCTTCCATTCACCCCAACTGGTTTTGCCGAAAAGGTCCTTGAGAATTATCCCGTTTTTTTAAATAAAACAAAACAAAACTGGAAAGATGCAAGCATCCTATTTCCTCTTTGCAGTAAATATTTGCTGGGCATTCGCTGAAGCGACTCCATTCAAGGAGAGTTGAGAAGCAGAATTCTAAAATAACAAGGATGGTGACTCAGTGTAGCTGCAACACAGATTGTTCCGCAAGTCTCTTGACTGGGCAGAAACGTTTTGCACCCTGAGAAGCACAGCTTCCAGCAAGAAAACAAAACAAATGTCAAGTTTTTAGCTCTTCGGGTTGCTAAATATCTATTGCACTGTTCTCTGTTCCTCTATATCAGAAGCTGAATACTGCCATCAGATAATAATAATAATAATAATAATAATAATAATAATAATAATATGGCAGAGACATCACCTTGCCAACAAAGGTCTGTATAGTTAAAGCTATGGTTTTCCCAGTAGTGATGTATGGAAGTGAGAGCTGGACCATAAAGAAGGCTGATCGCTGAAGAATGGATGCTTTTGAATTCTGGTGCTGGAGGAGACTCTTGAGAGTCCCATGGACTGCAAGAAGATCAAACCTCTCCATTCTGAAGGAAATCAGCCCTGAGTGCTCACTGGAAGGACAGATCCTGAAGCTGAGGCTCCAAGACTTTGGCCACCTCATGAGAAGAGAAGACTCCCTGGAAAAGACCCTGATGTTGGGAAAGATGGAGGGCACAAGGAGAAGGGGACGACAGAGGACGAGATGGTGGGACAGTGTTCTCGAAGCTACCAGCATGAGTTTGACCAAACTGCGGGAGGCAGTGGGAGACAGGAGTGCCTGGCGTGCTCTGGTCCATGGGTTCACATAGAGTCGGACACGACTAAATGACTAAACAACAACATCAACAACAACAACTAATAATAATAGTAATAATAATAATAACTTGAATTTCTTCTTTCTTCTTTGGCAATCACTCGTAGTGAGTAAGATTGTCTTCCATGAACACAGTTTTAGCAATGAGTCCGTAAGTGGCTGTGGAGGCCAATTCTGGATCCACACGTCCTTCCATAGTGGGGATATTGGTTTCCAGGCGGGAGTTGATCACGGTGTGGATTTGCCAAGCGTGCCTTCCTCTTTGCACATTTCTCCCTTGCGTCCTGAGTTTGAATGTCTTCAAAGCCCATGACACCTTTGGTAAAGGCTGTTCTCCAACTGGAGCGCTCGCAGGCCAGTGTTTCCCAGTTGTTTTTTTAGATTTGCCTTGAAAGAGTCTTTAAACCTCTTTGGTTAACCACCAGCATTATGCTTTCCATTTTTAAGTTCAGAATAGATTAGTTGCATCCAAACAACATGACCAGTCCAACAAAGTTGATGTTGAAGAATCATTGCTTCAGCACTGGTGTTCTTTGCTTCTTCCAGTACACTGGCATTAGTTCACCTGTCTTCCCAAGTGATGTGTCAAATTTTCGGAGACACCGTTGATGGAATCTTTCAAGGAGTTGGAGATAGCGTTTATTTGAATTTATACGCCACCCTATGCCCTCAGGTCTCGGAGCAGTTCAACAATTAGTAACAACAATTTATGAACAGCAATTAATAACCAGGCCTCTTGGACTCACCTTGACCAGAAGTTCATAGCGTGGAATCCGCTGAACCGGCTTAATCATGAGGTCTGAAAGTGCCTGCTTTTCTTTGTTTTCCCTCATGCTTTGCTGAAAGAACATGAAGATCAGGTTTTGCTTTTTAAAAAAATACTTTTCAGGTTTATACATTTCAATAATTTTACATTCATTTTAACATTTCAAAACTTGACTTCCTTCCCCCTCTATCTTTCTGCGGTTCCTTGAATTTATTTTTAAATATTTTCTGCATATCCAAATTAACTTAATTAGCTCATTTATTCATCAACTTTAGGGCAACTGTTTAAGGCATATTTTTGAAAGCTTTGTGTATAGATTTTTACATTAGCATAACTTTTAAAAGTCACTTGTAATAGGATGAAGAAGGTTTTAAAATTGGATTAAGTATATAGTGGTACCTCTGGTTGCGAACGGGATCCATTCCGGAGTCCCGTTCGCAACTTGAGCAGAACACAACCCGTGGGTCGTGATTCGCCGCATCTGCGCATGCATGTGACGTCATTTTGCGTGTCTGCGCATGCGCGAGTGGCAAAACCCAGAAGTAACCCTTTCCGGTACTTCCGGGTCGCCGCTGTTGGTTTCTGCTTTCCTTCACTGTGCAGCAACTGCAGTCACAAGACAGGTGTTTACATTCCACAGTCTGTACTGTTGGAGTTTCTCACGGGAAAGGGAGACTGGATGTGACGTACACTGGTTTCCTGTTTTTTTCACTGTGTGATTCTCTCCGAGCTGTCGAGGAGAGAGGATGCATTTTTCTGCTCCAGAGAGGCAAGATGTCTTTCTGTAATATACCAGCTTTGAACTGTAAATAAAAGCAATATAGAGTATGCAGCACATTTTCCTCATCCTTCCGCTGGCCAACAAGACTCTGCTTAAATCAACACGTGGTTATGGACTCCAGAGGTCGAATCGGAGTGCCGGCAAAGGATCGGAATGCAGAGGGACGGATCGGAAAGGAATCTGCTCTGCGCGTAGAAGTGATTGATGAGGTATGTGCTACTGCTCCGGGCAGCCTGCCAGCTTCAAGTTAATGGCTTTATGGCTGGACTTTGAACTTTTAAAGCCGGTTTTGCCGGGAATAGGCAAAAGGCTCCCAGGCACAAGTCACTATGCTGGGGAAATCGAAAGTAACTTTTAAGTGTGCCTTTGTGATAAAGCAGCTGCAGCAGTGACGCAGCAAGATTTAAAGCAGCATATAATGACGCTGAAGGCTAATGCCAGAGTCATGATGGCCCTTCAGGATGCTTGTGGGATTCCTAAGCTCAACAAGAAAAATTACAGCGACTGGGTTCAGTATGCAGAGGCAATTCTGCGGAAAGAGGGTGTGTTTGAGGTGATTACAGGAACCCCCCCAGTTCCAGTTACAGATGCATGGGACGCTAAGGATTCCAAAGCAAGGGAACTCTTACATTGATAGTATCCCCAGAAGAGCTCTGTCTATTGCGTGATAAGACCTCAGCCAGAGAAATTTGGGACGCTCTGAGAGAGGCTCACTTAAGGACAGAAGCTGGATCCACTATGTATTATTTTAACAAGCTGCATAATATGGCTCTTGCTGAAGGTGGAGATGTGCGTTTACATCTAATGGAGATGCAAAATCTGAGACATGAGCTGCAACAGAGAGGACTCAACTTTCCAGAGGCTGTGTATTCTTTCATGATACTACAATCTTTGGGTTCAGGTTGGGAGTCTGTTGCAACCCAGATTGCTGTGCAACCAACTGCTCAGCTGACAGTGGACTTTGTTACTGCCGTGATTTTAAATGAAGCAGATCGCCGGGGTGCTAGCTGCATGGGCAAGGGAGTCTTCACAGACGTCATCCCATAGTGCAGTGGAACCACCAGATGGCGCCAAAGCTTTGAAGGCAGTGAAATGCTACTCGTGTGGACGTCTAGGCCATATGAAGAGGGAATGCAGACATCCCAGGGCCAAGACAGAGCAGCGCAGCGAAGCTCATCGCGCGGAAAAGGCCGAGGCAAAGGCAAAGGTCCGGTGTCTAGGACAACGCAGCACAAGGCTATGGTTTCACGCTTCACTCCAAAGGTTGCAGAGGTCCAGAAGACGTCTAGATCTTTCTTCGTTGTTGATTCAGCGGCCACCCACCACATGTGCAACGATAAGAAACTGTTTGTGTCTTTTACACCGCAGGAAGGTGCGATTCACCAGGCGGATGACCACACTATTCCCAGTAAAGGCTACGGAACTGTTGTTCTTCACAGTTTGGACTTATCGATACAGAATGTGCTTTACGTGCCAGACGCCAAACATAATCTGCTCAGCGTTGGACAGCTGAATGAGCGGAACATTGACGTTTCCTTCAAGAACAAGAAGTGCATCATCACAAAGAAAAATGATTATGTATTGCATGCAGAATATGTTGATCATTTGTTTGTTTTGTATTATGATGATGTGGTGCAGGATGACACTTGTTGCATTGCAGGTTCTAACAAAAGTTTGCATGCAGAATGTATTCACGATTTTCATCGAAAATTTGGTCATTTGCATTTTGAGGCAGTATCTAAAATGCCTGCCTTGGTTGAAGGTATGACTATTAAACCCTGCAGGTACCACATGAAGTGCAAAGCATGCGCAGCAAACAAGGTGAAAATGGCTGCGAAAGGTAAGGTGTCTAGTAGGAAAGCTACAGAACCATACCAGGTTGTTCATGCTGATTTGGTTGGACCACTATCGCCCTCTTTGGGTGGAAATAGATACTTCATGGTTCTCATTGATGCATTTTCTAGATATATTTTTGTGTACAATCTCAAGCAGAAATCGGAGGCTTTTCCTAGGTTCAAGGAATTCTGTGCTTGGTTGGAAAATGTGCATGGTAAGAAGATAAAGACTCTTTTCAGTGATCGCGGGGGAATTCACTTCTCAGCAGTTTGAAGCTTTTCTGACTGAGAAAGGAATTCAACACGATTTGTCTAGTCCTCGCTCGCCATGGCAGAATGGACTTGCGGAACGGGCAAATCAGACATTGCTTCAAGGGTTAAAAACCTTGCTGCATGATGCCAATCTTCCAGAGAGTTATTGGGCCGAATCTCTCTCGTGTTTTGTTTACAGTTACAATCGCAGATTATCTTCAGCGATTGGTTGTACCCCCTATGAGAAGATGTTTGGCAAGAAGCCATACATCAAACACATGAAGATTTTGGTTCTGACATGTGGGTTCGCTCACCACAAAACTCCAAGTTAGACAAGCGTGGATTGCATGGTATCTTTCTAGGTTATCAGAAAGGGTCTTACAGAATAATGATGACTGACTCTAAGACAATTAAGCTCACGAGAAGTGTTGAGTACAATGCAAAGTGGGGGAGAATGTGGGAATTTTCCAATGTTATCCTGATGACGGTGATGAGACTGAGGATAGTCAAAAGCAACCACAACAACCCACACCCACTGATGAAGGTTCTGAGTCTGAATCTGAAACTGAATCGGGTGATTCAGAGGATTTCAAGAGTGCGAAAGCCTCTATGCGACCCTCTGAAAGCTCTGATCAAGAATTGGAGGAACCATTGTTCACAATAGGTCGTTTTTCTCCTAAGAAGGAAGAGGAGAGTGTTGAAGACTTAAGGCTAATTCGTAGGTCACAGAGAGCCACAAAGGCAAACCTCCAAAGAGATTTGCTGATGAGTTTGCTAAGATAGCAGTAACAGCTGTTAAAAGCTCCAAGAAGGTATTTGAACCTTCAAGTTTCCAAGAAATCCAGGGTTTGGATTCAAAGGAAGCTGAGCCATGGTTAAATGCCATGAAGGCTGAGCTTGATTCCTTAGAAAGGAACAAAACATGGGAGCTAGTTCCAGTAGTTCCAGGAATGAAACTGCTTGGAAGCAAATGGGTCTTCAAAGCGAAGACAGATCAAAATGGCAAGATAGTCAGACACAAAGCCAGATTGGTAGCCAGAGGTTTTGCACAGGTACCAGGTGAAGACTATCACGAGACCTATTCACCCACAGTGAGATATGAAAGCATTAGGCTTATGCTCAAGCTAGCTGCAGAGGAAAATCTACACATTAGTCACCATGATATTAATACAGCTTTTCTGTACGGATCTCTAGATGAATCACTTTATATGCTTCCACCTGATGGCGTACAGGTAAAACAGGGATTTGTTTGTGCTCTGAAGAAATCCCTTTATGGTCTCAAACAAAGTGCACGGTGTTGGCACACAAAACTCACTGAAGTATTGTTTTCTCTAGGTTTTCAGCAAGGGAAAGCTGATCCATGTGTATTTGTCAAAGAGGAGGGGCAAAAGAAACTGTACTGTTTGTTTTATGTTGATGATTTATTATTCTTTTGGAAAGATGTTGCAATGTACAATAGCGCCCTAGCTCAACTGAAAGAGCACTTTGACATGAAAGATCTTGGTGAGGTAAACAACTACCTATCTCTGGAAATAGAGAGAGATCAAGATGGTAACATTCTAGTACACCAGTCACGGAAAATTGCTGATGTGTTAAGCAAACTAAATCTGATGGATGCTAACCCTGTAGACACACCGATGACAACAGGTTATCAGGTAGATGACACTGAAGAAGCATTTTCTGACACTACACTGTACAGGAGTGTGCTAGGCAAGCTAAACTTCATTGCCAGATGTTCAAGACCAGACATTGCTGTTAGCTGTAATTTGCTAAGCAGACAAGTCAACAATCCTAGTGTCAAGGATTGGAAAGCTCTGAAACGCATAGCGCGGTATTTGAAAGGCACTATGCATTACAGACTGAGATTTAACAATCAGAAGTCTGGTGGTCTTGAGATATTTGCAGATGCAAGTTTTGGAAGTGACACTACAGACAGGAAAAGTACGTCTGGAGTTTGCTACATGTACAATCAGAGTCTGTTTGATTGGTCATGCAAGAAGCAAACAACAGTTAGCTTAAGTACTTGTGAAGCTGAACTGAATGCACTGTCTTATTCACTTAAGGATTGTGAATGGTTAGTACAATTGTGCAAAGATATGAAAATTCCTGTCAAATGTCCAATCCAGGTTTACCAGGACAACAAAGCATGTTTGGCTTTGCTCAAGTCTGAAGGTTGTAAGCAAAGCACAAAGCACTTGCAATTAAAGTTGCAGCATGCTAGGGAATGTATTCAGAAGGGACTCGTAACGGTGTCCTATATGCCAGGTAATGAAATTCCTGCTGATGTATTGTCCAAGATTGTATCAAGGGATCAACACTGTACCTATGTGCAGAAGTTGGGTTTGTACTGATATTGTGCAAACACGCTGCCCAGTGATGTTCACAGAAAGGGGAGGATGTTGGTTTCTGCTTTCCTTCACTGAGCAGCAACTGCAGTCACAAGACAGGTGTTTACATTCCACAGTCTGTACTGTTGGAGTTTCTCACGGGAAAGGGAGACTGGATGTGACGTACACTGGTTTCCTGGTTTTTCACTGTGTGATTCTCTCCGAGCTGTCGAGGAGAGAGGATGCATTTTCTGCTCCAGTGCAGGCAAGATGTCTTTCTGTAATATACCAGCTTTGAACTGTAAATAAAGCAATATAGAGTATGCAGCACATTTTCCTCATCCTTCCGCTGGCCAACAAGACTCTGCTTAAATCAACAGCCGCGGGATGCAACTTGAAAAAACGTATCATGAAGCAAACGCAACACGAGGTATGACTATATAAGATTTTATGGACGTGCATGAACAAGTATATTATAATGGAACCAAGAGGGGGAGTAGAGAGAAGTTGACAAAAAATTATGGTTTAATTTGGATGTGACCCCCCCCTGTTTTTTTCCATTTTGTTATTTTTTGGAAACCCCATAAAATGTTATATATATAAAAAAGATTTCTGTCCTACCTCCAGGAACTTCATAAACGCTGGCCTGGCTTCTTTGGCGATCCTCACAGCATCTTTGGCGTTGAGGAAGTTATCGATGTAGGCAGAATAAATGTTCACCAGGATGTCTTTGGAAAACTGGGGAAGGAGCGAGACAAAGGCTTCATGAGACAAGCAGACATTTCCCTCTGAAGTCGCAGAAAGTGGGGAGGTGGGAAAACACAGAAGTGGGGAATTTCTTTCTTTTTTTTTTTAAATGATATTTATTAAGGTTTCAAAAAAGGTTACAAAAATAGAGAAAAGGAAAAAAAAGAAAAGAAAAAATACAAAATACAGAAAAGTAAAAACACTTCTTTCATTTACTTGTTTCCCTGACCTCCTCACACCTCCCTTTTTTGTATTCCAGTTCAGTTAGCTAATTCAGCAAATCCTTTCCCTCTTTGTTTTTACCCTAATCCTTTAACTTAATATATTGTAACTTTAAATTCTCACCTGTTAACAATCCATTTTTACATACTCCTTTATAACATTGCTGCTAAAACCACTTAACTTCATTCTGACATCATTCTAACATTCATTAATTTTACAATATTTCTGTAAATAGTCTTTAAATTTCTTCCAATCTTCTTCCACCAACTCTTCTCCCTGGTCTCGGATTCTGCCAGTCATTTCCGCCAGTTCCATGTAGTCCATCACCTTCATCTGCCATTCTTCCAGGGTGGGTAAATCTTGTGTCTTCCAATACTTTGCAATAAGTATTCTTGCTGCTGTTGTAGCATACATAAAAAAAGTTCTATCCTTCTTTGGCACCAATTGGCCAACTATGCCCAGGAGAAAGGCCTCTGGTTTCTTCAGAAAGGTATATTTAAATACCTTTTTCATTTCATTATAGATCATCTCCCAGAAAGCCTTAATCCTTGGGCACGTCCACCAAAGGTGAAAGAATGTGCCTTCAGTTTCTTTACACTTCCAACATTTATTATCGGGCAAATGATAGATTTTTGCAAGAAGTGGGGAATTTCAGCCCCTGGGGATTATCACTTTTCAAACAAGCAAACGCGAATTAGCATTGCTGATTGACCAAGATGGATAAGAATAGTTCAGAGGTCAGCTGGAGGTGTAAAAATGGGGTAGGTACTTTTATGCACATGTGGTGAGATTGTAAGATAGGAGAACTTTGGGACACCATATACAATGAACTTAAAAAGGTATTCAAACTCTCATTCACAAAAAACCGCTGAGGCCTTCCTATTAGGAATTACGTCCGTGGAAATTAAGAAAAATCTTAGACCACTTTTTATGTACGCGACCACAGCGGCTAGGATTTTGATAGCAAAGAACTGGAAAAGTGACAACATCCCCGCAGAAACTGACTGGCAGGCAAAAACGATAGAATATTTACAACTCGCAAGGATGACAGGGAGATTTAAGAAGAAATTCAGTACAGAAAGTTAATGAAAGATTGGATAATGTTTAAAGATGATCTTAAAAACTACTGTGATAACGGTAAACTCCTGGCAGACTTAGAATGAATCTTGAAAGACAGAGACAGTATATGAAAGAGTATTCTGGATAAGAAACGGGAAAGTTAAAAAGTAATAATGAACTGTGGACAGATGAACAAAATGTAAAATAGTACAATGAGAAGAACCGGAAGTTGGAATGTAAAAAAGTGAAAAGCTTCTGGGAAATGATATATAATGAGATGAAAAAAATGTTGAAATATACATTCATAAAGAAACCAGAAGCATTTTTACTGTGCATGGTAGGAAGTGATATAAATAGAAAAGAATGTAAGCTGTTTTCATATGCAATGACGGCAGCAAGAATATTATTGGCACAAAAATGGAAGCAAGAAGAATTACTGACGAAAGAAGAATGGAGGATGAAATTAATGGACTATGCAGAATTAGACAAACTAACAGGAAGGATTCAAAATCTGAGGGACCAGAAATTCACAGAAGACTGGTGTAAATTTACAGATTATTTGAAAAGTAATAGTGATGTTCAAACTACGTTTGTAGGTTTGCAAGACGTTTTGTGAGGTGAATTATTGGAACTATTGCAAAAATGGATAAAGGGGAGGATGATTAGTTAAGATAATTAAAGGCAATATGAATTTAAGAAATGCATAAGAAGTGGTTAAAACGGGGGATCATCAGAGGTGATGGGAGTAAAAAAAAAAGATTGTATAAGTGGTTTGTGGTATGTATTATAATTCATATGTTAAAATTAATAAAAATTATTATATAAAAAAAGAGAAGAACCGGAAGTTAAAATAAAAAAATAAAATTATTATTAATTAATAAAATAAAATATGCCAGAAAACCCTGCATCCTTTGGGCTAAGTAACCCAAGAAAGTCAGATTTCCATCTCGAATACCAGCTCCTTGATCAGAGGTTGTGTGTGTGTGTGCGTGTTGTCGGAAAAGCTGAACTCACAGACTTCACCAGGATGTCCCCCACTTTCTGCTTCTCGCTCCAGCTGTGCACGCACTCGCTGATCTGCTCCAGGAACTCCTCGTGGTGATCCAGCAGCTCGGGGATCTGATCAAAGATCTCGTCTACCAGGGCGGGATCGCAGAGGATGGCGTTTTCCGGCAGCTTCAAGGGCTTCATGTAACCCTGGAAAGGGAAGGAGAGACGGAAGAGCAGACATTTAGGAGACAGGAAGATGGCCGATACCAAGACCCATCCAATTCAATACCGACTGATTGATTGATTGATTGATTGTATTTTTACGCTGCTTTTCATTCAAATGAATCTCAAAGCGGCTTACAACGGATAAACAACCATAATGTAATAAAACATAATAGCACATCGCGAATACAGCATATGTCGTATGAAAAAATTAACAGATTTTCAATGAAACAGTTGCAATCTATAAAAGAAAACTTAACGAAACAGCAACTAAAAAATAAGCTAAACCTCACAATTATTGGCAAGTCATGCGATTAACAAATCAACGCAGCGTTTAGAATCTCTAAAACAATATTAAAAACATTATCAAAACTGCAACTAAAAATATAAGCTGAGCGCTGAGTTCATTCACACAATCTGTGCACCCCTCATGACTCATAACCTTTCACTCTGTTCAGTTCATTAAAATACACATAAATGCACATATGTGAGAGTCCCATGGACTGCAAGAAGATCAAACCTCTCCATTCTGAAGGAAACCAGCCCTGAGTGCTCACTGGAAGGACAGATCCTGAAGCTGAGGCTCCAAGACTTTGGCCACCTCATGAGAAGAGAAGACTCCCTGGAAAAGACCCTGATGTTGGGAAAGATGGAGGGCACAAGGAGAAGGGGACGACGGAGGACGAGATGGTTGGACAGTGCTCTCGAAGCTACCAGCATGAGTTTGACCAAACTGCGGGAGGCAGTGGAAGACAGGAGTGCCTGGCGTGCTCTGGTCCAGGGGGTCACGAAGAGTCGGACATGACTAAACGACTAAACAACAACCATCTCCCATGGCAGAGCCCTGGAGACATTTGAAGATGGCTGTTGTATCTGCTTTCAGACTCCTCTTTTCCAGGCGAAGCATACCCAGCTCCTTCGACCGTTCCTCATCAGGCTTGGTTCCCAGACCCCTGGTCATCTTGGGGAACTGGATGTCAGCTTTCAGAGTGGATATCTTGATGCTCAATCCAGCTCAGCCAGATGCGGATTTGTGACGTAGAATATGCTGGTATATACACGCGCGCGCGCACACACACACACACACACACCTCTCTTCTTCAAGTGGGTGACATCCAGATTTTTTGGACTACAACACCCATCTGCCCCAGCCTAGCGTGGCTGGTGGGAGCTGCTCCCCAAAACGTATGGAGGGCACCAGGTTGGGGAAGCAGCTCTCGAGAGTCCAAGGCAGAAAATTCTCCTTTCCATCACCTGCTACTTTTCCATAGAGATGCTCTATTTTGCCTAGGACCTCTTGCAAGCAAAGGAGATCCTCTGCCATTGAGCTGGTGTCAGCACTGAAGAGGCGAGCAGTCGAGTTAACTTTTTATTCAAAAATACAGGCTACAAGCAGAGAGTTCTCAGGACAGGACCGGCCCCTATAACACGGTTGCCAGAACTGACAGTCCTTGCATCCCTATTCTCTCTCAGCCAGAAGTTGCCCAAGCAGGAATTCACACTCTTTGTTCTGCCAGATGCAAAGCTTTCTGAGTCCTTCGCTACAAGGGTGGAGCGGAGGCTAATACAGATTGAGGTTGAATCCTGACAAGACAGAAGTAGTGTTTTTTGGGGACAGGAAGTGGGTGGGTGTGGAGGACTCCTTGGTCCTGAATGGGGTAACTGTGCCCCTGAAGGACCAGGGGCGCAGCCTGGGAGTCAATTCTGTGTCCAGGGCAGCTGTCTACCAGCTCCATCTGGTGCGCAGGCTGAGACCCTCCCTGCCCTCAGACTGTCTCGCCAGAGTGGTGCATGCTCTAGTTATCTCCTGCTTGGACTACTGCAATGCGTTCTATGTGGGGCTACCTTTGAAGGTGACCCGGAAGCAATATCTAATCCAGAATGCAAACAAAAAATTCCTTCCAGTAGCACCTTAAAGACCAACTAAGTTTGTTATTGGTATGAGCTTTCGTGTGCATGCACACTTCTTCAGATACTTCTTTGTGCATGCACATGAAAGCTCATACCAATAACAAACTTACCGTATTTTTCACCCTATAGGACACACCGGCCCATAGGACGCACCTAGTTTTTTTTTTTTTGAGGGGGGGAAATAAAGGGGAAAAAAATTATTCCCCCCCCCAGCCGCGGCTTCAGCGTGCCCCGCACTCCAGGCAGCAGGCTGCTATCCGCAGCCTAGGGAGCCCTGCGGGAACTCCCGCGGGCTCCCCAGGCTTGCCGATGTCTTCCTGAAGCCTGGAGAGCGAGAGGGGTCGGTGCGCACCGACCCCTCGCGCTCTCCAAGCTTCAGCGAAAGCCTGGATTCGCCCCATAGGACGCACACAGATTTCCCCTTCATTTTTGGAGGGGAAAAAGTGCGTCCTATAGGGCGAAAAATACGGTAGTTAGTCTCTAAGGTGCTACTGGAAGGAATTGTTTGTTTGTTTCTTTGGACTACGGCAGACCAACACGGCTACCTACCTGTAACTAGAACAAGTAATCAAGTAAGACAATTATGGTTAAAGCCCAAATCTTTGAATTATAGACCATCGAAGCGCAGAGCAGGCTAAAAGCTGAAGTTACAACCTACAACTAAAGTTAGGCCAGCTTCAAACCATGGTTTATGTTACAGTGGTACCTCAGGTTAAGTACTTAATTCATTCCGGAAACATATGCTATAATGTTATTGCTTTAGTTAAATAAATTATTTAGATTGTTATTAAGGAAATGATTATTTTTCTCCTTCTGATAAAGTACAGTGGTACCTCAGGTTAAGTACTTAATCCGTTCCGGAGGTCCGTTCTTAACCTGAAACTGTTATTAACCTGAAGCACCACTTTAGCTAATGGGGCCTCCTGCTGCTGCTGTGCCACCGGAGCACGATTTCTGTTCTTATCATGAAGCAAAGTTCTTAACCTGAAGCACTATTTCTGGGTTAGCGGAGTCTGTAACCTGAAGCGTATGTAACCTGAAGTGTATGTAACCCAAGGTACCACTGTATTGGCTTGTTTCCCTAAACCATATAGTTAAGCCTAAACCACATTTTAAGGTTAGCACGTAATGACACACTGATGAAACACGGTATAGACAATTAACAAATCATAATAATAGGTAATCAAAAACAGAAATGAAAGCGGAGAGGGACACTGGGTGCACGTCAAGCTAAACCACAGTTTAGTGTTACATTCGAAAGAGACCAAAATCTTGGCTGCTTCCACTGCAGCTATATAACTTTCCAAAGGTGGAGGAAACGTTCCGCATCTCGTAGGTATTTAAAAAGCTAATCAAAACTGGATTGCTCCTTTTGCTGCCCTTGTCTCCCCTCTTCAAAGATGTCATCTCTGAATGAGTCAGAAGCATTTCCAGGAATTCCACTGTGACGTATTAAAGGCTCCCGAGCTGTAATTATCTTCCCCTGTCCTTCAAGCACACAAAGCAGCTGCTCTCTCTAGCTCTCCTCTTCGGCAAGTCGACGGGTTTGCCTTTGTACCATCCAATTAAAGCCCCCTTGTCCCCTGCTTGAAAAAAGCCTGGCACCACAAAGGTTGGCACGCCCCGTCCCGAGGCTTTCCAATGACGACAACGCAGAATTCTGCATAAGCGCAACTTTGAGCAAATGCCGCCAATCCAGGCTATTGACAGTGGGAATCAGACATCCAAAGAGTGAAAACCAGGACCTTATTCTCTGTCCCTGCTAGGCCTGGGCTAGATATATCCATATACAGTCCTACCTCGGGTTACAGACGCTTCAGGTTGCGTTTTTTGGGTTAAAGGTAAAGGTAAAGGGACCCCTGACCATTAGGTCCAGTTGTGGCCAACTCTGGGGGTGCGGCGCTCATCTCGCTTTACTGGCCGAGGGAGCCGGCGTACAGCTTCCGGGTCATGTGGCCAGCAGGACTAAACCACTTCTGGCGAACCAGAGCAGCGCACGGACACGCCATTTACCTTCCCTGCCAGAGCGGTGCCTATTTATCTACTTGCACTTTGTGCTTTCGAACTGCTAGGTGGGCAGGAGCAGGGACCGAGCAACAGGAGCTCACCCCTTTGCGGGGATTCGAACCGCTGACCTTCTGATCGGCAAGTCCTAGGCTCCGTGGTTTAACCCACAGCGCCACCACCAAAACCCGGAAGTACCAGAACGGGTTACTTCCGGGTTTCGGCGGTCGCACATGCACATAAGCTCTAAATCGCACTTTGTGCATGCGCAGAAGCGCCGAATCATGACCCGCGTGTGTGTAGACGCGCCGCTGCAGGTTGTGGACGCTGCGGGTTGTGAACATGCATCCCGCACGGATCACGTTCGCAACCCGAGCGTCCACTGCGTCGCCCAGGACTGGTGCAAGGGGCAGACCACGATGATGGCTTTGCTTAGCGGTGTATCGCTGGCGAGACTGCCATTTCCTGAGTCCCTCTGCTCCCAGCGCCCAGCACGGTGAGGGGGGAAAAAGCTGGAGACAGAGGGACTCCAGAGAAGTGGCCGTTTCGCCGGCGATATACCGCTGAGTGGAACCGCCATTGCGGTCCACCCTCACACCGCTGCAGAGGGAGAAACAAGCTGTTTTGCCGAGGTGCCGATACAGCTTGTTCTTTCCTCTGCTTCAACAAGCCCAATATCCCTCCAGATTGAGCACGCTGGAGGGATGTGGGGCTTGCTGGAACAGGTGAGCCACTGGCTTGACCAGGGGTCAGCAAACTTTTTCAGCAGGGTGCCGGTCCACTCTCCCTCAGACCTTGTGGGGGCCGGACTATATTTTGAAAAACGAAGAACGAATTCCTATGCCCCACAAATAACCCAAAGATGCATTTTAAATAAAAGGACACATTCTACTCATGTAAAAACACCAGGGAGGCCCCACAAATAACCCAGAGATGTATTTTAAATACAGTGGTGCCTCACAAGACGAAAAGAATCCGTTCCGCGAGTCTCTTCGTCTTGCGGGTTTTTTCGTCTTGCGAAGCAAGCCCATTAGAGGTTTAGAGGCTTAGCGCTACAGTATTAGCGGCTTAGCCGGCTTAAAGATCAGCTGATAAGCGGCTTAACGATCAGCTGATAAGCGGCTTAAAGATCAGCTGATAAGCGGCTTAACGATCAGCTGATAAGCGGCTTAACGATCAGCTGTTAAGCGGCTTAACGATCAGCTGATAAGCGGCTTAGCCATCAGCTGATAAGCGGTTTAGCGGCTTGGGAAAAAGGGGGGGGAAAGGAAAAAAACCCGCAGGAACTCGCAAGACATTTTCGTCTTGCGAAGCAAGCACATAGGAAATTCGTTTTGCGAAGCACCTCCAAAATGGAAAACCCTTTCGTCTAGAGGGGTTTTCCGTCTTGCGAGGCATTCGTCTTGCGGGGCACCACTGTAAAAGGACACATTCTCACGTAAAAACACCAAGCAGGACCCACAAATAACCCAGAGATACATTTTAAATAAAAGGACACATTCTACTCATGTAAAAACACGCAGATTCCCGGACCGTCTGCGGGCCAGATTTAGAAGGCGATTGGGCCGGATCCAGACCCCGGGCCTTAGTTTGCCTACCCATGGGCTTGATCTTATCCTATAGGAAGCTGTCTTATTCTGAGTCAGAACATGGGGACATTTGACTCAGTTTTGCCTACACTGACTGGCAGTCGCTCTCCAGGGTTTCAGGAAGGGAAACCCTCCCTCCCTTATCTGGAGCTGCTGGGGACTGAACCTGGGACACTCTTCGTGGAAGGCAAATGCTCTACCTCTGAGCCACAGCCCTTCCTTGATGGAGTACAAAGGAGGGCAATGCGGCAGCTAGACTGGTGACTGGGAGCGGCCGCCAAGACCACATAACACCGGTCCTGAAAGACCTACACTGGCCCCCAGTACATTTCTGAGCACAATTCAAAGTTTTGGTGCTGACATTGAAAGCCCTAAACGGCCTCGGCCCAGTAGACCTGAAGGAGCATCTCCACCCCCATCGTTCTACCCGGACACTGAGGTCCAGCTCCGAGGGCCTTCTGGCGGTTCCCTCACTGCAAGAGGTGAGGTTGCAGGGAACCAGGCAGAGGGCCTTCTCGGTAGTGGCACCCGCCTGTGGAACGCCCTCCCAACCAGATGTCAAAGAGAAAAACAACTACCAGACTTTTAGAAGACATCTGAAGGCAGCCCTGTTTAGGGAAGCTTTCAATGTTTAATAGGTTATTGTATTTTAATATTCTGTTGGTAGCCACCCAGAGTGGCTGGGGAAACCCAGCCGGATGGGCGGGGTATAAATACTAAATTATTATATTATTATTATTATTATGGTTTACAGCTGAAAAGGACTCAGAGCATTAAATAAAAAGTCTTCTTGCGCAAAGGAGGTCGAGAGAGCCTGGCATTTGGAAATGGCGAAGAGCTGCGGCTGACAAGTCTGTTTTCCGTGAATTAGAGACTCAAAGCAGAGGGCGAAGGGTATGAAAATAACCCTCCAATTTTCACACTTGAGAGTTGCAGTGCGTGGGAAGGATTTATTGTACCAAAAGGGAGGGGAAACAGCTAAGCGCCCCCCATTTGGACAATCAAAAAGGCAGAAATAGATTCCCGTGGAATCAAAACTGCCACAGGCACAAGAAAGTCTTGCATTGCTGCGTCAGAGCAAAGTCACACCTGCAAATGAATCGTGGGGAGGCAGGTCTTCCCGGTCGGATAGCATTTGCACACTCACACAAACACACACACACTTCAAAGGGGGAATAAACCTGAATGCAAGTTCCCTGACAACTTGATCCTGAGCGCCATCATCCCTGGTGCTCTGCTCTCAAGCCCTGCATCGCGTGGCAACGGGATGCAGTTGCCACGGAGACGAGCGCAAGCTGGGTTTGGCCTGACAAAAGCTTCCCAGTGCCTGGCGTGGGTCGCTCTGCCGAATTAGGAATGCACAGATCTTGTTTCCGGCAGCCCTGCTAAGGCGCTGCAGCCGAGCAAGGAGTCGCAAGGGAGAGAAAAGTGCACTTCTTGGTTACAGAGAAACTCCTGGGCATCGCTCTGCCAAACGTGCTCAGAAATCCCCACCAGACCTTCCTGCGGGTAGACCGGGCACCCTTGTCTGTATTGCTACTTTGACTTTTAGAAGACATCTGAAGGCAGCCCTGTTTAGGGAAGCTTTTAATGTTTGATGCATTACTGTATTTTAATATTTTGTTGGAAGCCGCCCAGAGTGGCTGGGGAAGCCCAGCCAGATGGGCGGGGTATAAATAAATAAATAAATAAATAAATAAAATAATAATAATAATAATAATAATAATAATAATAATAATAAAAAATTTATAATTTATATGCTGCCCATCAGACTGGGTAGCCCCAGTCACTCTGGGCGACTCCCAACAAAATATTAAAAACACAATAAAATATCAATCAATAAAAACTTCCCTGAACAGGGCTGCCTTCAGGTGTTTTCTAAAAGTCAAAGAATGTAAGAACATCCTTGCAGAATCAGGTCAAACACACCCAGTTCCTATAACCTTCCCTCATCGGACTTCTTCTTCTTCTTCTTCTTATTATTATTATCATCATCATCATCAAGTCTTATTGGCTAGTGATTTAAATCAAGTCTTACAGACTAGTTATTTAAATCAAGTCTTACTGGCTAGTGATTTAAATCGATTTGATTTATATCATATCCACCCTGGCTTGCAGGCCAAGCTAAGCCAAGCTTATGGCTTGTCCTCACTTGCACTCCTGCACTGCAGGGGGTTGGACTAGATGACCCCTGGGGTCCCCTTGGGGGTCTATGAGCAAAGTGGAGCCATCTGGCAGCAGGCACTAGAACGGCGCTCATTCCCAGCTCACCGTAACTTCCAAAAGAGGTCTATTACCACGGTTGTTACCCCTGCGAGGTAGATCGAGCTGAGAGCAGACCATGACTGGCCCGAGGTCATCCACCCAGGGAGCTTTATGGCAGAGTGGGAATTTGAACCACTCAAAGGTACGCGGGTGGCGCTGTGGGTAAAACCACAGTGCCTATGACTTGCCGATCGTATGGTCGGCGGTTCGAATCCCCGCGGCGGGGTGAGCTCCCGTCTTTCGGTCCCGGCTCCTGCCCACCTAGCAGTTCGAAAGCACCCTTAAGTGCAAGTAGATAAATAGGTACCGCTTTATAGCGGGAAGGTAAACGCCGTTCCGTGTGCTGCGCTGGTGCTGGCTCGCCAGAGCAGCTTCGTCACGCTGGCCACCTGACCCGGAAGTGTCTGCAGACGGCGCCGGCTCCCGGCCTCTAGAGTGAGATGAGCGCACAACCCTAGAGTCTGTCAAGACTGGCCCGTATGGGCAGGGGTACCTTTACCTCCTGGGATCTAGTCCATCCACTACACCACACTGCCGTTCTGCAACCAAATAGCAAACACAGGGAAAAATGCAGGTGGGATAAGCAACGCAAAGGTTTAACAAGGAAACTTGGTACAGTGGTACCTTGGTTCTCAAACACCTTGGAACCCAAACACTGCAAACCCGGAAGTAAGTTTTCTGGTTTGTGAACTTGCTCCTTTTTGAGTGTTATGCTTCTGTTTTCAGTGCCACACTTCCGATGTGAGTGTTACGCTGAGGTCTGTCTGTTTTTGCTATTTATTTTGCGTTTTTGTGGCTCTTTTTGCGTGTGTGACTGTGTGGAACGCAGTTCAGCTACTAACTGATTGATTGATTGTGTGACTGTAGTACACTGATCAATGGTCTCGTTAGATAGTAAAATCCATGTTAAATTGCTGTTTTAGGGGTTGTTTGTAAAAGTCCGGAACGGATTAATCCGTTTTGCATTACTTTCTATGGGAAAGCGCGCCTTGGTTTTGGAACGCTTTGGTTTCAGAACGGACTTCCAGAACGGATTACGTTTGAGAACCAAGGGACCACTGTACTGTGACTGCCAGTCACAAGATGGTAGTGAGAATGCTGTGTGCAAGTTATAGCGTGCAAATTATGGGCATGGGGGATTTTTTATTTTAGATGCCACCCTCCTAAAACTCAAAGGATGTTGAACACGGGCCACGTTCAGGCCGTGCATTTAAAGCAATATGATACCACTTTAGAGAAGAAAAACAGCACAGGCATATCTGAGCGGTGCAGAGTTCGACCGGAGCTCGAGGTGCCTGGCCTCTGTTCCCACGCAGGTCAGTTACCTGCATCAGCGTCCGCAGCGACTCCACGTACGACTGTTCCGTATCCAGGAGTGTCATAATCACGTGTTTCCGCATATCCTGCAAAAAAGAGAGGCAGAGAGAGGTGTTTGAGAAAGGGCGCCGCAACCTGCAGCAGTTTCCTGCAGGTGAAAACAAGAGCTTAAGAAACAAGTGCCCCAGTTTATCCTTTTCCTTCTCCCTCCCAACGTCTTTTTCTTTCGTGTCGTGCCTTCATCAGATTACCGTATTTTTCGCTCTATAAGACACACCAGACCACAAGACGCACCTAGTTTTTGGAGGAGGAAAACAAGAAAAAAAATATTCTGAATCTCAGAAGCCAGAACAGCAAGAGGGATCGCTACACAGTGAAAGCAGCAATCCCTCTTGCTGTTCTGGCTTCTGAGATAGCTGCGCAGCCTGCATTCGCTCCACTGAGAGCCAGTGTGGTGTAGTGGTTAAGAGCGATAGACTCGTAATCTGGTGAACCAGGTTTGCGTCTCCGCTCCTCCACCTGCAGCTGCTGGGTGACCTTGGGCTAGTCACACTTCCCTGAAGTCTCTCAGCCCCACTCACCTCACAGAGTGTTTGTTGTGGGGGAGGAAGGGAAAGGAGAATGTTAGCCGCTTTGAGACTCCTTTGGGTAGTGATAAAGCGGGATATCAAATCCAAACTCCTCCTCTTCTTCTTCTTCTTCATTAGACGCACACACATTTCCCCCTACTTTTTAGGAGGGTAAAAGTGAGTTTTATAGAGCAAAAAATACAGTATAAGACCGAAGGCAGGAAGCATCTTATTGCCGACACTTATGAGTTGCTTTTGCAGCGTTCTCTGGGCTGAAAAGCAGGAGGAAAAAACACGTTCGGCAAATAACCACCATGAAGGGTTCGTGCTGGGTGCAAACACAGCCTAGAATCAAACGGAACAGGCTGTCAATTCCACCCGCCCCCCCCCCCCCAAAAGCCCTGCTGCCCTGACTGCTCAGATCTGCAACATCTTTTCAAAGGTTAATAAGAACTGCTGTATCCTTGTCAAAACAGCGAACAAACCTCCTTCCTTGGAGGTTTCTAAGCAGAGATCGGACGGCCATCTGTCATGGATGCTTTAGCTGAGATTCCTGCCTTGCAGGGGGTTGGACTAGATGACCCCTGGGGTCCCCTTCAACTCTAAAATTCTACGATTCTATGAAAGTTGGGACTGTGAAGTTTTTGAAAGCTAAGAGCCTCCTGCAAATGTGTTGCTGTGTATTGCTCAGGGCCAAGACTGACCCAGATCAGGGCACCTGTGTTATTGCTGAACCACTGCTAAACAGGGTGGATAAAATCAATTATTTTTTAAAAAATAATAATCAGATTTTTAAAATTTTAAATCGGATTTTTAAGATAAAATGCTTTTGGAGGAAAAATCTTTCCAAAGATTTTCTATTTAAGTTACCGTATTTTTTGCCCCATAGGACTCACACACATTTCCCCTTCATTCCTCTTCAAAAATGAAGGGGAAATGTGTGTGCGTCCTATGGGGCGAATGCAGGCTGTCGCTTCAGGAAGCTATCCGCAAGCCTGCGGAGCCCGGCGGGAACTTCCTCTGGGCTCCGCAGGCTTGCGGACAGCTGCCTGCAGCCCGAAGCCCAGGGAGCGCTGCGTTGCGCACCCCAGGCTTGGGGCAGATATCCGCAACCCTTGGGAGCTCGGCGGCAGTTCCCGTCGGGCTCCCAAGGCTTGCGGATAGCAGCCTGCATCCCGAAGCCTGGTGCGCCCTATGGGGCGAAAAATACGGTACATTATAGTCCAAAGGCTATTTATCAGGAAATAAGGATTTGTTTTAAGTTTTTCATGTGTGCTAAAACTCAGCCTAAGTTGTTTTGGTTTTTTGTAAACACGTTTAACCACATCGGTTAACAAACCTGGAAACATATGCTATAATGTTATTGTTTTAGTTAAATAAATTATTTAGATTGTTATTAAGGAAATGATTATTTTTCTCCTTCTGATAAAGTACAGTGGTACCTCAGGTTAAGTACTTAATCCGTTCCGGAGGTCCGTACTTAACCTGAAACTGTTCTTAACCTGAAGCACCACTTTAGCTAATGGGGCCGCCTGCTGCCGCTGAACAATTTCTGTTCTCATCCTGAAGCAAAGTTCTTAACCTGAAGCACTATTTCTGGGTTAGCAGAGTCTGTAACCTGAAGCGTATGTAACCTGAAGCGTATGTAACCCGAGGTACCACTGTACAGCTGAAAAGTTGTCCAAATATAAACAGTTAACTTATTAAACCTCGCAATAATTTCATAATTATCTAACAGTATAACAAAATCAGTCATTTTTGATATAACTGTAAAAACTACTCTGAAAATTTATTATCCCGAAAACGAAATCAATTTGATTTAAATGAAATCCACCCTGCTGCTGTGTGATTTGAAGTTGAGAAGCTGCCGTCAGAAGCTCTTGCCTCAAAAGAAGCCACGTTCCGGATTGCATCCTAAGCCATGGGAAGGCGAACTAAGGCCCGGGGGCCGGATCCAGCCCAATCACCTTCCAAATCTGGCCCGTGGATTGTCCAGGAAGCAGCGTGTTTTTACATGAGTAGAATGTGTGCTTTTATTTAAAATGCATCTCTGGGTTATTTGTGGGGCATAGGAATTCATTCACTATTTTTTTCAAAATATAGTCCGGCCCCCCACAAGGTCTGAGCGACATTGGACCGGCCCCCTGCTGAAAAAGTTTGCTGAGCCCTGTGCTAAGCAATCCAGAGAGCTGCCATCTGAAATCTAAAGTGCTTCAGCCGAGACACAGCTTTACAACCTCAGTGAGCCTGAGGGCAATCGTCTCAAACTTGCCTTGCCTTCAGACAGCCCCAGGCAGGTCCAACTGAGCTCCGTTTCTGTGAAATGGGCTCATTACGAACTCTTCTCTCAGGGTTCCTTAGAGAACACAGAGGGAAAGGACTGCAAAGCTACTTGCACGCCAGTAAAGCTGCGGCGACAAACAGCGAATGGCCTTTCCAAAAGCCTTTGACTTTGTCGACCACAGCAAACTACAGCAAGTTCTTAAAGAAATGGGAGTGCCTGATCACCTCACCTGTCTCCTGAGAAATCTCTATGTGGGACAAGAAGCTACAGTTAGAACTGGATATGGAACAACTGATTGGTTCAAAATTGGGAAAGGGGTACAACAAGGCTGTATATTGTCTCCCTGCTTATTTAACTTATATGCAGAATTCATCATGCGAAAGGCTGGGTTGGATGAATCCCTAGCCGGAATTAAGATTGCCGGAAGAAATATCAACAACCTCAGATATGCAGATGACACAACCTTGATGGCAGAAAGTGAGGAGGAATTAAAGAACCTCTTAATGAGGGTGAAAGAGGAGAGCGCAAAATATGGTCTGAAGCTCAACATCAAAAAAACGAAGATCATGGCCACTGGGCCCATCACCTCCTGGCAAATGGAAGGGGAAGAAATGGAGGCAGTGAGAGATTTTACTTTCTTGGGCTCCATGATCACTGCAGATGGTGACATAGTTAAAGCTATGGTTTTCCCAGTAGTGATGTATGGAAGTGAGAGCTGGACCATAAAGAAGGCTGATCGCCGAAGAATGGATGCTTTTGAATTCTGGTGCTGGAGGAGACTCTTGAGAGTCCCATGGACTGCAAGAAGATCAAACCTCTCCATTCTGAAGGAAATCAGCCCCGAGTGCTCACTGGAAGGACAGATCCTGAAGCTGAGGCTCCAAGACTTTGGCCACCTCATGAGAAGAGAAGACTCCCTGGAAAAGACCCTGATGTTGGGAAAGATGGAGGGCACAAGGAGAAGGGGACAACAGAGGACGAGATTGTGGGACAGTGTTCTCGAAGCTACCAGCATGAGTTTGACCAAACTGCGGGAGGCAGTGGAAGACAGGAGTGCCTGGCGTGCTCTGGTCCATGGGGCCACGAAGAGTCGGACACGACTAAACAACAACAGGAATTTGTTCATTTTCCCCACCTTCAAAATATAGTCTGGCCTCCACAAGGTCTGAGGGACAGTGGACCGGCCCCCTGCTGAAAAAGTCTGCTGACCCCTGATGTTGAACAAAGGAAAGGATGACAGACCGATCCATTCCTAAGGAAATCAGCCCTGAGTGCTCACTGGAAGGCCAGATCCTGAAGCTGAGGCTGCAATACTTTGGCCACCTCATGAGAAGAGAAGACTTCCTGGAAAAGACCCTGATGTTGGGAAAGATGGAGGGCACAAGGAGAAGGGGACGACAGAGGACGAGATGGTTGGACAGTGTTCTCGAAGCTATCAGCATGAGTTTGACCAAACTGCGGGAGGCAGTGGAAGACAGGAGTGCCTGGTGTGCTCTGGTCCAGGGGGTCACGAAGAGTCGGACACGACTAAACGACTAAACACCACCACCACCACCACCACTGCGGCTCCAGGAGGGTAATGCATGGGAGAATTCTTTTGCAAAACCACCCTCTTTCTAGCTAGAAGTGCTTTCTTCTCCTCTCCACTTTCCTCTTAATTTTCCAAAACAAGCTATGCAGCAACCCAATATAACTTTTTTGCAAAATCACAAAAATGCACTGCCATCCGTTGCAGAAATCAAGAGGTTGCCAGATGAGACCTAAGATCTCAGAGAAAGCAGATCAGATCTCGAGCACGGTTCCCAGGGACCCACCGTCCTCTCCCCCGAACACACAAAAGGGCCAGGAGTGGGGCATGTTTGTACATTTCCACTTGGCGCTGTCACAGCCCGGTTCCCCTCCCACGCCCATCGTAACATAAAAAGGGTAAAACACTTGCTTTGAGCGCAGACATTCAGCCCAGGCATTCAGCCTAAGCCCTCCATCAAAACTCATAACACTATATTCTTCGTGTTCCGTGCACCCACAACTCTGGATAACAGCCCGCAAACTTGTGCCGCAAACCAAGCCTTTCTAAGTATTCCCAATTACGTACGAACATTCGCTTCTGCACTCTGACTGCGAAGTGCCATCTCCTTGCAGTTGAATTTGCAGGGTTTCGTAAGTGGCGGCCGCATGAATACAGCAAACTCGTTGCGAGACACACACTGTGTTGTGTTAGATGTACAAGTTTAACGTAAATGCATGAACAGTTCAGCATCCATTGTGTGTGTGCTTATATTGCCGATATTAGTCATTAAGATCTTAATATTCTGAACAGGTATGGATATCATCGTACTTATTATTAGCATAAAAACAAGACCCCACATTTATTTTCTGCCCCACGTTAAGATTTCTAGCCAGTCCACCCTTGCTGTTGTGTGGGGGGGAGCCTGATTCCCCCCCCCCCCACCAGGGCCCAATCCTGCTCTCAGCGGCCCTGACTGTGGATACCTTTGCCAGCCTCCCGTGTGACTCAGGAATGAACGCCGTAGCTGTTTATCCTTCAATTAAATCAGGAATGGCTGGCTCTTAATTAAGTTAGTGAGTAATACAGAATCAATGCAGTGCAGGATTACATCTGTTGCAAGAGGAACGGGATTGGTCCTTCCCCTTTCGGCAACGAGACAGGAAGTGCTCAGTAAATCCACTGAGATCTGGGAGGATCAGGTGCGCAAAATTCCCTTTCTCTCAGATGCTATCAGGAACGGCCCCAGCCAGAGAACTGGTTCGCTGTTTTTTTTGCTCCCGCTCTTCCTCCTGTGCATTGAATTCGGGAGAAATAAACTGGATGAAGCTTTTCTTGACCTGGAGCTGGGAAAAGATGCTATTGTTTAATTTCTAGAGGTGTTCAGAGGAAACATGAGCCAAAATGGTAAGAATCGCCTCTACGGTAAGGAATCCTGCCTGCACACAAGGGACGGACGTCAATTTCTGGCTCTCCTTTCCCCAATCTTAATCTTATTCTCCGCACCAATGTTCTTTAAATCCACAGGAACAATAATCAGCACTTTGGCGCCAATTTCCCTCAATCTGAGTCCTGGGAACTGTAGTTTGTTAAGGGTGCGCTACCCCTAGTCGCATCACAGAGCTAAAATTCCCAGAGTTCCCTGGGAAGAAGATTTTTATTATTATTATTATTATTATTATTACAGTGGTACCTCAGGTTGAGTACTTAATTCGTTCCGGAGGTCCGTACTTAACCTGAAACTGTTCTTAACCTGAGGTACCACTTTAGCTAATGGGGCCTCCTGCTGCCGCCGTGCCGCTGGAGCACGATTTCTGTTCTCATCCTGAAGCAAAGTTCTTAACCCAAGGTACTATTTCTGGGTTAGCGGAGTCTGTAACCCGAAGCGTATGTAACCCGAGGTGCCACTGTATTATTATGATGATGATGATTAAAAGATGTGTTTATTATGTTTTCAAAATGCCACATACAAACAAGAGAAACAATAAAGAAACAAAAAAAGGACAACTGTGTGCAGCGTATGTGGTTAGGATAGAATAAACAGAAAGTTCAGTTGACCCTTGTGATCATTCTAATAAAATAGGTTCTGGAAGGAATTGAGAGTCACATATTGATAAGGTAACCTCGCCACATAGGGGCATTGCTGCTGGCAGGGGTGTGTGTGTCTAGGCAGTGCACTATTTTTACTTATAAAGCATATAAACGGGAGCCACACAACATCAAAGTGACGTTGTTCCATAATCCCTCTTAGAAATCACCTGTGATGGGGTATATGCTCAAACCAAGCAATGCCCCTCACTCTCTCCAACCATCCAGAGGGGTTGGTTTTTATTTTATTTTATTTTACCAATTTTTCGTTTCCCGATTTTTTTACAACAAAAATTACGTCTGAACAGAAATAAACGTTTTCTTCGACTTCCTTCTCCTCCCTCCTCTCCTACTTCGGCTTCTGTCTCTGATTCCGGACTTCTCTTTGCCACAGAATCTCCCCGCTCACAAAGCCCTGATACCCTGTTATGTACTGAGTTGAATAGGATCCAAACTGCAGCAGTCTGATTGGTCCTAGAACAATAGGATCCAAAATGCAGCAGTCTGATTGGTCCTAGAACAATGCAGCAGTATGATTGGTCCGCAGGAGCCACCCAATCCAGCTCCAGATGGAAGTGAATCCACAACCTGATTGGCCTACAGGAGAATTCCAGAATTAGCCAATCACGTGGGGCCCATTGTGTAAGTAATGTATATAAGATCAGATACTTTGAGGGGACTTTCATTCCTCCTCACTACTATGAGCTGAATAAAGAACATGAAATCCACTCTCGACTCCGAGCATATTTCATTCCCTCTCCATCTTCTGACACCTCCTCCTCCCAGGCTGCTCCCTCTTCTCCCTCTGACCCCTCATCGTCGCCCCACCACCAATCCCCGGGCTCTGAGCCTTCTTCTCTTGGGGTCCCCCAGCTGGCGCCACCCACCATTCCTCTGCGCCAAAACAGTCTGCCACACTGCAGGGTCGTATCTCCCTTCCTCTTGCTCAAATCAGGACTAGGAAGGGGGGGGCGGGAGAGGATTAACCGATAACTATGACAAATAAATAAATTCCTTCCGTTTCCTACAGAAAGGTCTGGCTAATGCCCTGCCTTCTCTACCCAGATGTGGACCTTTCTGAAACTGCCAGCGACCCCCTCCCATATTATTCTGGACCCCCACCTGCTGCTTCAAGGAAATTGCTTTATTTAATTAATGATGGGTGCTTCTATGTTTCGAATGGGCATTTGAATTATGAATGTTTATTTTAACGCTTGCGGTGCTGGTCTTAGAAACAGCAGCCTTCGTTGGCATTAGGCTGTGCGTGAATCTATGACGATTATTATTTTATAGCAACAGCAGCGACGGCTGTTGCCTCCGCGGCTGTACTCTCCAAGAATATCACACCTTCTTCCCAACTAGGCTTAAAAAAAGGAAAAGAAAGAAAGAAAAAACATCATTTTCAAGCATGAATTCTGGTGGGGAGAAAGGAAAAGGAACGCACAAGTATGTGTCTTTTTACATGTGCAGCTGTAGTGCTGGTATGGTCCCTATTACATTGCAAGTGTGCCCAGAAAAGTGGGGAGAACCGTTAACTGAATTATTACATTTGCTACGGGTGGCGCTGTGGGTTAAACCACAGAGCCTAGGTCTTGCCGATCAGAAGGTCGGCGGTTCGAATCCCCGCGATGGGGTGAGTTCCCGTTGCTCGGTCCCTGCTCCTGCCAACCTAGCAGCTCGAAAGTGCAAGTAGATAAATAGGTACCGTTCCGGAGGGAAGGTAAACGGCGTTTCCGTGCGCTGCTCTGGTTCGCCAGAAGCGGCTTAGTCATGCTGGCCACATGAACTGGAAGCTGTACGCCAGCTCCCTCGGCCAATGAAGCGAGATGAGCACTGCAACCCCAGAGTTGGCCACAACTGGACCTAATGGTCAGGGGTCCCTTTACCTTTACCTTTTAAATTTTATTTTATTTTGCAAACCACTCTGAGCACAGAGGTTATCGGTAGCAAATGCAGTACAGCCGTACCTCGGCTCCTGAACGCCTTGGGAGTCGAACGGTCCAGCTCCTGAAGGATCGAAAACCGGAAGTGAATGTTCTGGTTTTCAAACGTTCTTTTGGAAGTCGAATGTCCGACGGAGCTTCTGATTGGCTGCAGGAGCTTCCTGCAGCCAATCGGAAGCTGCGCTTTGGTTTCTGAATGTTTCAGAAGTCGAACGGACTTCAGGAACGGATTCTGTTCGATTTCCGAGGTACGACTGTATTTAAATAAACCGGCTACAGATTTTTGCAAGGCGGTCTTTGTGTGTGTGCCTCCATCATCTCTACTGCCTCGCTTCATGTCCTGGGCAAAATGGTACCCAGCCCACGATTCTTTGGCTGAGGGCGACCACATCTGAAGAGGGCATCCCTGCCTAGCACCAATGAGGACCACACTGCAAATTTCTTTCTTTCTTTCTTTCTTTTTTAAAGAACTGCTTTCCTTATAGAATCTTTATGGAAATTTAAATCTCTTAAATCCTATACCAATCTTTAACAATTTCAATTAATCCCTTCACCTCCCTCCCCCACAACCCAATACTTCACTCCACCTGTGTTCTTGGCCTACTATTATTTTTGTTATTGTCGCGTTACTCCCTCTATTTGTTATTCCATCCTTAATGTATTATCCTATCTCCTTGCGCCTTTTATACTTTTGCATATTAATTTTTAAGCTCCTGCAGCCACTTTTTCCATGTATTCCTTAACGCATTCCCATTCTTTATTAATTTTTTTGATTGGGAGTAACCTCTGATTGATGCTGTTAGTTTTGCCATCTCCGTGGATTCAAGAAGTTTGGTTCTCCAGTCTAATAATTCTGGTATTTTATCAGTTTTCCAATTTGTCGCCACTACAATTCTGGCTGCCGCGGTTGCGTAAAGGAATACGTGCCTTTTATTCTTAGGGATGTCGCTTGATACTAAACCCAGCAAAAATGCAAATTTCTGCCACCTTGTACTCAAGCTCACCTCTGCGACGGCTACAAACTTCTTCTGCCAAAATGCCTGAAACCTAGGATTCCCAAAGATTTCAACCTCCAAGCTGCAAGAGTTGAGAAAGCATCTTTCCTCTGACCGGCCCCCAAAGCTATTCCGTCTCTGCGCCCCCCCTTCTGTGCCACAGATAGCGATTCACACCAGCTGCTGTGACTACCCCAGTCCGATAAAACAGTCACTTAGGCATTGGGACATCAGCTGCAATGACAGCGTTGGCTGAGGGTAGAGAACATGGGGTTTTGTTATTGGCAGAAGCTGAAATCCCGTGCAGAAGGCCACAGAAGCACGCGGGGGGCGTTAGAACACAAGGCGAACGCCTTCTCCTTCCGCCAAACGCAGCTTTTAGGTGGGTTGCGCTAGCAGAGCAAAACAGCCTTTGTGAAGGGTGGGGGGGAGACACCAGTGAGCTTCGGGTTCCAGATTTTAGCATCCTCAGTTGTCAGGTTTGCAGACTGAGGGTTACGGCAGAAAGCAAACTTGGCTTTAAGAACACGAGTCAGGTATATTTCAGGTGAGAAGGCCTTTTTGGTTTGGCAGGGCAAGTCCTAATAATAATATGATAATAGAGTGGTATCTCGGGTTACAGATGCTTCTGGTTACAGACGCTTCAGGTTACAGACTCCGCTAACCCAGAAATAATACCTTGGGTTAAGGACTTTGCTTCAGGATGAGAACAGAAATCGTGCCGTGGCAGCAGCGGGAGGCCCCATTAGCTAAAGTGGTACCTCAGTTTAAGAACAGTTTCAGGTTAAGAACGGACCTCCAGAACGAATTAAGTTCTTATCCCAAGGTACCACTGTAATTTATTACTTCTACCCCGCCCATCTGGCTGGGTTTTCCCAGCCACTCTGAGCGGCTTCCAGCAAAAGATTAAAAATACATTAAAAACTTCCCTAAACAGAGCTGCCTTCAGATGTCTTCTAAATGTCATATAGTTGTTTATTTCCTGGACATCAGATGGGAGGACGTTCCACAGGGCAGGCGCCACTACTGAGAAGGCCCTCTGCCTGGTTCCCTGTCACTTGGCTTCTCGCAGTGAGGGAACTGCCAGAAGGCCCTCGGAGCTGGACCTCAGTGTCCGGGCAGAACGATGGAGGTGGAGACGCTCCTTCAGGTCTACTGGGTTGAGGCCGTTTAGGGCTTTTAAGGTCAGCACCAACACTTTGACTTGGGCTCAGAAACGTACTGGGAGCCAATGTAGGTCTTTCAGGACCGATGTTATGTGGTCTCGGCAGCAGCTCACAGTCACCAGACTAGCTGCAGCATCCTAGAATCGTAGAGTTCGAAGAGACCCCAAGAGTCATCTAGCCGAACCTCCTCCAATGCAGGAATCATGGCTAGATGACTCAACTTCACCTTTCATAACTTCAAATTCAACTAAATTCACATTTGAAGGGCAAATCTACCTGTTTCTGAAATGGTACACAAACCGAAACGCAGCCACCCATTTTCAGTTCTCCGAATTGGGCGATGGATCTTTCCAGCCAGATAACGTGCCCAAAAACACAGGATAAAGTATGGATGAAATTGCATGTATTAGTGAAAAGGCTATGCAAAAATGCACTATATCAGGGGGAGCCGATGGCAAAATGTGTACGTAAGGAAAAATGTGCACTAAATGCTGACTAATTTTCACAAGAACTTAAACAAACAAACAAAGAGAATTGCAAACTTGTGGGCAATGCAGGGAATGATTGGAAAAATGAGAAACTGAGAGAAACAGAAATGGGCCATCCCAAATCACCTCAGAACTATTTTATAAAAACTTTTTGGAATATTCATCAAGGACACCGCTATATAGACTTCCCCTGCATGTGAAAACAGGCTCTGGCAGATGGAGTGGATGAGACCAAGAGTGGGTCCAATGGTCAAGAAGGGCAAATAAATTAAAAAATTAAAAACTTGTCCAGTAGCACCTTAGAGACCAACTAAGTTTGTTTTGGGTATAAGCTTTCGTGTGCATGAACACTTCTTCAGATACATGAAAGCTTACACCCAGAACAAACTTCTCTAAGGAAGAAATTTAAAAATTTCTTCTCTAAATTAAAAAAATTAAAAACTTGTCTCTAAGGTGCTACTTGACAAGTTTTTAATTTTTTAATTTATTTTGACTGCGACAGACCAACATGGCTACCTACCCGAATCTAGGGTCAAGAAGGGGATTTCTGAACATGCTATAGAGGGAAGTGAGGGGGAAATGGGGCTCGTCCACCTGGGAAGGGAGCCCACCTAGGAGAAGGAAAACTCTGATCCTAAGCCATGCGGGACATCTTTGGGAGAAGAAAAGGCTAAAGAGTTAACCCTACATGAATTTGGAGCGGAGTCCCTAAGGCAGTTGGATGGCGCCTTGTACACCTTCTGGCATCTCCTGCAGCCAAGCTGGTGCCAAACTTCTTGCTCTGCTTTCCTTTGGACCACATCCGAGAGGCTGAGAGGGGGGTCTTGTCGTCTGGGCAGCCCAGGACCTCCAGACCCACTCCAGATCACTTCGGTGCTGCTTAAGGCAGCAGCAGTTTGCCTTCACCCCCAGAGGCGGACTCCATTGTCTCTCGAGACAGATGCCAACAACAGAGCCCTAAACTTTCATGAACAGCTATTAAATCTGGATCAGGACCCTTGCAAGACTCTCCTGAATAGCACTGGACATGTTGTTGAAACAGACCTTAGGTGGGGGGCTGAGTATCCGTTTGTCATAAGGTAAGGTTAAACCTACACAGCATCTTGAAAAGCAGAGATATCACCTTGCCAATAAAGGTCCAGAAGAAATATCAACAACCTCAGATATGCAGATGACACAACCTTGATGGCAGAAAGTGAGGAGGAATTAAAGAACCTCTTAATGAGGGTGAAAGAGGAGAGTGCAAAATATGGTCTGAAGCTCAACATCAAAAAAATGAAGATCATGGCCACTGGGCCCATCACCTCCTGGCAAATAGAAGGGGAAGAAATGGAGGCAGTGAGAGATTTTACTTTCTTGGGCTCCATGATCACTGCAGGTGGTGACAGCAGTCACGAAATTAAAAGACGCCTGCTTCTTGAGAGAAAAGCAATGACAAACCTAGACAGAATCTTAAAAAGCAGAGACATCACCTTGCCAACAAAGGTCTGTATAGTTAAAGCCATGGTTTTCCCAGTAGTGATGTATGGAAGTGAGAGCTGGACCATAAAGAAGGCTGATCGCCGAAGAATGGATGCTTTTGAATTCTGGTGCTGGAGGAGACTCTGGAGAGTCCCACGGACTGCAAGAAGATCAAACCTCTCCATTCCTAAGGAAATCAGCCCTGAGTGCTCACTGGAAGGACAGATCCTGAAGCTGAGGCTCCAATACTTTGGCCACTTCATGAGAAGAGAAGACTCCCTGGAAAAGACCCTGATGTTGGGAAAGATGGAGGGCACAAGGAGAAGGGGACGGCAGAGGACGAGATGGTTGGACAGTGTTCTCGAAGCTACCAGCATGAGTTTGACCAAAGTGCGGGAGGCAGTGGAAGACAGGAGTGCCTGGCGTGCTCTGGTCCAGGGGGTCACGAAGAGTCGGACACGACTAAACAACAACAACAAGGTTAGCAGACGTCCCCATTTCCTGGGGACAGTCCCCAGATTTACAAATCAGCCCCCATACAAAATCCACTGAAGTCGAAAAGTGTCCCCAGATTCATTGGGGAAAAAATCTGGTAACCTTATCGTAAGGAGCAGTGGAGGTGCAAATGTTCAGAATGAGACACGGGGCGCCTGCCATTCATCCCTCTCTTGGTTCAAAAGGTTTGGCCTTTGCTTCTTTCCTCCTCCTCTACCACAACTCTTTCCTTCCCCTCAATTACACTCTGCTCACGGAGTGGGAAATAATTGAAGGCAAAGGAAGCAAACGCGAGTCGCGAACCAGAAATATCCCATGACACAACTCCATTTAGAGTTTATTTATTTACAGTGGTACCTCAGGTTAAGTACTTAATTCATTCCGGAGGTCCGTTCTTAACCTGAAACTGTTCTTAACCTGAGGTACCACTTTAGCTAATGGGGCCTTCCGCTGCCACCTCGCGATTTCTGTTCTCATCCTGAAGCAAAGTTCTTAACCTGAAGCACTATTTCTGGGTTAGCAGAGTCTGTAACCTGGAGCGTATGTAACCTGAGGTTCCCCCCAACCTGGAGACCTCCAGATGTTTTGGATGAACTCCCATCAGCCCCTGGCCGGCATGGAGCCAAACTATCTGGAGGACATCAGGTTGGGGGAAGTGCCGCCTACACAGGCTGGCAGCTGCTCTCTGGGTTCCAAGAAGGGAACCTTTGCCAGGCCTTATGGGAGATGCTGGGAATGGAAATTTTAGCTCCTGCCTGGTACTTGCTAGAAGGCTTCCATGGCATGTTTACCATGGGGCTAATTGGACATAATTACTGGATTAAGCGCTTTCTGAAGCAGAAATCTTGTCTGCAGCACTGCTGCGGCTGCTTTGAGTCACCGGAGTCGGAATAGCAGTAATGTGTCAAGAGTAGGCGTGGGTGATATATCAATGATTTGTCTCCTATCGGTGTGAACTCCAGACCAAGAAAAAGGTTTCATATTTTTTCACCCTGTACTATATCGAGAATGTACTGCCCAACTGGCCATGCAGAACCGGCAGACCAGGAAGCAGCATTTTATTGCAAAGTAAAGCCTTTACTGCAAAGTAAATGGCCTTTTCCTGCCTGCCTGATCTGCAAGGCGTAAGCCCCTCCTGAGTAAAGGCTTTACTTTGCAGTAAAAGCTGCTTTCTGCAGGCACACGCCTCATGCCTCTGGCTAGCATAACAATTAAGCTTCCCTGCCAAGGCAGGGAGATTCTGATCAGCAAAGATAAGCAAACAATAAGATCCATGTGGCTTTGCTCTTGCTATAACAATAACAATAACAATAACAATAACTATAACAATAACAATAGCCTGCCCATCTGGCTGGGTTTCCCCAGCCACTCTGCGTGACTCCCAACAGAATATTGAAAACACGCTAAAACATCAAACATTAAAAACTTCCCTAAACAGGGCTGTCTTCAGATGTCTTTTAAAGATAGGATAGCTGCTTATTTCCTTCACATCTGGTGGGAGGGCGTTTCACAGGGCAGGTGCCACTACTGAGAAGGCCCTCTGCCTGGTTCCCTGCAACCTCACTTCTCGCAGGGAGGGAACTGCAAGAAGGCCCTCGGAGCTGGACCTCGGTGTCCGGGCTGAACGATGGGGGTGGAGACGCTCTTTCAGGTATACTGGACCGAGGCCATTTAGGGCTTCCAAGGTCAGCACCAACACTTTGAATTGTGCTCGGAAACGTACTGGGAGCCAATGTAGGTCTTTCAAGAATTTTCACAGTGATTTTTGTAAAAAACAGAAAACCGATGAGGAGAACTGCACTGAAGCCTGGGAAAACGAGAAACTGAAAGAAACAGGTTCTCTCCTCCGTGGCGACAACCCAGCGGGACTCGCCTTGCGTTTCTATGGTTCTTGTCAAGCAACTCATTTCCAGGCAGTTCCCGTTATCTGGCGACTGCAAAAGCAAGCAGGAGGCGAAGGCTGCAAAATGGCTCTCGGAATGTGCCTGGAAAGCTCAGTCTTGGGCAGCGAGGCTATTTTGGTGCTCCTCGTCCTCTTAAAGGATGCAGGGCGTTTTTGGCTGAGGGCGGGCCCTTCCCAGCCTGCTTGGAGCAAAGGTAGCAATGTGGAATATTTTGGAGTGAGTGGGCGGGAAGCATGCTCAGAAAAATACTTGCAGAGTCATAACCCCAGCTATGCTTTACAACAGCAATTTCCAAACTGTATTTTTAGATGCTGTAGAGATAGACTCCAGCTAGCATTGCCAGTGGAACGCGGGTGGTGCTGTGGGTTAAACCACAAAGCCTAGGACTTGCCGATCAGAAGGTTGGCGGTTCGAATCCCCGCAACGGGGTGAGCTTCCGTTGCTCGGTCCCTGTTCCTGCCAACCTAGCAGTTCGAAAGCACGTCCAAGTGCAAGTAGATAAATAGGTACCACTCCGGTGGGAAGGTAAACAGCGTTTCCGTGCGCTGCTCTGGTTCGCCAGAAGTGGCCTAGTCATGCTGGCCACATGACCCGGAAGCTGTACGCCGGCTCCCTCGTCCAATAAAGCGAGATGAGCGCCGCAACCCCAGAGTCGGTCACGACTGGACCTAGTGGTCAGGGGTCCCTTTACCTTTACCTATACTACTTTTTGGGATGCGAGTGGTGCAAATCACAGAGCCTAGAGATTGCCAATCAGAAAGTCGGTGGTTCGAATCCCCGCGACGGGGTGAGCCCCCGTTGCTCTGTCCCTGCTCCTGCCAACCTAGCAGTTCGAAAGCATGTCAAAGTGCAAGTAGATAAATAGGTACCACTCCGGCGGGAAGATAAACGGCGTTTCCGTGCGCTGCTCTGGTGCGCCACAAGCGGCTTGGTCATGCTGGCCACATGACCCGGAAGCTGTTCGCCAGCTCCCTCGGCCAATAAAGCAAGATGAGCGCCGCAACCCCAGTCGGGCTATGACTGGACCTAATGGTCAGGGGTCCCTTTACCTTTACCTAGCATTGCCAATGGCCAAGGATGATGGGGTAAAAAAAAACTACACATCTGGAGAGCCACAGGTTCCGCCATCTCTGCTTTAGGGCTTCTCGGAAGCTAATGCGCCCCTCCTTAGACCTGTCAGAATTTGGAAGTGGCAACATTGAGGTTAGTGAGCCCACATGCTAGGCATGAACATGCATGCTCTGCTTGGTTTCTGCCTTAATCTGCAAACTTGTGATTTTTTAAAAATCCATTGCAAGCTAAGTCTTTAAATACTTCATCGAACTGCCAAGCGACATTCTGCGTTGCAACATTCGGATAAGCGTGAAATCAGGAGATGGTTAAGTCCCAGGCAGGGTCATTTCAAGCAGGAACTTGCCAAGACGGCGGACTCCCAGAACATCTTCCAGCTTAATTCCTGACCCTATTTGCTGACAAGGTGGTCCAACTGGTATCCAAATCCCTATTCGGGGAACGCAGCTAATTTCAAAATTGCCTCACCCCTTCCTTCTCTGGGTGGCTGCAAGGAGTGAGACATGGGACTGCTTCTGAAGATGGTTCAGAAATTTCAGCTGGTGCAAAGAACAACACAAAGGTAAAGGGACCCCTGACCATTAGGTCCAGTTGTGGTGGACTCTGGGGTTGCGGCGCTCATCTCGCTTTATCGGCCAAGGGAGCCGGCATACAGCTTCCGGGTCATGTGGCCAGCATGACTAAGCCGCTTCTGGCGAACCAGAGCAGCGCATGGAAACACTGTTTACCTTCCCGCCAGAGCGGTACCTATGTATCTACTTGCACTTTGACGTGCTTTCGAACTGCTAGGTTGGCAGGAGTAGGGACCGAGCAACAGGAGCTCACCCCGTCGCGGGGATTCGAACCGCCAACCTTCTGATCGGCAAGTCCTAGGCTCTGTGGTTTAACCCACAGCGTCACCTGTGTCCCAAAGAACAACACAGTTTGAGCTTATTACATGGATCTTGTCCCAACTGCCAATTAGTCTCTGGGCCCAACTCAAAGTGCTGGCGCTGACCTACAAAACCTTAAACAGCTCAGGACCTCAGTGCCTTTACCACCTCTCCCTATACCAGCCTTTCTCAACCTGTGGGTCCCCAGATGTTGTTGAACTACAACTCCCATCACCCCTAGCTAGCAAGGCCAGAGCTCAGGGATGATGGGAGTTGTAGTCCAATAAGATCTGGGGACCCACAGGTTGAGAACCGCGGACCTATATGAACAGGCCCAGTCCCTGTGCTTGTCATCCGAGGCCCTTCTCTGTGTCCCCCCCTCCCTGAGAGATACGGAGGGTGGCAACATGGGAAAAGGCCTTTTCAGTGGTGGCTCCCCAATTGTGGAATGCTCTCCCCAGAGAGGCTCGCCTGGCACCATCATTACATGCCTTTAGACAGAAGGCAGAAACGTTCCTCTTTGTGCACGTCTTTAGATAATCTATGGCGGTGTAGGACATGGTTATTAAGATTATTTTTATTTTTATTATGCTGTGTATTATTATGCTGTGTACTGTGTTTTTATTATACTCTGTAAAACCTTTCTTAAATGTTGTACACCGCCCTGATTATCATTATCAGCACCCAACCAATCACTGGGCAGCACTGCAGGTGAGCATCTCGTGCAGAGACCATCTTATTAGGAGGTCTTCTCTGTGTGATGCAGGACTCAGGTCTATAGTGTGGTGGCACCTGCACAGTGGAACTCCCGCCTGAGACCCTCCCTGCCCACAGACCATCTCGCCAGAGTGGTGCACGCTCTGGTTATCTCCTGCTTGGACTACTACAATGCGCTCTATGTGAGGCTACCTTTGAAGGTGACCCGGAAACTACAATTAATCCAGAATGCGGCAGCTAGACTGGTGACTGGGAGTGGCCGCCGGGACCACATAACACCGGTCCTGAGAGATCCTCATTGGCTCCCAGTATGTTTCTGAGCACAATTCAAAGTGTTGGTGCTGACCTTGAAAGCCCTAAACGGCCTCGGCCCAGTAGACCTGAAGGAGCGTCTCCACCCCCATCGTTCAGCCCGGACACTGAGGTCCAGCTCCGAGGGCCTTCTGGCGGTTCCCTCCCTGTGAGAAGTGAGGTTACAGGGAACCAGGCAGAGGGCCTTCTTGGTAGTGGCACCTGTTCTGTGGAATGCCCTCCCATCAGATGTCAAGGAAATAAGCAACCATCTTATTTTTAAAAGACATCTGAAGGCAGCTCTGTTTAGGGAAGTTTTTAATATTTAATATTTAATGCTGTATTTATTTAATATTTAATGCTGTATTGTGTTTTTAATATTCGGTTGGAAGCTGCCCAGAGTGGCTGGGGAAACCTCGGTACCTCGGGTTAAGTACTTAATTCTCTCCGGAGGTCCATTCTTAACCTGAAACTGTTCTTAACCTGAAGCACCACTTTAGCTAATGGGGCCTCCCACTGTTGCCGCACCGCCGGAGCACGATTTCTGTTCTCATCCTGAAGAAAGTTCTTAACCTGAAGCACTATTTCTGGGTTAGCGGAGTCTGTAACCTGAAGTGTATGTAACCCGAGGTACCACTGTAATAAATTATGATTATTATATTATTGTTATACGTGTTCGACAGGCGCAGAATCTATCGGCTATCAAAGACCTTTGCTTTTCAACAAGCCTTCTAAATACAGATCTTTATCCCAGCCTGCCTTGGTACCTGGATTTGAAATTGTTTTCACATAGGGAATTGTTTTTAACGTTGATGTTCTTATGCTTATGGGAAGCGACTCTTAAGCGGAATCAAAGAAACAATTAAACGGAACGTCACACGAATTGCTCCCAAGGATTTGGAGTTCTTCAGAAACTCTCCACCAGATGGGAAACAAAAGCTGGGAAGCGGGGGAGAGGAATCGCAAACTCGGCGGAGGGCGAAACCACAGAGACTGCATCACTTCAATTATTTTAATAGGGCTTTGCTTCCAAGGTCATATGAATGTTTAGGATTGAATTCTTAATCTGGAATAAAACCACCAGCAAAACAGAAGACTATGGAGCTACACTGTTTGATTTCTCTCTGTCTCTCTCACATACACACAGACCGGGAATCTGATTTCACACAACCCTTTATCTGTACCAGTAATCCACAGTAAAACAGCAGCTTTTTTAGCCTGGGCGGATGGGAAGAACAACAAGATCTAATCGTGAGCTGAGGGAGGTGGGAAGGATCTCACACTGTAGCCGCGGAAAACACATCATGCACGAGAAAGGCAACATTTATGAGTGCACAGGATGAGCCTTCCGGATGAGGCCAACGTCCTCACCGCGGCCGACCAGATGCCTCTTTTGGGAAACCGGCGAGCAGGATTCGAACGCAAGACCAACTCTCGCCCCCTCCTGAGGTTTCCAGGAACTGGTACTCAGAAGCACCTCTGCCTCCAGCTCTGGCGGAAGAGCGTCTCTGAAGAGGCAGTTGCCCTAAGCAACATCCATCCCATTATGCATGACCCGATGGACACAATTAAGCCAATCCTTCAGCCAAATAAGGAGGTTCCTTGCGTGCCAAACAGATACCCCAGCAGGGGGTTTCTTTGTCCCAAAATGCAACTCCTGGATAGCTCAGTCAGTAGAGTGTGAAACACTTACCGTATTTTTCGCTCTATAAGACGCACTTTCACCCTCTTAAAAAGTAAGGGGAAATGTGTGTGCGTCTTATGGAGCGAATGCAGGTGGGAGGCTCTGCTCAGCGCTCCCTTTAAAGAGCAGCGTGGAGCGTGTGTGCAGCTCTTGGGGGCTTTTCCTCGAGGAGGGAGAAGGGCTGCTGTGATGGCCTGGGATTCGGACTCGGAGGCTGAACCTGAGGAATCCCAGCCTGCACAGGAGTCCCCGCCTCCAGAACCAGCTGAGCCGGGGCTGGGACCTGAGCCTGAAGGGTTCTCACCTGTGCTGGATCCTCAGGTGCAGGCACCAGCTGAGTCTGCTCTGGCTCCTGAGGTGATGGAGGACCCATTGCCTGCAGGTGCTCCACTCTCAGCCCCGTCAGAGGAAGCTGAGGTTGCCTCTGGGTCCGGTCACCCTCCAGCCTCTCCTGAGCTGCAGAGGCTCAGGGCAGAGAGGCAGAGGGAACTAAGTTCCCGCAGGAGGAGTGCTCGTCTCCAGGCCAGGAGAGGCGAATCACCTGTGGACCGGGGTCACCCTATGCCTCGGGGCAGATAAAAGCCAGCCAGCCGCAGTCCCAGGTTGCGGGAGCAACATTGTTGGTAGCCTGTTCCTGCTGGCAACCTGTCCTGCTCTTCTGCCAGAGTTCCTGGCCTCACCCGACTCCCTACCTTGGACCCAGCTTCAGCTTTGACGGACAGCCTCCATACCGCACCCTCGACCTCAGACTGGACTCGGACCTCGCCGCACGGTTAACCCTTGGGACCAGCACAGCTGCCCTTCTCCCTCCTCGGGGAAAAGCCCCCAAGAGCCGCACGCGCTCTGTGCGCTCTTTAAAGGGAGGGCGGCTCTTGGGGGAGACTTCCTCCAGCTGCCCGGGAGAGGCTTCGCGCGGCTATCCCAGAAGCCAGAACAGCCACACGGTATCCCAGAAGCCAGATCCCTCTTGCTGTTCTGGCTTCTGGGATTCAGAATATTTTTTCTCTTGTTTTCCTCCTCCAAAAACTAGGTGTGTCTTACGGTCTGGTGCGTCTTATGGAGCGAAAAATACGGTAATCTCCAAAGTTTGTGGACTTCCTTTTCGTCGCTACGAGCAAACGGACGCGTGTTTCTCGCTCTCCCAACCTGGAGGAGAGAACGCATTCGGCAGCGGAGACCCTAAGGGGGTGGGGACAAGGCTAAGTGAACCCCAAAATACCGGGAAGAAGCCCAGGCTCATAAGCCAACGGATTGTGGTTTGCTGGCAGGAAACAAAGCCCAGTTCAGCTGCTGGACAGGGGTCACATATAACCATGGTTTGCAGTTTCCAAAACCATGGTTCCATAAAACATTCCAACCACGGTCTCCGCATTAATTCCCTGGTGTTTCAAAAGAAGGACCAGGCGTGCAGAAGCCTGCATATTCAATCTCTGGAATCACTAGGTAGGGCCAGGAATGCCCCCCATCTAAAACCCCAGAGAGATACCGCTAGCCGCTATCAACAATATAGAGCTAGTAACAAAAATTCACATTTCTTCCTTGGAGGCTTTTAAGCAGAGGTTGCGTGGCCATCTGTCACGGATGGTTTCATTGAGATTCCCTTGGGGTCCCTTCCAACTCTACAATTTGTTGATTCCATAACGTTCCAAACAGACCACAGGTTGGTATTGAGGTTGAATCCTGACAAGACAGAAGTACTGTTTTGGGGAAACAGGGGGTGGGCTGGTGTGGGGGACTCCCTTGTCCTGAATGGGGTAACTGTGCCCCTGAAGGACCAGGTGCGCAGTCTGGGAGTCATTCTGGACTCACAGCTGTCCATGGAGGCGCAGGTCAATTCTGTATCCAGGGCAGCTGTCTACCAGCTCCATTTGGTACACAGGATGAGACCCTCCCTGCCCACAGACTGTCTCGCCAGAGTGGTGCATGCTCTGGTTATCTCTCGCTTGGACTACTGCAATGCGCTCTACGTGGGGCTGCCTTTGAAGGCGACCCAGAAACTACTACTAATCCAGAATGCGGCAGCTAGACTGGTGACTGGGGGTGGCCACCAAGACCACATAACACCGGTCTTGAAAGTCCTACATTGGCTCCCAGTACGTTTCTGAGCACAATTCAGAGTGTTGGTGCTGACCTTTGAACCCGTAAATGGCCTCGGCCCAGTATATCTGAAGGAGTGTCTCCACCTCCATCGTTAAGCCCGGACACTGAGGTCCAGCTCCGAGGGCCTTCTGGTGGTTCCCTCATTGTGAGAAGCAAAGCTACAGGGAGCCAGGCAGAGGGCCTTCTCAGTAGTGGCTCCCGCCCTGTGGAACACCCTCCCATCAGATGTCAAAAAGAACAACAACTACCTGACATTTAGAAGACATCTGAAGGCAGCCCTGTTCTGGGAAGTTTTTAATGTGTGACATTTTAATGTATTTTTAATCTTCGATGGAAGCCGCCCAGAGTGGCTGGGGAACAAATAATAATAATAATAATAATAATAATAATAATAATAATAATAATAATTAACAACTTTTTCATGCCAAAAGACTGCCCTGGGGTCTGAGCTGTGGGCATCTCTTTGCAACTCAACTCCACCGTTCCTGGTGAGGCTAATCCAAGCGCCCTGTTTGTGCGGTCGCGGAGAAGCCTTCTATGATAAAGATGAAATCAATCCAATTCGATGCCTGCCGTTTGTGGAATCCCTGGCAAAAAACCAGGCAATGAGTCAGCCTGGGGAGACGGCGCCGGGGCAGATGAAGATGCCCTTCAGGGCATCATTCAGTTCAAACTCTTAAGTGCCAGAATAACACGTTCAAGAGCCTGGAAACGAGAACCCCACAGGCTTGTTTATCCTTCAGTTTGCTCTTTGGTGCAAGCCAGAGTCCGCCCACACTGATGGGAGTTGTAGTCTAAAGGGCACCAAGTGAAGGCTGGCGTGGTCACCTTAGGCAGGATTTCATTTATTGAATATTATAATAATTTATTATTTATACCCTGCCCATCTCTCTTGGTTTCCCCAGCCACTCTGGACAGCTTCCAACGAAACACTAAAATACAATAGTCTATTAAACATTAAAAGCTTCCCTGAACAGGGCTGCCTTCAGATGTCTTCTAAAACTCTGGTAGTTGTTTTTCTCTTTGACATCTGGTGGGAGGGTGTTCCACAGGCGGGTGCCACCACCGAGAAGGCCCTGGTTACTATCCTTCGCCCAAAGACTTCAGGGCTATTCACAGCACAAAAGTACCAAATAAAAACCTGAGATACATAATAATAGAAGCAAGAACAAAACAACCCTATAACCTCTGCTCCCCCCCAACCCCAAATGCTAAGGCCTGGTTGAAGTGTGATGGAAGCTATAATGAAAAATTCCAGAACGTTTGAAAGTTTCACAAACGTCATGTGCTGAATTTCTCGTCCCCAACCAGCCCCCTATTTCAGCCCCCGGTGCTTATTCCAACCCTGCCCCACATTTCAGCATCAAAACGAACAAAAATATTGCACGCGTCTTGACTGAAGGTTGCTTTCTTGAGCAAAGCAGCGCCGAAACAGCCAAAGAGCCGAACCGGGTATGCCTTTCGTCAAGATAGCATGGAAAAATAAAAGCTCCCCACATCCCTGGGCTCCCCCCCATCTCAGTGCAAGTCTACAGAAAGGATTTGAGATCACCCTAACCTGCACTGCCTGTGGGTTAAACCACAGAGCCTAGGACCTGCCAATCAGAAGGTCGGCGGTTTGAATCCCCGCCACGGGGTGAGCTCCCGTTGCTCGGTTCCAGCTCCTGCCCACCTAGCAGTTCGAAAGCACGCCAGTGCAAGTAGATAAATAGGTACTGCTCTGGCGGGAAGGTAAACGGTGTTTCCGTGCACTGCTCTGGTTCGCCAGAAGCAGCTTAGTCATGCTGGCCACATGACCCGGAAGCTGTACGCCGGCTCCCTCGGCCAATAAAGCAGGATGAGTGCCGCAACCCCAGAGTCGGTCACGACTGGACCTAATGGTCAGGGGTCCCTTGACCTTTAACCTGCGTTGCAAAGGCAGCAAGGCCCATACCAGTTAAGGGTGGCTTAGCTTGGATTTTTTTTAAAAAAACAGATTTCATGTTTGCCAGGGCAACCTCATCTCTGGAGCAAAACAAAACAGGTGTGGGGACATCATTCCCACCAGCACACAAACCCTCCACGTGGATCTTCCTATCTCGAAGCAAGGTGCTTCCGTGTACTGGACAATCACCTGCTGTACCTGGGGAGAGCCCAACAGGTGGGCAGCTGTTGGAGGCAGCACCAGGTGCTTCCCCACCTCCTTGGCAAGCCATGTGGCACACTAAAACCCGAAAGAAATGGCACTGCGTCACCGAGAGCCCTCTTCTGGCAAGGATGCTCCTGCCATCGTCGCCTGCCCCAAGCCATCTCCCCCTTGCTGTACCCTCAAAACCCACCCGTCCCTGATCGTGCCTCTGTTGTTATTGCGCTCTCTCTCTCTCTGTGTGTGTGATGAAACACCCCCCACACACTTCCATGGCACGACAACAACGGCGCCAGCCATCTCTGGGACATTTCGGCAAACCCTCCCGGGGAACTTCCTCCAATTCTCTTGTTCGCTGCATCCAACCCAACGCATGCAGCCGCCACCCTGGGCTAGAGATTCTCCTGGCGGTGCCCCATAACGCTGCTTTGCCGACGACGCAATTTGCCACCCCCCCAAAAAAAAGGCTCTGGGGTGTGTGGGTGTCATGCCATCTTCCCTTCCACGCCTTCCTTTTCCCTTCCCCAGCCCTCCCCCCGTGCGCACACACATCACCTCGGCGGTGCCATTCCTGGTGGGGCTGCACCTGGCCTTCTCCTGCCCCTCTTCGGCGGCCCCCCCGGCGGAGGGAGGGGCGCTCAGCGTCGCATCTCCAGCCGCAGCGTCCCCGAGTTCTCGCATGTCTTCCAATGCGATTGTGAACTGGGCGAGGGTCCTGACCATCTGCAGCATGCGGTTCCCGGGGGGTGGGTTTGTCCGTCCGACAACGGCACAATTCTCTTAACGGGGGAATGAAATAAAACCAGGTGCCACCCACAAAAAGGAAAAGGGAAAAAAGGAAGGGGGGAGATGGCTTTGCAAAAGGGGTGTGAATAGATCACCCGTCCGTTCTCTCCTTCTGCGCCGCTGCCTTTGATTCTCCTCCTCCTCCTCCTCCTCCGTACGGTCCTCTCTGCTCCCCTTTCTACATATATAATCGCGCTCTCTTATTCTCTAGCAGGTGTAACTGCCTCTTTGCAACGCGGCTGCTTGCTGCTGTTATTATGAAGCATCCAGCAGGCAGAAGCAATCACCGTCAGAGTGGGAGAGAAAAGGATTGGCCAAAAGAGAGAGAGAGAGAGAGAGAGAGAGAGAAGGAGGCTGAGCATCATCTGAAAACTACTTGCACGCATGTGCGCACGCGCAGTGTTTGCTCTAACACCGGCTTTTTGAACTCGTTTTGATTCGAGAAATCTCACGCTTTCTGAAAAATCGCAGCAGAAAAGGGGAATTTAGCGAAATCCCGAGGTCGCGCGGCTTTGAAATGGGCATCAGGGTTTGCTTTTTGATTATATCTCTTGGCTTCGCCTCAGTGCTAGGCACAAGGACCATAGGATGTGCAAATCTGCCGGGTATAATAGAATAAAAAATCGTAGAGTTGGAAGGGACCGAAAATTCAGATACATAATCTAATGGCCAAATGGTGCCATTCCCCCCGATGGATGATTTATTATTACCATTACTATTATTATTACAGTCATACCTCATGTTACGTTTGCTTCATGTTAGGTTCTTTCAGGATACGTCCCACAGCGACCCGGAAGTACTGGAAAGGGTTACTTCCGGGTTTTGCCGCTCGCGCATGCGCAGAAGCGCTAAATCGCGCTTTGCACATGCACACAAGTGCCAAATCGCACCACGCACCTGCGCAGATACTGCGCTTCAGGTTGCGCTCTTTTCATGTTGTGATCGGGCCTCCAGAACGGATCCCGTTCACAACCAGAGGTACCACTGTATTATTATTATTATTATTTCCACACCACTTTGTATTTAAAGAACAACTCTCAAAGCGGTTTACATCAAAGCATCAAAACAATCCAGAATAATACCAATTCAAACTTCAAGGAAAATATTTCGGATCCTTCTTGAAGGGATACAGTGGTGCCCCACAAGATGAATGCCTCGCAAGACGGAAAACTCGCTAGACGAAAGGGTTTTCCGTTTTTTGAGCTGCTTCGCAAGACGAATTTCCCTATGGGCTTGCTTCGCAAGACGAAAACGTCTTGCAAGTTTGTTTCCTTTTTCTTAACACCGTTAATACAGTTGCGACTTGACTTCGAGGAGCAACTCATAGAACGCAGTGTACATAGTAGCCTTTTTTGAGGTTTTTAAAGACTTTGGTGATTTTTGAAGCTTTTCCAAAACTTCTTTTGCAGCCATTTGGTAAGTTAAGCTTTTAAAACTTTTTTGGGGGGGTTGGATTTTGGGTTGGGGTGTTTGGAATTCAAGGACTTGGTGTTGGGGAGGGGTTTGCAAGAATCTGGAAGCTTGTGTGGTTTTTTTCTGCATTTTTATGATTTTTTGTGACAATTGGGGCACTCTGCTGTTTTTAAAAAAATTATGGATTTGAATTTCTGTGTGCTGGGTGGCTAGGGGAACAGTTGGGGAGGGGTTTGCAAGAATCTGGAAGCTTGTGTGTTTTTTTCTGCATTTTTATGATTTTCTGTGACCATTGGGCAACTCTGCTGTTTTTTAAAATTCTGGGTTTGAATTTTGAAATGCTCTTTACAGTATGTGTGACTTTAAAGAGCACTTAATAAACTCTTGTTGTACCAAATTTGGCTTTGTTTGGACTTTTTTTGACCATAGGAACGCATTAATTGATTTTCAATGCATTCCTATGGGAAACCGTGCTTCGCAAGATGAAAAATTCGCTAGACGAAAAAATTCGCGGAACGAATTAATTTTGTCTTGCGAGGCACCACTGTATTTTGCTTTCCCCACTCACCATCCTGGCATCCAGAGGTCTCGACGTGGTCACAATTGGACCTACACCAGTTGTGAAACGCGCCTGGCTAATTTCTAACACTGCCTGCAACGCAGGAATCACTTGTGGGGCTTGAACCCTTGACCCCGAGATTAAGAGTCTCATTGACTACAGACCAAGCTATCAGTTGGGAAGCAACTTCGATGACATTGACTATGAGGTTTCAGTCCTGTCCTGTCCTGTTCGAGGTCTTCTCCGATGAGGAACAAAGGGAGACAGGTCCTCCACAGCAAAGCTTCGCCCTGCTAGGGATCTACCAATGAGCCACTGGGACAGGAAATCCGTCTCAGGACCGAATGTTCCTGGTCAGCTCTCAGATCCCCTTTTCATCTTCCGCAGGGGAAGAGGAGATGAGACAGGCAGGAACATCAGAACAGCCACCCCAATGTCCATCCAGCTGCGGCTACTTGGGAGGAGAGGGGAGGACATAATACTACTACTACTACTACTAATATTTGTATCCTGCCCTCCCTGGCCAAAGCCGGGCTCAGAGCGGCTAAAAACAACACAATATGCATAAAAACAGACATCAATTAATTAAAATACATCTTCAAACAAATTAAAATCTGGGCAGGTGGCACTTATCAGGGAGGAATTGCTCACTGGAAGGACAGATCCTGAAGCTGAGGCTCCAAGACTTTGGCCACCTCATGAGAAGAGAAGACTCCCTGGAAAAGACCCTGATGTTGGGAAAGATGGAGGGCACAAGGAGAAGGGGCCGACAGAGGACGAGATGGTGGGACAGTGTTCTTGAAGCTACCAGCATGAGTTTGACGAAACTGCAGGAGGCAGTGGGAGACAGGAGTGCCTGGCGCGCTCTGGTCCAGGGGGTCATGAAGAGTCGGACACGACTAAACGACAGCAACAAAAATACTTGCCAAGACCAACTGTTTCTACTGATTTATACAAAGGAATGTAAGTCAAACTGCATCCTGCCCAAAGGCCAGGCGGAACCGCTCCGTCTTGCAGTCCCTGTGGAAAAATGTCAAATCCTGCAGGGCCCTAGTCTCTTGTGGGAGAGCGTTCCACCAGGCCGGGGCCACAGCCGAAAAGGCCCTTGTTGTTATTTGCAGACTGTAAGGTCCTCCGTGGGACATACCAGGAGAGGCAGTCCTGTAGGTACGAGGGTCCTAGGCCTTATAGGGCTTTAAAGGTCAAAATCAGCACCTTAAACCTGATCCTGTACTCCACCAGGAGCCAGTGCAGCTGGTATAGCACCGGGTGAATGTGATCCCACAGTGGGATCAGGTCTAGACTGAGAGCCAGAGAAAAGTAGGGCCACCACCTCCTGTGCAAGTTCCCATTCTGAGCTGCTTCCCTGCAGTAAATATTGCTGTTTGCTTTGCATTTTGCTTCACACATATTGCTTTTGTTCATTTATGTCTAAGGAGTAAACAGTTCCACTCCCTACTTCGTTCCCAGGTGGGGAGTTTCTTGAATAAAAAAACACAACCGAGGAATTTCAGAAGCAAGGAACGTCAGAATAAGCCCCTTTCTTTATTAATTTACTGCAGCAAAAGACAGCCCCCAGAGAAGGGCTGTCCATCACTTCCTCCAGGCTGTCCATCATTTCCTCTCTGATTTGGGTAAAGGGTCTCTCTTGCCACTTTTAACGGAGACCGTGTGTGAGCCCATTTCACAGGTTTTTAGGGCAGTGGGATGTGAGGTGCAGAGGCCTTCCCTCCTCATTTAGTTATTGCTTCGCTGCTTTTATGCTGCAAGCCATCTTGATATACCAGAGGAAAGTGGGAGGTCATAAATATTCAAATTGCTGAATCAGCAGCTCTCCTTGGGTTGGGCTAGATGACCCCAGGGTCCCTTCTAGCTGTATTTCAAAACGTTAGTGTTTTTGTCATCCCCCTTGCTATGATTTAATGATCAATGCTTTTAAACTGAAGTTGCTGAAACCTTTCAAATAACAAACCACTAATCATAGTCAACAAAGGTCCGTCTAGTTAAAGCTCTGGTTTTCCCAGTAGTGATGTATGGAAGTGAGAGCTGGACCATAAAGAAGGCTTATCACCGAAGAATGGATGCTTTTGAATTCTGGTGCTGGAGGAGACTCTTGAGAGTCCCATGGACTGCAAGAAGATCAAACCTCTCCATTCTGAAGGAAATCAGCCCTGAGTGCTCACTGGAAGGACAGATCCTGAAGCTGAGGCTCCCTGGAAAAGACCCTGATGTTGGGAAAGATGGAGGGCACAAGGAGAAGGGGACGACAAAGGACGAGATGGTTGGACAGTGTTCTCGAAGCTACCAGCATGAGTTTGACCAAACTGCGGGAGGCAGTGGAAGACAGGAGGGTCTGTCATGCTCTCGTCCAGGAGGTCATGAAGAGTTGGACACGACTAAACGACAACAAATCATAGTCACTCTGGGGTCGGGGTGGCGCTGTGGTCTAAACCACAGAGCCTAGGGCAGATCAGAAGGTTGGCAGTTCGAATCCCCGCGACGGGGTGAGCTCCCGTTGCTCGGTCCCTGCTCCTGCCAACCTAGCAGTTCGAAAGCACCTCAAAGTGCAAGTAGATAAATAGGTACCGCTCCGGCAGGAAGGTAAATGGCGTTTCCGTGTGCTGCTCTGGTTCGCCAGAAGCGGCTTAGTCATGCTGGCCACATGACCCGGAAGCTGTACGCCGGCTCCCTCGGCCAGTAAAGCGAGACGAGAGCTGCAACCCCAGAGTCGTCCGTGACTGGACCTAATGGTCAGGGGTCCCTTTACCTTTTTAATCACAGTCACAGAACCCTAGAATTCCCGTGTTGGAAGGGACTGCAATGCAGGAATCTCAGCTAAAGCATCCCTGACAAATGGCCACCCAACCTCTGCTTTCAAACCTCCATGGAATCGGTGGCACCCATTTAATCAATCGAAAGGTTTTACTTAATGAAACCAACTGATTAATCCACTGTGGAGTGCAGACCCCTTTGTTATATTGCATGCAATGACTGTGGTCCCTGGCCAAAATCCACACGGCGCATTTTTACTCCGAAGGCAGTCCCATTAACACAAACGAGATTTATTGCCCAGTGGCCCTTAAATACACTTCGTAGTGAGCAGGTGATGGGGCATAGCGGTATCTTTCGGAAGCAGCCTCCCCCACCTTGCAATATGAGACTGAGAATGCTGGCCTACCTTACAGGGTTGTTGTTAAGTTCTGCAACCAGAAAATGCCCACGAAGTGCGTTGGAACTCCTGAAAGTACTGTATAAATGCCAGGCAGCAGGTGCCTCAGGGAAGGTCAGATAAAAGGTAAAGATAAAGGGGCCCCTGACCATTAGGTCCAGTCGTGGCCGACTCTGGGGTTGCGGCGCTCATCTCGCTTTATTGGCCGAGGGAGCCAGCGTACAGCTTCCGGGTCATGTGGCCAGCATGACTAAGCCGCTTCTGGGAAAAAAGAGCAGCGCACGGAAACGCCGTTTACCTTCCCACCGGAGCGGTACCTATTTATCTACTTGCACTTTGGCGTGCTTTCGAACTGCTAGGTTGGCAGGAGCTGGGATCGAGCAACGGGAGCTCACCCCGTCGCAGGGATTCAAACCGCCAACCTTCTGATCGGCAAGCCCTAGGCTCTGTGGTTTAACCCACAGCGCCACCCACACAGCAGCAAACTAACCACCCTGTTGCTTTGCCATCAACGCCTAGTATTTTAACAACATACTAGACCTGAATATGGAGGTCCCATCTGAGAGCCATCGGAAGAAGCATCCTCCGCTGTGAACTTGTCTAATTCTTTTGAAAAGCCAACAAAGCGATGACCTGGGATAGCTCAGTCAGTAGAGCATGAGACTCTTAATCTCAGGGTTGTGGGTTCGAGTCCCTTGCCAGGCAAGAGATTCCTGCATTGCAGGGGGTTGGACTAGATGACCCTCAGGTCCCTTCCGATTCTGCAATTCTATAATTCCAGGGGCGATTGCCCCCTCTTTGCATAATGCCACCCAGTGATTAAGCGCTCTTGTGAAGACGGAAGTTTATTTGCTTAGAAGCCGACGACAGCCTGGGATTCTAGTGCAAATTCCTCTAGGGGCTGAGGTTTCAGAGAGATTGAAAGTGGAGGGTTTTAAACCGGGAACTTGACTTTGCAAATCGAAGGGTTACAAATCCTTGCTTCCCTGCCACTACCTAATATCCTGCCGGTGCAGTTTTGTCTAGAGAAAGATAAAACTCGGTTTTTACGGTGATGCACGGCGCTTGCGCAACCGCTCATCTCCACCTTTTGTTGGCGGGAGCTATTTGGCCGTGGATTTTTAATTTCTGGGATGACAGGGGCTGTTGAACTAAAGCCTTTAATTGCTTCCAAAGGGATTTAGATTCAAAGTTGGAGGATGGGGGAGCGGCGTTAATATTAATGCAGGACACTGTGTCTGTCTGATATTATGAAACTTCTGCAGGCTTCAAAGAGGAGCTGGCAGCCATGCTAGCGAGCCTTTGCTGAAGAGCACTTTGCATGCAGTTAGCAAAATGTCCCAAAGGCATTGCGGTCTTTGCAATTCCCCCTAAGAGGGCTGGAATTAGCAGGTGCAGGCAGGCAGACCTCACATTGGAAAGAAAGATGTCAATACGCCATTTAAGATTACCCAGGGCCAAGGGGATGGACTTGGCCCAAGAATTGTCTAGCTGGCCCTAGATCAATCAAAGCCCGTCCACATTCACCAACTCATTTTTTAACAAGCTCATAAGGTATGGTTTTTGTCCATGTCTGTCTAGTTAAAGCTATGGTTTTCCCAGTAGTGATGTATAGAAGTGAGAGCTGGACCATAAAGAAGGCTGATCGCCGAAGAATGGATGCTTTTGAATTCTGGTGCTGGAGGAGACTCTGGAGAGTCCCATGGACTGCAAGAAGATCAAACGCATCCATTCTGAAGGAAATCAGCCCTGAGTGCTCACTGGAAGGACAGATCCTGAAGCTGAGGCTCCAATCCTCTGGCCACCTCATGAGAAGAGAAGACTCCCTGGAAAAGACCCTGATGTTGGGAAAGATGGAGGGCACAAGAAGAAGGGGATGACAGAGGACAAGACGGTTGGACAGTGTTCTTGAAGCTACGAACATGAGTTTGACTAAACTGCGGGAGGCAGTGGAAGACAGGAGTGCCTGGCGTGCTCTGGTCCAGGGGGTCACGAAGAGTTGGACACAACAAAAAGGTATGGTTAGTAGGCAGAGGTCCTTTCTGATCATCGCATACAGGTAGACATGTGCACCCTGCCATTCTAGATGTTACTGGGACTCCAACTCTGATCACCCCTGTTCAACATTGCCAATACTCAGCTGTTGACCTCCAGAAACCTCTAGAGCGCTGTAGATTTCTTATCCCTGCTCTGGAGAATCTGAACTGTAGAGTTCAGGGGGGAAAAGGTTTCTAGCACTCATGTTTGTGTGCTGTGCCCCTTTCCGCCTTGCAAGACTGCTGATGAGGACCTGTCCAGGCAGGGAAAGGGCTGTAGGGCAGTGGCAGGACACCTGCCTGGCATGCAGAAGACCGCAGGTTCGGTCCCCAAGGGCATCTCCAGGTCGGGCTGGGAGGGAATCCTAGCTCAGTCCCCAGAGAGCTGCTGCCAGCCAGTGTTGTGTGTATTGAGCTAGATGGGCAAATGATCTGACTCAATCCAGGGTAGCTTCCGATCCTACTTCTCTGGAACGGCAGGATAGCAGAGAGCAGGAAATAACTGGCGTGAGAATATCGCCTGCCCTTCTAGAACCCGTTGCAGGGTGCCGTAGTGGTTGTTCCATTCGGGCACAAGGGGCTGTTGGCATCGGTCTGTCTCTAGAGACAATGGAGGGCACCTCCGGGGGTGAAGGGCAACAGCTGGAGAATCGCAGCGGCAGCTGTGGCTGCAGAGACCAGTAACTTGCAACTGCTGCCTCCTATGTTGCTGTGTTTTGCTGCATTTGAAGCCAAAGTGACCACTCTGGGGCGCAAGCCTGGGCAGTGAGTCTGGAGGTCCGGGCCTGCCCAAACGACAAGTCCCCTTTCAGCCTCACTGAGGCCTCTTTCAGCCCAAAGGAAAGCAGAGCCATGTGCTTGGCTGCAGGAGTTACTGAAGGAGGCTTCTTCTTCTTCTTCTTCTTCTTCTTCTTCTTCTTCTTCTTCTTCTTCTTCTTCTTATTTATACCCCGCCCATCTGGCTGAGTTTCCCCAGCCACTCTGGGCGGCTCCCAATCAAGTGTTAAAAACAATACAGCATTAAATACTAAAAACTTCCCTAAACAGGGCTGCCTTCAGATGTCTTTTAAATATAGGATAGCTGCTTATTTCCTTCACATCTGAAGGAAGGGTGTTCCACAGGGCGGGCGCCACCACCGAGAAGGCCCTCTGCCTGGTTCCCTGTAACCTCACTTCTCTCAATGAGGGAACCGCCAGAAGGCCCTCGGAGCTGGACCTCCGTGTCCGGGCTGAACGATGGAGGTGGAGATGCTCCTTCAGGTATACTGGACCGAGGCCGTTTAGGGCTTTCAAGGTCAGCACCAACACTTTGAATTGTGCTTGGAAATGTACTGGGAGCCAATGCAGATCTCTCAGGACACCATCCAAGGTCTTAGGGACTCCACACCAGATTTGGGTAGTATTTGCTCCTTAGACGTTTCTTCCCTCAAAGATATCCCACAAGGCAGCAGTATACGGGGCACTGCCCTACCTATGCCCACCTGCCTTCAGCCATCCTGCAGCTGCCTGCCTTCGTAAGTCCAACCACCCAGGGGAATAATGCTGCCGACTCGCTTCTTCCTCCCCCCCCCCTTAAACCCAGTCTTGCCCTTGCAGAAATCATAGTTGAGGAGGAGGATGGAGACAAAGTGAGAATTAGCTGATTCTTCCTGTCACAGCCTCTGGCGCCCCCTACTGTTCATCTCCCGGCCTTCTGCCCTACCCAAAGGGGACCAGACACCGGGATGCCACGGTAAGAGGGAGGCCAATTAGCTTATTTTGTCTGAAAGGGTGGAAGGATATTTGAATCTGAGCTCATTTTCCTCCTCCTTCAGAGCACTGGCCTCCTGCTTCATAATTAACCCCCTAATTTGATGTCTGCCGGTTTCTATGGCAACTCCATCACTTCCACAGCCAGTATATTTCCTCTTAGGGAGCCGTTGGAGGGAGGAAGTCGCAGGGAGGCCTGTGCAGGCCAAAAGGGATTCTCTCTGGCACGGAAAGCTTCCCTGGCCATTAATACCCGGCACGGCACGTCTCGTCCTCTGGGGCTTCAAGCTGCTCTGTCTTCCACTGGCTGGAACGGGGTGGGGTGGGGCACAGGGGACATTACTAAGATCAGCTCCTGGAAAGGCAGCTTGCCCGGTTTAACGGACGGATATGTCCTCTGCAGAAAACGGCAACATCAAGCCGGACTTTTGCTCTGGTTTGCTTCGCCACGTCCTCCTGAGATAACAAAATCCCTTTTGGGTTCCGGAAATCCATTCCGATTGTACAGATAAAAATACAACGGAAAGAATTCCACAGCGTGAGGTATTACGTGTGTGAGAACAGTCCTGATCCAATAACCCCCAGATGTGGAGCTGTCAGGCACCATCCTGGCCCCCAGGCATCCTACCTTGGTCGCAAGTGGTCAAAAGCCAGGGGCAGAATGCGCCTGGCTAATTTTGAACATGGGCTTCGAATGTTCGAAGCCCCACATTGGGAGTAAGACTTCTGCGTTGCCGGGGGTTGGACTAGATGACCTACGGGTCCCTTACTCTACAACTCTGCGATTCTATGTTCTGAATTTTGTTGTGTTGTTATCTTAGTGGGCTGTGCAAACAGATGGATGATGCTATTGACAGGGCAGGAGGAACTGTGTGCGGGTTTATGGAACCAAGGGGGAGGTGGCCCAAAAAACGTTTGGAACCACTACCCTAGGGGAAATGTCCTAAACGAGGCATACTTCTGAGTAGATTAATAATAATAATAATAATAATAATAATAATAATAATAATAATAAATTTTATTTATACCCCTCCCTCCCCAGCCAGAGCCAGGCTCAGGGCGGCTAACACCAGTAAAATTACAGTAAAAACATAATAAGGGGGGGGGGATCACTTTAAAATACAGGTTAAAAATACAATTTAAAATGCAGCCTCATTTTAATAGTAGCCCATAGATCAAGACCATAAGGGGAGGGAAACATAAGGGTCAGACTGAGTCCAAACCAAAGGCCAGGCGGAACAGCTCTGTCTTGCAGGCCCTGCGGAAAGATGTCAAGTCCCGCAGGGCCCTGGTCTCTTGCGACAGAGCGTTCCACCAAGTCGGGGCCAGTGCTGAAAAGGCCCTGGCCCTAGTTGAGACCAATCTAAGCACCTTGTGACCTGGGACCTCCAAAATGCTGTCATTTGTGGACCTTAAGGTCCTCCACGGGGCATACCAGGAGAGGCGATCCTGTAGGTGTGTATAGGATTGCACTTTCTGCAGCAGGGGCCCCCTCGCGGTGGCCAAGGAGGTCTCAGGGTTGCCCTGAACCGAGTTTCTTTTCTCCTGGAATTAATTCTCCTGGAATTAATTATTCCTTTCTCGGCCCTGTTGCGAATTAAGGTATGGCGGGCCAACCCAGTCAGATGGGCAGGGCACAAATAATAAAAATTATTAGTAGTATTTGTATTCAAGATGCCGCCACCCGCAAAATGTTCTACAAATGTCCCCCTCAGGTTTGCAACTTCCCCGCACTCCAGAAGATGGCAATATTCGCAGCTTCTGCTCTGCAAGCCTATCCTTCTGAGACACAATACTCTCCCTTCGGTGAGACAGAGAATAATCTGGGAATAATGACGATGCCATTATGCTGTTTGGGAGGGAACTCACTGAGTCAAGCCACACGCTATAGTAGCAAAGCTAAAGGTGTGCACCCATTTAAAGCACCGCCTCTAGGAATCTTGGGAACTGTAGCTTGCTAAGGGTGCTGAGAATTGCGACTCTGTGAGGGGGCAAACTATAATTCCCATGATTTATTATTATTATTTTTAATTTATTTAATCGTTTTTTCGATGCAAACATCAACCGCGAAAGATACACACAACAAAAACCATAATAATAATAATAACACAATTTGACAATTCAGATTTGAATACACTGATATACCTATGACTACACCTTTTTAAACAATATTTTCTCACCAGGATTCTCGGGGTGTAGTGGGGGGAGAGGTAGCGTTGCGCAGTGGTTAGAGTGTCGGCCTAGGACATGGGAGACCAGGGCCCAAATCTGCCCACTATTCATTCGTAAAAATATTTACAGACCAGCATTTCAATTTTAAAAATCAACCTGGTCTAAGGTGAAGGGCTTCTGGGAAATGATATATAATGAGATGAAAAAGATGTTGAAATATACGTTTGTTAAGAAACCAGAGGCTTTTCTTCTAGGAATAGTAGGAAATGAAATAAATAGAATGGACTGTAAACTTTTCCAATATGCAGTAACAGCAGCGAGAGTATTATTGGCCCCAAAATGGAAACAGGAACAACTGCCGACGCTCGAAGAATGGAGAATGAAACTGATGGAGTATGCTGAACTGGACAAACTAACAGGAAAGATCAGATATATACGAGATCAAAAGTTCATTGAAGACTGGGGAAAATTTTCAGACTATCTGAAATGTGTATGTGATGAGCAAATAACGCTAGTGGGATTTCAAGAAGTTCTGTAAATGATAGAGGACTGTTGTATTGATGAAAACTAAGTGTGTGAAGGTTCATAAAATGCAATATAAAATTAGGAAATGCGTATTTAAAAATTTGAATAATGGATGATTGTCAGAGAGGTTGAAGTAAGTCTATAAGAGAAAATATGTGATAAAATTAGGTTGGATACTATAAATGTATGTTGGAAAATTTAATAAAAAATTAAAAAAATAAAATAAAAATCAACCTGGTCTACAGCAAAAATATTTCATTTGTAGAAACAATAATATTCAAATTTCAAATATGAAACTTTATAGTAAAAGTCACACAAAGGCTAAAATAGGCATCAGTTAACCAATTCCTGCATACACCTGGGGGAACAGAAAAGTTTTCAGCAGGTGTTTAAAAGTTGACACCTGCTGAAATCTCCAGTGGCAGAGAGTTCCACAGGACTGGGCCCATGACACCAAAGGCTCCCTTTCTGAGAGTTGTTATGAAGTCCCCTATCCCACCGCCAGAGCGGCTTAGCAATCTATCGCTTTCCCCATGGAACTCTGGGGATTGTAGTTCTGATGGGGAATAGGGGTCTCCTAAAAACTCTCAGGAAGGGACGCAGGTGGCGCTGTGGGTTAAACCACAGAGCCTAGGACTTGCCGTTCAGAAGGTCGGCGGTTTGAATCCCCACGACGGGGTGAGCTCCCGTTGCTCGGTCCCTGCTCCTGCCAGCCTAGCAGTTTGAAAGCACTTCAAAGTGCAAGGAGATAAATAGGTACCACTCTGGCGGGAAGGTAAATGGCATTTCTGTGCGCTGCTCTGGTTCGCCAGAAACAGCTTGGTCATGCTGGCCACATGACCCGGAAGCTGTACGCCAGTTCCTCGGCCAGTAAAACGAGATGAGCGCCACAACCTCAGAGTCGGACACGACTGGACCTAATGGTCAGGGGTCCCTTTACCTTTAAAAACTCTCCGGACCCCTGGCAAACTACAGTTCCCAGAATCCACTGGGAGAGAGCCATGGTATCACCGCGCTTTAAATGCTGCAAAAGTGGTCTTACTTGTGAGGTGGCCTGCAAAATACCCCCACTTTATGTAGGCCGCCCAGTAAGCTCTGTCTCTGTGTAGCATGGCACTGAACATGGATCTTGCCCAGCGGAACCCAGTGCCCAAACCCAACAGGGTTAGCCAAGGCGGCAAAAACCCTTGCAACCGTTTCGATCACAGGTGGGCCTCCCTCACCCAGATTTTTTCGCCCCTCTGATTCTGGCCCGTTGCCAGAATGGTCCGGCTGGCCTGCACCCGGAGCGCCAGGTTTCGCCGCCGACACCGGGCAAACCGGGTCGAGTTTGACGCTTGTGGCAGAATTTGGCACACAGCGCGGAAACTCCAGACGGATTGCGTGGCCAGCGGCTCCCTGCGGGGCGTGATCAAAGGCGGCACCCTGGCGTCTCAAGCGGAGACGGTGCCAGGTTGTAAGACCCACGTCAAAAGGAACGGGGCTCAGGAGATGACTCTCAGGGCGCTGGCTGTGACATCGTTTCCCAAAAAGTGCTTTTTCGTTTCATTTCATTTCAATCTGCTCGGTTCATTGCAGCGACAAATTATAGAGGGCCCTGCCTTGCAAGCTTAAAATTACAGGAACGAGATGGGGGGGAAGGGGGGCAATAATAATAATAATAATAATAATAATTTCCCCAGCCACTCTGGGCAGCTTCCAACCGAATTTTAAAATACAATAGTCTATTAAACATTAAAAGCTTCCCTAAACAGGGCTGCCTTCAGATGTCTTCTAGAAGTCTGGTACAGTGGTACCTCTAGATGCGAACGGGATCCGTTCCGGAGCCCCGTTCGCATCTAGAAGCAAACGTCTGCGCGTGTCACGTTTCGGCATGTCTGCACATGAGCAAGCGGCGAAACCTGGAAATAACATGCTCCGTTACTTCCGGGTCGCTGCAGAGCGCAACTCGAATGTGCTCACCTCGAAGCACATTCAACCTGAGGTATGACTGTAGTTGTTTTTCTCTTTGACATCTGGTGGGAGGGCGTTCCACAGGGCGGGTGCCACCACCGAGAAGGCCCTCTGCCTGGTTCCCTGTCACTTGGCTTCTCACAATGAGGGAACCGCCAGAAGGTCCTCGGCGCTGGACCTCAGTGTCTGGGCAAAGCAATGGGGGTGGAGGAAGGAAAAAAATGGAGGAGTCAAAAGCCCTAAACAGAACTCGGCCCAGTTGACCTAGTAGAGAATCTCCACCTCCATCGTTCTGCCTGGACATTGAGATCCAGCTCCGAGGGCCTTCTGGCGGTTCCCTCCCTGCGAGAAGCGAAGTTACAGGGAACCACACACAGGGCCTTCTCAGTAGTGGCGCCCGTCCTGTGGAAGGGAGGTTACAGGGAGCTAGGCAGAGGGCCTTCTTGGTGGTGGCGCCCTCCTTTTGGAACGCCCTCACTTCAAATGTCGAGGAAATATACGATATGACTTTTAGAAGATATCTGAAGGCAGCCCTGCATAGGGACGTTTTTAAACGCTTGACGTTTTATCTTCTTTTTATATTTTGCCGGGAGCCATCCACAGAGTGTCTGGGGAAACCCAGTCAGATGGGCTACATATAAATAATAATAATAAATATTATTATCATTTTAAAATTACTACTGGAGAGTCCTGTATTGTAGGGGGTTAGACTAGATGACCCTCGGGTCCCTTCAAACTCTACAATTCTACGATGATGAAATAGCAGAGATAAAAGTTATTCCCCCCCCAATCTAAAAAGGCAAGTTTTTCGGCAAAGTAGAAGCATGTTGGAGCCTGGGGAAAGGGCTGTATCTCATTGGCAGAGCAACTAGAATCACAGAACTGCAGAGTTGGAATAATAATAATAATAATAATAATAATAATATTTTTTATTTATACCCCGCCCTCCCCAGCCAAGATCAGGCTCAGGGCGGCTAACACCAGGTATAAAAACAATTGATTAAAATACAACTTAAAAACAAGATGAAAATACAACATTAAAATGCAGCCTCGTTTCAGTAGAAAAGCAAGGGTCATCTAGTCCAACCCCTGCAAGGCAGGAACTGCAGCTAAAGGTTCCAGATGCAAAAGATGCCCCACATTCAATCTCCAACAGCATCTCTGGGTAGGGCTGGGAATAGACCCCCTGCCTGAAACCCAGGACAGCTGCTGCCAGTCCGAGCAGGCTATACTGAATCCAACTGGGTATAAGGCTGTTCCTGTGTAATCTCAGCCTGCCCCAACATAGGTCTCTCTCGTTGTATCAAGCATCTGAAAGCATGTGGCCATTTTGGTTCTTGCGTAATCTGGGGGGGGGGGGATAAAACAATTAAACAGAACAGAACGTCCCCAGGATTTGGAAAACATCTTTGCTGGATTTGGAACCCAAGAGTTCTTATGTTTCATACTGGGCAGATGAGCCTTTTAAAAAGAAAGAAAGAAAAAAGCCATAAACGCTGCCTGACCTTAATACACGCAGGCAGAAAGCATTTTAGTAGAGGGAGATTTTATTCTCCTCCTCCTAATTACTATTATTTAAGGCCAAACTGTATGCCAACAGGGCTACACCAACCTTACTGTACGCTTGTGAAACATGGACCGCTTAGAAACGCCATCTCCAACTTCTCGAAAAAGTTCATCAACGGTGTCTCCGAAATTTTTTACACATCACTTGGGAAGATAGGCGAACTAATATCAGTGTATTGGAAGAAGCAAAGATCACCAGTGTTGAAGCAATGATTCTTCAACATCAACTCTGTTGGTCTGGTCATGTAGTGCAGATGCCTGATGACCGTCTTCCAAAGCAACTACCCTATTCCGAACTTAAAAATGGAAAGCGTTGGAGAGCAGCCTTTACCAAAGGTGTCAGGGGCTTTGAAGACACTCGAACTCAGGACGCAAGGGAGAAACGTGATAAGAGGAAGGCACACTTGGCAAACCCACACCGTGATCAACTCCTGCCTAGAAAGCAATGTCCCCACTGTGGAAGGACGTGTGGATCAAGAACTGGCCTCCGCAGTCACTTACAGACTAACTGTTACAACCTTGTTTATGGAAGACAATCTTACTCGGCAACGAGGGATTGCCAAAAATGAAGACGACTATTATTTAAGGCCAAACTGGATGCTAGCAGGGCTACCAAACCAGCAAACCTAGCATGCAAGTCAGGAGAGGCCTGTTGTTTTGCATGCCACATTTCCAACAACAAAGTCAAGTCCAGAGAGACTCACCAAAGGAGTGGCTGGTGCGTTTTTGCAGAAATTGCGCTGGTTGACCTTTGGCCTGATGCAGCAGAAATCTCTGGATGTTCTCAAGGTAGACATGTCATGTCCTCCACACACACACACCCCACCTTTTGCAGACCCTGCCAGCCTGTTTTTAATGCTGGGGAAACCAAGAGGGCTTGAAAAGAGGAGACTAACAGGAGATTAGGGCTGGGGGATTATCTGGTTTTCAACATGTGACGTATCACCAGCTAAACATCGGGATATACGGATATATCACAATGCCTGACATAAGGATGGAGCGATATGTAGAGAAGGCATGGGCTGGCACGACAGCTTTTCCCGCATTGTGATTTTTGCACTGCATACACAAACGCACACCACGATTCGCAATCTATTTGCCAGTCCAAATTCACGGAACCAATATCATGCTATGGACCGCAAATCGATTTTGGATGATTATATCACCCAGTCCTAGAGGAGATATGATAAGTATAGGTAAAGGGACCCCTGACCATTAGTTGCAGTCATGAACGACTCTGGGGTTACGGCGCTCATCTCGCTCTATAGGCCGAGGGAGCTGGCGTTTGTCCACAGACAGTTTCCGGGTCATGTGGCCAGCAGGACTAAGCCGCTTCTGGCAAACCAGAGCAGCGCACGGAAACGCCATTTACCTTCCCGCCAGAGCGGTACCTATTTATCTACTTGAACTTTGACGTGCTTTCGAACTGCTAGGTTGGCAGGAGCAGGGACCGAGCAACGGGAGCTCACCCCATCATTGCGGGGATTCGAACCGCCGACCTTCAGATCGGCAAGCCCTAGGCTCAGTGGTTTAGACCACTACGCCACCCGCATCCCATATGATAGCCATCTTCAAATATCCCAAGGGCTGTCACATGGAAGATGGAGCAAGCTTGTTTTCTCCTGCCCTGGAGGGCAGGACTTGAACCCATGCCTTCAAGTCACAAGAAAGGAGTTTCCGACTAAACGTCAGGAAGCATTTAGAGCTGTTTGACAGTAGAACAGTCTCCCTTAGGAGGTGGTGGACTCTCCTTCCTTGGAGGTTTTTAAGCAGAGGTTGGCTGGCCATCTGTCATGGATGCTTTAGCTGAGATTTCTGCATTGCAGGGGGTTGGACTAGATGACCCCTGGGGTCCCTCCCAACACTACAACTCTATGGTTCTAGAAGCTTGCAAACAGCAACTTGCAATGCAAAGGCTATTGCTGTGGTCTGGAAGTTTGGCTTTTGTTTTAAACCAGGAAAGGTGTCCTTTCTCTGGAATTCCAAGTTCTGAACCATGCCGCAGAAGCAGAGCAGCTGTGAAAGTCAGGTCAGAGGTCTTGGCCAGAAAGTCTTCTATGCCTGGAATCTATCAAAAGCATCTTGGGTATCAAGGGAGATTTTTATTTATTGCATTCCAGCCTTGAAACACAGGTAGGAAAGCGGGTTGCCCACAATCCCAGGTGGGCAAGGTCTTACGCTTCACAAGCCAGAGGAATGCAGAGACTCGATTGGATTAGAACGCATTCCTCTCCGCTGGGGACAGCAATCTCGTTCCGATAAATTAAACAGAATCCACAAGCAGAAATTGCAGAGAGCAGGGAAAATCCCCTTCATTTTGGGTGGGGTGGGGAATAGAAAATCTCTCTTTCAGGGACACTAGGACCAGTGATATTAGTAGGGATGAGCAATTCTGTCGAGTTCAGGTTCCCCAAGCTTCCCATTTTCCCCATCTAAAGTCCACTTCTCCATATTTTCAAATTGGTTTGTGACTTTTTAAAAAACAACAACATGAAAACTCATCAGCATTCTATTGCAAATTTCTCCTAACATGCATCTTGTTTGCGGGGGGGGGCGGCGCTGTTTTGAACAATACACACATTTTTTGTAAAGCAATTTCCCCATATGGTTTCTCCTAAGTTGTATTTTCACGAATATACGCATTTGTGTGCAACCTTTATGCATTTTTGTGCGCATTTTTCATACTGCAAAATTCGGAGAAGTACGAATTTCACTGGGCGGCTGTGTTTCAGTCCATGTGTTAATGATGATGATGATGATGTTGTTGTTAAGTGTGCATGAAGTAGGCTCATGCACTGAAACAAATCTCTCACTCTTTCCTAGATGCAGATTTTCTGGAAAATGTTGAAGGAGACAAATTTTTGAATTGCGAAAGTACTCAACCACGAACAGCAAAATGCTGTATATCAGAGATGTGAAGCCTATGGCTTTTGAGATGCTGTGGACTACAACTCCCATGATTCTTGGCCCTGCTGGCTGGGGATGATGGGAGTTGGAGTCTGGCAACCTTTGGAAGGTCACAGGTCAGCCACCCCTGCTATACACATTTCTTCAGATGTCTTCAAGTTCCTCTGACTCAGAAAGTGTTATTTCAG